ATTGCTTTCTTATCAAAGGCTCACTTGTTCTCATGCCCCAATATATATCCATTGAGGAAGAACCTCTTCTTCAAGCAATGTTTCTTCACCCTCCGTCAATCATAGATTACACTTGCTATTCCTTCATCCCAGAAGGGAACTTTGTTATTTATCTAATCCTGCAGCAACCCACACATAGGTCAAAAGAGTGGTATGACCTCATGTTCTTTCCAGACAATGATCTGGTCACAGAAACGGGCACATTCATCACTGGAATGGTTACTTACGTATAGTAGTGCTTTCTGGCTCTTCTTTGTCAACAGCATTCTTTTCAGCCAAGTCATAAGCATCTATGTTGTCAGAGCAAGGGTGTTACACAAATACTTTCTGGCTGGCTTACAAAACTGGCTTACAATTACTATAAACTATAATACTATGTATTATAGTCACATTGTGCTTCAGATAAATAATACTAGAATCAATAATATAATACATAGTTATAATTGCTGACCTTCATATAAACTAGAAATAGTCAGGATCCAAAACTGAGGAGGACCTGGAAGTTTAGTTAGTACTTGTCCAAAATCTAAAGGATCAGTCTCTTATCTAGCTTTTCTTTTGGCAGAATTTACCATAAAAACCCATGAACTTGTAATTCATGGAATGATTCAGTTCATGTCTTTTATAGGTTCCTTCAATGAGTCTATGCTGATTGCTAATAAATCTGGATCCACAACTATATTCATTCAAAAAAATAAATAAAAACACAACAACTTTATGCAGAGGAGTAAAACTATATTTTTACAACACACGCCAAAATCCAAAGTCTACTGAGTTCCAAATCACAGGTTTTCTGCATTTGTTTGATAGCCTATTATTCATATTATTCATATGATTACTAAATTGGCTTCCTGTTCATTCTGCACTCTTCCTTTTCTGACCACATGCAGTATTTTTACACAGGTATTATAATGCAGTTTGATGCCATCTTGAAGTTGGGGTGCCTACAAAATATGCGCCTCCAATGCATGTTGCAATACACATCAAGTCCAAAGAACATATTTAAAAAACGCATTGGAGATTCTGGAATAATCCACAAAATCCATTGCAGTCAATCAGTGTATTTCCCATGCAGGGTTGGAATTGAGACTGAGAATTATTCTGTGGAGAAGGGAAAGTCCCAGCACTATAAATTATTATTATTATTATTATTGCTAACATATTGTTTTTCTTGACCCTCCTTTTCCACTTACAGAGCTAATTTACTGTTTTTCTTTGATATATAGTAAATATTCAAAAACATTTAACCTTCTGATGCCTCAATTAATATAATTGTATTGGTATCTATTTTTATTTTTGAAATTTACCAGTAGCTGTAGCATTTCCCTCCCTTGGCTTATACTCAAATCAATAAGTTTTCCCAGTTTTTTGTGGTAAAATCGGGTGCCTCGGCTTATATTTGGGTCAGCCTATACTTGAGTATATACGGTACATTGGTTACACAGACAAAGGGGATATTACATTTTACTCAGCATTCACACACACATACTACATGCATACAATACTATCTCTTCTTCCTGCTCCTGGAGAAGAGACCCGCATGTAGGCCAGATTGCATTCCCCGCAAATCTGCTTTTCTGCTGATACACCACCTTTCTCCATCCCTTGGAGGTGGCAGCTGGTGACCAGACTGCATTCCCCATGCAGCTCTGACACACTTTTCCAAGAGGAAAGTGTCTCCTTATGTAGCATTTCTGCTGTTGTTGTTCAAGAAGTTGTAAATAACTGTCAGCTAGTTTTCCAGCTAAAACTTGCTGACTCCATCAGTTTCCAGACAGATGTTGGTTTTCCTTCTTTAACAGATATCGGTTTCCCCCTTAATGTAAGGAACCATTGTATTTGACTTCCTTAACTTGCAGAATCATTGTCTCTGATCATGTAAACAGTTCTCATCAGCATCTTTTTATCACAATTTAGCAGTTAGTGAATTCTTCATCTCCTTTTGCAGTTTTCCAGGCTTCATTCTTCTTAGAATGGCATCTTTGGTCTTAGCCAGACTCAAATCACATACCAATCATAGAATTTCATTCAATCCACACATCACATTTATTGCACAGCACCCTTATCCATTTCTATAGCAGTTCCTGCCTCCTGTGCTTGCTTTGGACTCCTGAACTCTGCTTCTGTCTTCCATTTCTCCAATCTAAAACATTTATTGTGATTTTATGGAAAGTATTGTCCTCTTCAGTTTGACTTTTCACTTTTCTCTCAAAAGTTTCAGAAGTCCGTATTGTCTTAGTGATGCATCCATCCAGGGATTTTAGAAGGTCCCATGGAAATTCTATGACAATACAAAAATGAATTACCCAATAGGGTTGTCAGCTGACCAGGGTAAAAAAATGACTGGCCTGGCCTGTTTGTATTAGTGGTGGTTTTTCTTGGAACCAATTGTCAAAAAACTAAGATGGTCTCTACTTCCAGGCTTTCCCAAAACCTCTAGAAACAATTTCATGGCTACCCATTGAAAAGAGTTAATTAAGTGAAATAGGATAAGGCATAATTGCTTCTGTAATTGGTTAAATGGACGAACCCAGAGGGTGCTCACCAATGCTTCCTCTTCATCCTGGAAAGAAGTGACAAACGGAGTGCCACAGGGTTCCGTCCTGGGCCCGGTCCTGTTCAACATCTATATTAATGACTTAGATGAAGGGTTAGAAGGCAGGATCATCAAGTTTGCAGATGACACCAAATTGGGAGGGATAGTCAATACTCCAGAGGACAGGAGCAGAATTCAAAACGATCTTGACAGATTAGAGAAATGGGCCAAAAAGATCTTTGAATCCTCGTGGACAACAAGTTAAACATGAGCCAACAATGTCATGTGGTGGCAAAAAAAGCCAATGGGATTTTGGTCTGCACCAATAGGAGCATAGTGTCTAGATCTAGGGAAGTAATGCTACACTTTTATTCTGCCTTGGTTAGACCACACCTGGAATATTGTGTCCAATTCTGGACACCACAATTGAAGAGAGATATTGTCAAGCTGGAATGTGTCCAGAGGAGGGCGACTAAAACGATCAAGGATTTGGAGAACAAGACCTATGAGGAGCGGCTTAAAGAGCTGGGCATGTTTAGCCTGAAGAAGAGAAGGCTGAGAGGAGATATGATAGCCATGTCTAAATATGTGTGAGGAAGTCACAGGGAGTAGGGAGCAAGCTTGTTTTCTGCTTCCCTGGAGATTAAGACACAGAACAATGGCTTCAAACTACAAGAAAGCAGATTCCATCTGAACATTAGGAAGAACTTCCTGACTGTGAGAGCCATTCAGCAGTTGAACTCTCTGCCCCGGAATGTGGTGGAGGCACCTGCTTTGGAATTTTTTAAACAGAGGCTGAATGGTGCTTTGAATGCAATATTCCTGCTTTCTCTGCAGGGGATTGGATTGGATGGCCCATGAGGTCTTTTCCAGCTCTATGATTCTATATGCAGCAAACATTACTGGATTCTTGCAAATTGCTTTGGCTTGCTGACTGCAGTCTGCTTTGGGGGTCACTTGTCACTCCACTTTAACAAATGCAGTATAGCAGCAGCAGCAGTGGCAGCACATTTATTGTAGAAGCAATACTCTGTGTTCAAAATACTTAGCTGTGTTTATATGTAAAAGAAGGGGCCAAGTAAGCGGGGGCTGTCCAGTGGTTTCAAACTGGGTTCAGCAATGTTGGGTGATCGGGATTCCCTCCCACCTCCACAGCAGCTGGTGTGGGCGTGGATGACTGTGTAACCCATTGCGGTGCTGATCCAGCATATACCATGCCAGATCCAGCCCAGGACAACAGGTCAATATGCAGGCCTTTGCTCAGCAACTATGAACTCCCCTTTTAAAAGCAGTTCTGGGATATCTGCTCTCATAGAATAAATTCTAAACAATGCCATTCTCTGATTTAGATGAGTTTACTTCTAGTCTCCAGTGCCATAAAGTCATGCATCATTCTCAGTGGGTCTGGGTTTGATCTGTTGAGAGAAGTCAAGACAGCTAGTTGTTTAGCCAAGAACCAAGAATGCCTTCACTAGTTGAGGTGGCTCTTCAAGAAGTCATTGTCATAGTTATGGCTCAGGACGATGGAATAGCTAGGGGTTTTTGGCCACAGACCTCCTCCACATCTGAAGTACTCAACTCACTACACTCAGTGATATCTACCCTTAAGAATTTGTAAGTGTGGTCCCTGGTATCTTCTAGGGCTTGATTCCAGGACATATACACATACACCAGGGATACCAAAATCTGTGGATGCTCAAGTACCATTATTTGCAATGGCATAGTAAAATGGTGCCCATTATATAAAATGGTGAAATCATGGTTTGCTTTTGGATTTTTTTAAAAAAAATATTAAGCCATGGATGGTTGACAGAGGCTGATTGTACTTGTCCCTGTTTTGAGAGATACTGCTCAGACTCTACTTGCTGTTAAACTCTCACAAAGCTCTTTAACTAAACTTTTGTTTGTATTAGAGAAATACAAGTAGAAAAAGTGTTCCCAAATTATTTTCTCAAATGTTCTTCTTTTACTCCTTCCCAGCACAAAAAAGGAAAGAAGGTGTGGGTTTTTTTATTTCCAGATAAGATGGGCATCGCTTAACAATAACCAGAACCCTGAACAGTGATCTGCCTGTCACTCAAGAAACCACATACTGACTCAAAGGATCCTTGACTAACTTTTTTCCAGGATCTTCGATGAGTTTTTTTGCTGGGGAAGAAATCTTACCTTTTGCTATTCATTTTGAATTTCCTTTATTAGATGGAAGCTTGACAAAAAATAATACACCTCCCCAAAGACAAACATGCTTGGCTGCTTACCAAGGAACTGGAAGCGCATCCTCTATTTACCTCTGTATCGACGAAGATCCTCACGGCCCCACCTTGTTAGACCCTGTCAAACATGCTAGGAAAACTGCCAAGATTACCTGCTATATAAGACTCTGAAAGTAGAAGTGAGATAACCCTTTTGGCCAGAAGTTGGCTGAACATCATCCCACCAGACTCCATTCACGATGGAGTTTGGCACAGGGAAGAAGATGCCCTTATGGGCCTTCATATTTACAATCTGCTGTATCCAACAGAAAGGTAAAATCTCCTTTGCTTTTTTCACTTCATTTCATTTCTAAAAACCAATCAATTACATGTCTTAATTCACTTTCAAAAGTATACTTCATTCTAATTGAAAGTCATACAAATATTTGGATTTCAATTATTCTCATCCCATAACCCTGTAAATTTTTGTACTATTTCAGTTAAATATGTAATTTTTCTGGAATATTTTTATCTTATACTGTCTGCAACCAAAAATAATGAACAATATCTTCAAGGTGACAGTTTTGAGAAGTGTGTAAAATATATAGAATGATCCCTTTCCTTGAAAAATTACCCATCTAGTAGAAACATAAGCTCTTTAACTAAACTTTTGTTTGTATTAGAGAAATACATGCATTCTATTTGGAAGTGTGTTGAAATAATAAAATCCAAATTGTGCTCAGTTATTTCACAGACATATTACATTTCAGAAAATTGCATTGTATGTCCAAAGGACATACAGTATCTTGTAAAATGCGAGGTCACGGTGCTGTAACAGTCTGGTTATTTCCTCAAGTCTGGTAAATAAACATGTAACTTTACAACTGTGAAGAAGATTAAAGCTGTGGTTATTGCAAAGCTCTATAGTATTGGAAATTTGTTGCCCAGCATGCACACAAGCCAGACATTTTGGAGTGTATCTACACTACAGAGTTATAGCAATTTGATACCATTGTAATTGTCACAGTTCTATCTCATGAACCCCTGGAAATTATGTTCTTGAGCTATTTAGCAGAGAATGCCGAGCACTTTGTTGAACTGCAAATCCAAGGAGTCCATAAAATATCACCAGGCGATTAAACTGGCATCAAACTGGCATAAGTTTGTATTGCTATAGTTCTGGACAAAATGCCACTCTTTCCAAAGTAAATCCTGCTTTGTCCCAAATTACTTTGATACTCCATTAGACTCAGGCCTTCTTGAAAGGCCTGGGTCTAATCGAGTATAGGGCCAGTGGGAACTGACCCATGGGACTACTTCCACAGTCCTGGGGTCAGTCTTTCAAAAGCCCAGAGAACCAAGGTGGGCACCCCCTCCTCCCCAACCCTCCTCCCAAAGCCTTAAAATAAAATAATAACTGTGCCGCCATTAGGCCTTTCTGGAGGCCTAATAGTGGCACAGTAGGTTTTTATTTTAATTTAAGACTTTTGAAGAGGTTGAGGTGGCTCCAGTCCAGTGCTGTAGTTACCACATTGGAATGGGGACAACCTCTGGGAAAGCCCAAGTCTTTTGAGAACCCATGGGGACTTAAACCCACAACAAAGCAAGTTTCTTAAACCTGCTTCGCCATGGATTTAAGTCCTGTCTAGAAGCACCCTAAGTGTCCACAGATCTTTCATTCTATTTCTTTTAGTACATTGGCTAAATGGCAATAAGAAGAAAAGACATGTGAAACTCCTCCATGCAGAGCACCATAACAAAAAAAATGTGGCCTCATGCTCAGTCCCCAAAATTTTCCATACTACTGCATATTAAAAGAACTTGGCAGGGTTGGCCCAAGGTGGCTTCCTGTTTGAGTAAGAACAGCAAAATATATTCTCTTCCTTGCTCAACTAAGTTGAAGTGTAATATATGCTGTGGGCAAGATCATGCTAGCAATGTGTGTTGCTGAGTGCCTGAAATGGGACTTTTGTCAAAACAGATACTAGATACTTCCTCCTGCCAGGTATGAAAAGTACATATGAAGATTTAAAGTGCCTAGCTGAGAAAACCAAAGGGATAGCACAATTTTTGAAGTATGACAACCCATATAACTAAACAACATAACATCTATAACTTATTTTTTAGAGGGCAATGTATTTTCTTCAATTGGAGAAAGACAATACATAGAATATTTCATTTAGACAACTGACTGGCTATGGTAAGAACAGAATGCTGGACTATGTGGTTCTTCCCATTAAAGCATGCAGAACAAAATTGTGTAAAATTCAATCAGCATTTTGGAAGATGGTTAACTTCATATCAACATCTTTATAGTATGCTTGAGTTGGATTATTGCCATTAAAATTGCCTTATTACTGGAATGCGAATTGAAAGAAAACCCCATATTTAGGGTTTCATTGAATTAATTTGGGAATGAGCCGTGGTGATTTCCCAAACTTCTCCAGCAAAAGTTTGAAAAATCACGTACAATACTTTGGAAAGAATTAGTTAATAAATATTTATATATATATATATATATAAACATCTGTACAATATTTATTTTTCTCTCACACTTTTTTGGTAGTCTCTAGCGACGAAGGCATATCTGGAAAAGTAACCATCATTCCACCAATCACAACTCCAGTTATCACATGTAAGTAAATACAAAAACTACCTCAAATATTCATATGTATCCATCAGATCAGCCTGTAAATATAGTAAAAGGGATAAAGTTATGAAAAGAATGAATAGATGGGTAGATAATTCAGCTGATGAAGAGCAAGTCAGACAAGCACCTCGGCAAATCTGGAAATCAATTCATTTTGTATATTCATTTACTGCCTGAGAAGTGTTTTTCTTAAGTCTGTATGCCTTGGGCCTACTGTTACAAGACTTTGGTGCCAGGATAAGAAAAGAAATAATGTTATTTATTGTTTTTATATGTTGCATTTCTTGTGGCTATTTTATTGCCATTGCTTTTAGATTTAAAATTCTGTTTGGAGTGTTTTATTTTCTCCTATGATGACTTATGTTTGCATCTTGCTGTCACAATTTGAATCCTTTGGTTAGAAAGTGCTATAATGTAGGGAGCAGACCTGCAAAAAAGTGCAAACACAGTATTCCTAGACCTAGGATGTACCTGCAGGCATTTGTCAATCCTGAAGAATGGTGGAAATAAAAGAACCCGTGTCATGTTTCTTGGTGGTTTTTAGAACATCTCAGACTAGGATTTGTGCTTTTTAGAGCAGGGAAATAACTAAATCTTTTTTTAAACTTTATGTCATTATATCACATTAGAGGTTTACATTTACTCATTATAAGGGGATCATTTAAATAGGATGTTTTGAAAAGCATAATTTTATGACAATAGTGGTAGAGTGAGGACAGTGAACATATTCTATTTATTCAGGTTTCTGGAGGTCTTTTATATTTAATTTATTGTCACAATAAGTAGGATTGCAATTTTTTGGCCTCTATTGGTTTTAGTCCCCTTTTGGTATTAAATAGCACACCCCACCGTTTAACATTGTATACCCTGTATTAAAACTTCCTATAGCACAATGAAATTTTATCCTAGACAACAGTGGTCTTTCCTTTCTGCTACTGAGCATGTGAATGGGTCTGTTATATCCTCCATGTTTCAGCTTCATCTGGAATAAGCCTGTGAATTACATGACCCTCCAGATATTGTTGAACTGCAACTTCCAGAATAACTCACACCCAGCTCTGCTGACTAGCATTACTGGAAATTGTGGGTCAAATATCTGGAGTGTTGAAAAATTGCTAGCCCTGGCTTAGAGGAACTGGGGGTAGCCGTACTGACCTGCTTCTGAGGTGAGCGTTCAAGGGGGGGGGGGGAGTATATTTTTAATATGCTATGTGCAAGTACTCCAATAGGTTGAGCAGCATCCTTTTTCCAGAAATCTGAAATACTCCCAAATTGTCTATATGGGAAGCTGAGATAATCTTGCCTTGATGGTTTAATTTTGTTTGGTGCACAAAATTATTTTAAAATATTCTATATAAAATGATCTTCAGACTATAAGATATATATAGAACATACATGAATGTTGTACCTAGATTTGGGTCCCATCTCTAAGATATCTCATTATATATATATATATGCAAATATTGAAAAAAAAAACCAAAGCACTTCTAGTCCCAAGCATTTTGAATAAGGAATACTCAACCCTTATTTGCACACAAGTATATGAGATGATCCTAATAAATCAACTGACCTGCAAAAATTGTAGATGATTTTCACATCAATATGGACATGCACTATACTTATAAACTCTTGTGAATTCACAGCCTTCAATCAAGCTCACAATGGACAAGTGTGCAGCACATGGGGCAACTTCCATTTCAAGACATTTGATAGAGACATCTTTTATTTTCCTGGGCTTTGCAACTATGTCTTTGCCTCCCATTGCAACACTGCCTTTGAGGACTTCAACATTCAGATAAGGCGCACAGTTGTAGGAGACATGCCATCTATCAGTTATATCACCATGAGGCTGGATGGAGTGGATGTGCAATTAGAAGAAGATGCCGTTGAGGTGAATGGTGAAAGGTAACTACATTGGCCAATGTACCAGACTGATTCATATTCATGATCCCTGTGTAGCAAAATGACATTTCCATCTCCTTCCTACCATCAATCTCTAGTGTGTAGAGGAACTGAGACAGGGATCCTGTTTCTGATAGTCTCACTGGAGATTGCTGGCAAGAGGAGCAGATGGAAACACCAGCCAGTTACATCCAGATCAACAAGAGAATGGAGCTCTGTTGCTCACAGTGAGTGCTGCCCAAAAATACAGGACGAGGAAGGGGCTACTGGGTCATGAGACATTATTTAATAAGCATACTTAACTGTTTCTAAGCTTTTGGCCCTAGTTTTTAAAGTTTGCATTGAGAAATTTAATTTCTGAAACAATCTAAGGCAGACATTTTCTGATTGGATTGCCCTTCCTTAATCTGGACATTAAATAGTCAGAAACAGGAAGTGCATCAACAAATCAAACTATACAATGCATTTGATATCCTTTTCTTCTTACTGCTATGTATTTCTGTGAGTAGGAGCATTGATCTAGTATTCCCAGAGACAATACCTGGACTTGAGAAAGAAATGGTGAAGCGCCATAATGTTCAAGTAATATGGCTCCAAGGAAAAATGAATGTTGGTTAGAAAAATAATTGATTTCTTGTCTCTAGCCAAAGAGTGAAGGAAAGATGCCGAATAGAGCAACAGACAGATTGGTTTAAGACAGAAGCAAGGAAAGACATTGAGACAAAGAAGGGTGGATTTTGGACTCTGCCATAATCATTGATTCTCAGTTCAGAATAGTCTTCCCTAATGTGGATCCCTCCAGATGGCTTGAACTTCAGCTCTCATTAGCCATGACTATTTGTCATGTTTGCTGAGTCTGATGGCAATTGTATCCTAAAACACAGAGAATCAGGCTGCCCTAGAAGTCTGATATAGGAGCAATGGGCTTTGGCTGACAATGAATTTTTGGTATACAAATATTATAGACCAATGGCCAAAATGATGTGAATATTACACATCAATTATAAGACTTCCATAAGCTTTCTCCAAAAGAAGTCACACATTTGTTAGTGTAGCACTCTGAAATTCTTACTACTCAAAGAAATTGTTTGAATTGAATGTTACTGTGATATATATGACACTCAATATTCCTTATATTTTCTCATTAGGGTTGAGCTGCCCTACAGTGGAGCTGGATTTCTAATTGAAAAATCTACCAGCTATGTTATAATAACTGCCAAGTTGGGCTTAAACTTAATGTGGAATGAAAAAGACAGTCTAATGGTAAGTGCTAGATGATATAAAGACATGACAAGTACAATTTGTAATAAAATCTTGCAGCATGGAAGACTGTTTTTTGGGTTTCCATTCAACCAAACAAGTCTTTCTTCAGAATTCACCATAGCATTCCTATCTACCCCTACTTTTCCATTATTCATCCTCACCAGGCAGTCGATATTCTGTGTCCATAGACCATGATAACTTGTATTTAACTGAAGATGGTTATCAAGATGTATGTATCTCCCCACTTTGACACTGGACCACCATTTTTGAAGATAAAAACAAATTTAGATTACATTTACAAATTTAGATTCAACATATTCACATCTTTTCAGGAGATGCCACTTGCCTTCTCAGTTTCTCATTTTTTAGTAAAATTTCTATTTGATAAACAATAATCTTTACATACATTTGAGATGTTCTGCTCTCTCTAAAGAATAGAAAGTTGGATGAAGAGTGAGCAAAGTTTCTGTTTTGAATATTAAAATGAAAACTAGTGACTCATAAATGAAACCCCAATTTTGCATTCAACAAGGTTCACAATAAGTTGTTAAAACACAACACTGATGTCTTAGATTTGCAATATATTTTGTGGCATGCCTGTCTATTAACTTTTTCCAACTCTTCTCTATATAATTTCAGTTGGAACTGGATAAAAAATATGCTAACCAGACCTGTGGGCTTTGTGGAGATTTTAATGGCATTCCAACTTACAATGAATTCATTTCAGATGGTAAGTATAATAAATACTGGGTTTTTTTAATTTGTGCAACCATAGTTTATGAACCATTCTTCATGGAGACCTGTGCTTCAGCGTTTCAGTTTTTTACCCATCTTCTGTGTAGGGAAAATCTCTTTAAAAACACAAGACTTTAAGCATTCAACTTTTTTTTTAAAAAAAAGAACAAGTAGTTTTGCTCCATGTGTTTCATTCTCTACTTTTTAAACCCCTTTCCTCCTAAAAATTTCAAACTCTTGCCCTACAGATGATGCTGGACTATATTATCTCTAAACATCTTGATCACATGCCATGTTGCCCAGGGCTCCCAGGAATTAGAGTCCAACATCACCAGCCACATGTTTTCCACCTGTAGAATATTTATATATTTGGTGACCTTCTGTTTCCAAGATTATCAACAACAAGTCTAGTCTAATACACTTTGCTGCTTGTGGCAGTATTACAAACAATCTCTTAATGTACAGCATATATGCAGTACTTTCAAAAAGGAACCACTATAAAAATCTCTTGATCTCTCATACTTTCTCTATATAAATTTCCCATACCTCCACTATATTAATCCTGCCTTTATTTATTACAGGTGTCCACTTAACTGACCTGCAGTTTGGGAATATGCAGAAGCTGAATGGGCCAACAGAGGAGTGTGAGGATCCTATACCTTTTCCACTGAACAACTGCACTGATGTATATGTAAGTACTTACATGCTTATTCTTGTGTTTTATACAGTATAACTCTAGCATCTGTACATGCAGTTTCATTTATCGACTTTTCAAAAAATATGATCTCTATAGGCATTTTTGAAGTCCACCAGCATGACTATTGTATTATTCTGCCATAAGTCCTTAATTTCAATTGGGTTTGCTATTATCTATGTTTTTGTGTGTCCACACTAAGTTCTGGACCATAACCTTCTCAAATATGGGGCATCATACTATATTCATTTGCTTTTCGAACTATGTTAGGACCATACAGAAGAGTAGCCAGATATTATATCGGGAAAACAATTGTGTCTTTCCCTCACAGAGGGTATCTCACCTCTGACAAAGAGTCATTACATTACAGTTCCAAAGTGCAGTGTACACTGTCCTCTCAGAAAAATGCATGAACCTCCAAACAGGCCTTCTTAGAGCTATGTATATCAATTAAGCCTTTTTATTCCCAACCAGGATATTTGTCGACAAGTACTTACTGGCTCTGCATTCTCTCAATGTAATGATGTCGTGTGGGTGGATGACTACATTGATATCTGCGTACAGGACCTGTGCCTCTGCAATGATTCTGATAACTTTTCCTGCCTCTGTCAAACTTTTGCTGAATACTCCCGGCAGTGTGATCATGCCGGTGGGCAGCCTCAGAACTGGAGAACCCCAGAACTGTGCCGTAAGTAGAAACAATAACTGTTCAGTGTTCAAAGAGAATGTATCCACAATTATGTTATCATGTTGCAAAATGAGAATTATGATACTAACAACAGAGCAGAGCACAACAAAGGGAAAATTTTGCTAGGTTGCATGTGAAATTGTAAATTAACAATTCAGTACCTGTCTGTGGAAAGTTGATGTGTTCAGTAGATCCCAGCCCTGCAACTCTCATTCATGACTTGCATGAAAATAAAAGAACTGTAGTAAAATCTTTCCAGTTGATTTCATCTACTGTAATGCAATTATGCTCTTATACTTTGGGTTAAAACACCAGCCAGAATGGATAATGGACAGGGATTATAAAAATTGTAACTTATAACATCTGGAAGACACCAGGTTGTCTACGCTTGGAGGAGAGGATATAATGAAAGAAAGAAATCAAAGTGCAGCTTCTTAATCACTAAAGTGAAAATAGTGAATGTACATAGTTGTTCAGCTAAGACTGATGTTGGCTTATCTATTTTAGATAACAACAAACCACTCCAGAGAAGTTATATTGGTGCAGGGATATCCCAGCCTATATTTTCCCTATTTTGAGAAGCTAACTTTCCAAAGATCCACTTGAAATGTATCAACAGTAAAATAGATAAATAAATAAATTAAATTAAATTAAAAGTAAGAAAAGCCATTCAGCAGATTCTCATGTCAGTGTTTGGAATAAAATCTTAACTTAAAGACTATAAAAGAAGTGTGTGCTTATTCTAAGTTTATTATAAGTTTTGTTCAGGTAGGCTGATAGTCTGTAAAATTTACCTGGTTCTGTAGGATTTTGTTGTTTTTTTAAATAAAAATGTATATTTATTTTAGAAAGCAGATGTTGCACATCATGCCTTTTCTGAAGCATGTTGTAAAACACATAGGAAGCAGGTAATTAGTATCTTCTTTAATAAAGGACTCATCACAAAGGCCAGGCGAATCATCCTTCCAGAGAGGATCCGTGCTGGCTCCATTGGAGCCATCACAATACAGTAAGCCTCCTGCGGGGTGGCAAAAGTCTCCTGTGTTGTGGGGGAAAGCCTCTGCCGATGCCCTCACCCCAGTTGGAGGTGGGACCTCTGCTGGAAGTCACACGATTCTGTGTTATGGCCAGTGTGGGGCTCCATTTAGAAGCCAGGGTGAAAGCATTCTAGGATGCTAAATCCCCCCCCCCCCCCAATGAGGGTGTTTAAAGCAGATTGTGCTTCATGTGTCCAAAGTCAAACTGAATTTGAATTTTCTCCCTTTCAGCAATGGGATGTCCTTTCAACATGGAATACCAAGAATGTGGATCACCCTGTATGGATACTTGCACCAACTCTGAAAGGTCTCAGCTCTGTGAAGACCACTGTATGGATGGCTGCTTCTGTCCACCAGGTAAGCTTGCTCCCTCAAGTGCTTCCAAATGGTAGATAAGAGGGCTTCCATTCATCCTCACCTCTGCTATCAATGTGTGGACTTCCTCCTGTCCCACCGCTGAGGCCACCAACAGGGTAGACCTCATAGGTGCCCTTGTGGCCCCCCGACTGAGACATTACTCATCGGTACTGTTACAGACTCCACTGAACTTAGGCTTTCCAATGTTCCCTATATAGCATTCTCAGAGGCAGAGTATAATACAAAAATGATTTATTAAACAGAAATTAAACATACAGAGTCACAAGTCATTCCTAACCTCCACACTTTCTCACTCACTCACTCACTCACTCACTCACTCAATCTCTCTCTCTCTCTCTCTCTCTTTCACACACACACACACACACACACACACACACACACACACACACATGAATCCTTATTTTAGTACATCTACCATATATTACGTAAATATTATATATTTTATCCAATATTATCAAATAAATGAAACAATACACGGACCACCCAAGTCCATAACTTATCCTTTCACTATGACTCAAAAACATTGGACAACTAATCCATCTTTTCTTTCTTAATATTTTCTGGTAAGAAAAGAAAATCCACTGAAAGGGAAGAGAAAACATGGGATGGCTACATCAGGCACCACATAAACAGTGTAAACTACATCTCAAAGCCTTTGGTTGCAATCGGACAAACCTTTTGCATGCCACCTCCAGAATGAATGTCAACAACCTCATTGAGAGAAATGTTAACAGTGGTAAAGGGACCTCTGCTAAGTTTATTTTTTAGAAAAACATCTGTGAAAGTATGGCAATTCAAATGTTTCCGTCTTTAAGGTACGGTAGAACTCTGTTGTTTTTCTGAAAACAGCAGTCCAGGCCATGTCATCAGATGCACAAATCTGTTGAAGTTAACCATGAAAAGCTTGTGCCAGATAAAGACATATGGTTGTTGTTTCCCTTTTATGGATTCACTATGTGGGCAAGAAAATATTTAGAAGAATATATGTGTGTGTGTTTTCAAGAAAGATTGTAGTCTTAGCTTCTATCTCTGCAAAATTGTGCAAATAATAAGATGATGAAGAGGAAAGACATAATGCCTCTTTCCCACAGACAAAATTGAAGGCAACTTATAAAAACTAAAAACTAACAAATATATGCATAAAAATATAGGGGGGGGGGGGGCTTGTTGTTCATTCGTTCAGTCGTCTCCGACTCTTCGTGACCCCATGGACCAGCCCACGCCAGAGCTCCCTGTCGGCCGTTACCACCCCCAGCTCCCTCAAGGTCAGTCCAGTCACTTCAAGGATGCCATCCATCCATCTTGCCCTTGGTCGGCCCCTCTTCCTTTTGCCTTCCACTTTCCCCAGCATAATTGTCTTCTCTAGGCTTTCCTGTCTCCTCATGATGTGACCAGAGTACTTCAACTTTGTCTCTAGTATCTTTCCCTCCAGTGAGCAGTCGGGCTTTATTTCCTGGAGGATGGACTGGTTGGATCTTCTCGCAGTCCAAGGCACTCTCAGAACTTTCCTCCAACACCACAGCTCAAAAGCATCTCTCTTCCTTCGCTCAGCCTTCCCTAAGGTCCAGCTCTCACATCCGTAGGTGACTACGGGGAATACCATGGCTTTGACTAGGCGGATCTTTGTTGCCAGTCTGATGTCTCTACTCTTTACTATTTTATCGAGATTGGACATTGCTCTCCTCCCAAGAAGTAAGCGTCTTCTGATTTCCTGGCCATAGTCTGCATCTGCAGTAATCTTTGCACCTAGAAATACAAAGTCTGTCACGGCCTCCATGTTTTCTCCCTCTATTTTCCAGTTGTCAATCATTCTTTTGCCATAATCTTGGTTTTTTTTTATGTTTAGCTGCAACCCGGCTTTTGCGCTTTCTTCTTTCACCTTGATTATAAGGCTCCTCAGCTCCTCCTCGCTTTCGGCCATCAGAGTGGTGTCATCTGCATATCTGAGGTTGTTAATGTTTCTTCCAGCAATTTTCACCCCAGCTTTGCATTCATGCCCCGCACATCGCATGATGTGTTCTGCATACAAGTTAAAAAGGTTGGGTGAGAGTATGCAGCCTTGCCGTACGCCTTTCCCAATCTTGAACCAGTCTGTTTTTCCGTGGTCAGTTCTTACTGTTGCTACTTGGTCCTTGTACAGATTCCTCAGGAGAGAGACAAGGTGGCTTGGGATGCCCATCCCACTAAGAACTTGCCACAATTTATTATGATCCACACAGTCAAAGGCTTTAGAATAGTCAATGAAGCAGAAGTAAATGTTTTTCTGAAACTCCCTGCCTTTCTCCATTATCCAGCGGATATTGGCAATTTGGTCTCTCGTTCCTCTGCCTTTTCTAAACCCAGCTTGAACATCTGGCAACTCTCGCTCCATGTATTGCTGGAGTCTTCCTTGCAGGATCTTGAGCATTACGTTACTGGCATGAGAAATAAGGGCCACTGTACGGAAGTTTGAGCAGTCTTTCGCATTTCCCTTCTTTGGTATGGGGATATAAGTTGATTTTTTCCAGTCTGATGGCCATTCTTGTGTTTTCCATATTTGCTGGCAAATGGCATGCATCACCTTGACAGCATCATCTTTTAAGATTTTAAACAGTTCAGCTGGAATCCCGTCGTCTCCTGCTGCCTTGTTGTTAGCAATGCTTCTTAAGGCCCATTCAACCTCACTCCTCAGGATGTCTGGTTCTAATTCATTCACCAAACCGTCAAAACTATCCTCGATATTATTATCCTTCCTATACAGATCTTCTGTATAGTCTCGCCACCTTCTCTTGATCTCTTCAGCTTCTGTTAGGTCCCTGCCAACTTTGTTTCTTATCATACCAATTTTTGCCTGAAATTTACCTCCAATGTTTCTAATTTTCTGGAAGAGGTCTCTTGTCCTTCCTATTCTGTTGTCTTCTTCCACTTCCATGCATTGCTTATTTAAAAATAGTTCCTTATCTCTTCTGGCTAACCTCTGGAATTGCGCATTTAACTGGGCATATCTCCCCTTATCCCTGTTTCCTTTTGCTTTCCTCCTTTCTTGGGCTACTTCCAGTGTCTCAGCAGACAACCATTTTGCCTTCTTGGTTTTCTTTTTCTTTGGGACGTACTTTGTTGCCGCCTCCTGAATAATGTCTCGGACTTCTGTCCATAGTTCTTCTGGGACTCTGTTTACTAAATCTAGTCCTTCAAATCTGTTCTTCACTTCCACTGTATATTCGCTAGGAATGTTAGTGAGATCATATACTGGTCTGTGTATTTTCCCTGATCTCTTTAGTTTTATTCTAAATTGGGCAATAAGAAGTTCGTGATCTGAGCTACAGTCAGCCCCAGGTCTTGTTTTCACCGACTGGATGGATGTCCGCCACCTTTGGCTGCAAAGGATGTAGTCAATCTGATTTCGGTGTTGACCGTCTGGTGAGGTCCATGTGTAAAGCCGTCTTTTAGGTTGTTGGAAGAGAGTATTCGTTATACACAGCGAGTTTTCCTGGCAAAATTCTATCAGCCTGCGTCCCGCTTCATTTTGTTCTCCCAGACCATGCTTGCCTGTGATCCCTGTTGTCATTTGACTTCCCACCTTGGCATTCCAGTCTCCTGTAATGAAAATAATGTCTCTTTTATTCCTACAGTAAAAATGTATTGTCCAAGACTGGTTTCCATTTCAGCAATTACCATTTGGTTTCTATTAACTATTCTAATATATTTAATATCCATTAAGCTCTGTTTTCTCTTCATATTAATTTGCTGAAAAATATAATGTGTGTACTATTTATTCTGCTAGGAACTGTATACGATGACATCAGCGGCTCAGGTTGTGTTCAACTTGAACAGTGTTCCTGCATTTACAATGGCAAATCCTATGCTCCAGGGGCAACCTATTCAGAACCATGCCGTTCCTGGTAATTTGTATGTCTGTGTGTGTTTGTGTGATCCATAGGATTTTTTTTTAAAGCAAGGAATGCTCATGGATGGTTTTACCAGTTTCTTCACCTGAACTATAGCCTTCAGCACCTGGTATTTGTTGTTGAACTCCCACCCAATTAGTAAGACAGGGGTTGGCCCTGCTTAGCACTGAAACTCAAACAGGATCTAATGTTTCTAGGGTATTTAGACATCCTTGGTAATTGGATTCTTTGACGAGAAAAAAACAGACAGGTATCCAGATTCTGTTTAAAAACCTCAAGAGACAAAGACTCCATCACATTTCAAGGCAGCAGCATATTCCACTGCCAACCAGCTTTTACTTCCTAATGTTTCCTAATGTTTAAGTGAAATTGCTTTTAATGCAATTTGAATCCATTGCTCCATGTTGTAGTCTCCAGAGTAGCAGAAAACAAGCTTGCCCCATCCTCAATGTAACAGCCTTTCAAATATTTAAACATGGCTGTCAGGTCCCCTCTCAGCCTTCTTTTCACCAAGCTAAACATACCCAGCTCCTTGTGTTGTTGAAGGCTTTCATGGCTAAAATCATTGGGTTGCTGTGAGTTTTCCGAGCTGTATGGCCATGTTCCAGAAGCATTCACTCCTGATGTTTCGCCCACATCTATAGCAGGCATCCTCAGAAGTTGTGAGGTTTATGTATATGTGGAATGTCCAGGGTGGGAGAAAGAACTCTGGTCTGTTTGAGGCAAGTGTGAATGTTGCAATTGGCCACCTTGATTAGTATTTAATGACTTTGTAGCTCCAAAGCCTGGTTGGTTGATGCCTGGGAGATCCCAGCAAATAAAGCAAATAAAGAACAACACACAGGAAATAGGGGAAATACTGACAAAAATCAATCCGGGCCAGCTAACACTTCCCAACAAAGGATTCCCAGGCAGCAACCAGCCAGGCTTTAAAGCTGCAAGGGCATTAAGTCCTAATCAAGGTGGCCAATTGCAACATTCACACCTGCCTCAAACAGATAAGAGTTCTCTCTCCCACCCTGGAAATGCCACAGATCTATAAACCTCACTTGCCTAGTTTCCAACTCACCTCACAACCTCTGAGGATGCCTGCCATATATGTGGGTGAAATGTCAGGAGAGAATGCCCAAAAAACTCACAGCATACCCAGCTTCCTCAGCCATTTCTGACAGGGCTTGGTTTCCAAACCATTGATCATTTTGGTCATTTTCTAACTGGTCAACAGCCATTTAAAAAACAAAACAAAATGTATGCCATAACTTTAACATGATTATTTTTACATACAATATAAAGCATGGAGCTCTGTCACTGTTAGTCATAATAGTTTTCTTTAAAACGCATGTGTTTTCATTTGGTTTCTTCCAGTCTCTGCGCTGGAGGCCAATGGGACTGCACAGATGTTCCATGTCCTGGTATTTGCTCAGTAGAAGGTGGATCACACATCTCCACTTATGATGAAAAGCATTATGATGTCCATGGAGACTGCACTTATGTTCTGTCTAAGGCAAGTCATATAAGATGAGCAATTTATAAAATTAGCAAAAATATCTACCTGCTGCTCATGTTTTTCTTTCTCATACATTCATATACTTACACACACACACCCTATACACACAAACCTTCATTTTCTGAGATTATGAAACCAGATTCTTTGTTCCTGAGGTAAATCCCTGGCCTGATATCCCATTACATTATTTATACAGGTTTTGGTTTTTTTTAGTTTTATATTAATCTCATGTGAAGTGGTGGCATTCTTGTAAATTTGCAAAAGATACAGGCATAAAAGGGACACTGTGTTAGGGAGGGGTGTGCAAAAAGAGAAGAATATATGAAGCTTTCCTTTTCCATTTCCATAATAATAAATACATAATAATAATTAATAATAATTTCACACTGAATCAAGTGCTCTTAGGAGGTTGGGAAATATCAAATTAAAGACATGTGGGGCATCCCCAAAAGAAGTATAATCTTTCTGACAATTTTGATTCAAAGTGGTTCCACTATCCATTAAAAAACAACCCAAATTCTTCTTCCATATCTAAAATTGTTTCTGGAAGATGTTAAGATAAGTCCTAAAGCCTTAATACTTGCAGATGTAAGGTAGGTTAGGTTGATTTCTCAACACTATTACACATTTCAGATCCTTTTGAAATAAGTTAATAATGCAAATAGTAATTCTTATTTTTTTATCACCTAGACTTGCAATGACAACCTGTTCACTGTTCTTGGAGAGCTCCGCAGATGTGGCCTAACAGAAACTGAAACATGCTTAAAGATGGTAACCCTCAACATTAATGGAGGCGAAACTGTAAGTAATCAAACTAATGCTTGGAGACTATTTTGTAAACCTATGTGGATCTCATGCTGACAACATTTTAGAAATGTGTGTGTAAAATAAAGAATATTTGCTCTTTCATTTTGCGGAAATATATTCTGCTGTCAGAATAACAATATGTCGGAAGTATATTTACCTTTATCAAACATCAGGTAGAAAAGGCAATTGAGGTTTTATTGTTTATGTATCCATTTAGATTATTTATACCACAACCTTTAGCCAAAAAGACTCCAGAGTGGCTTTGAAATGTTCATTTGTTCACAAACTGGGTGTAAGAAGGCTGTTCCTTTCGCCCTCAGAGGCCAAAGAGTGACAATTGGTACAGAAGGCAGGCTTTTGATAAGCTCCTGGGACCAAGGCATGATAGAGCTGTGCCATGGTGCTCTTCTTTGTGTTAGAGACCAAAACAGTAACACTGGATTGGAGAGAGGGTCTCTCACCAGCCGCTGGAACTAAGCCATAATGGAGATGTTCTTGCTGCTCTTCACTCCCTCAGCGGCCTCAACAGGGAGTGGCAACATTTGAAGCCTATCTGCAATTGCTGGGGCCAAGGCATGATGTCCATCTTCACTGTAGAATTAATGTAGCTTGACACCACTTTTACCACCATGGCTGAATGCAATGGAGTCCTGGGCATTGTAACTTTACAAGATCTTTAGCCTTCTCTGCCAACAAGTGCTGGTGACACACCAGACTATAACTTCCAGGATTCTATAACATGGAGCCTTGCCAGTTACAGTGGTGGCAAACTGCATTTATTAATAGATGCACCCACAAAGTATGTTCCATATAAAGAATTCCATGTGATGGAACAATGCCATTTTGCCATTTTTACCTTTCTCCCCAAACCCCCAGCACCCACATATAATCTGTTCCAGAGCGCTGGCAGAACAGCACAAAAAATGGCTCAGAAGGCTCTGAAAGAAATTCCACTTAAGCACTCTCTGCCTCAGAGTGTGGTGGAACCTCTTTCCCTGGAGGCTTTTAAACAGAGGCTGGATAGCCATCTGTCAGGGTGCTTTGATTGTGCTTTTCCTGTATGGCAGGGGGTTGGACTAGACAGCCCACATGGTCTCTTCCAACTCTATGATTCTATGAAATGAATGGATGACAATTTATTACCCTTATTCCATCTGTAGAAGGTTTCCACTGGCTGAGGTACCTGCAAGCCATATAATTTAATAAGGATGTGCATTCACATCTGGATCTCAAGACATATGTTCATACCCAGTGGGCAGTCCTATATTGTCCCTGTGACATCTTCTGGACTCCCAGACTTCCTATGTAATAAATTTAAAATCTTACAATTATTCAGTCAATTGTAGGATTTTAAATTTGTTAAGATCAAATAGTGATGGTTGTCCAGAGTCATAAATTCCTTCAAGAAATACAGTTTTGTTATGTGTGGGTATCAAATATTTGACAGAAATACAAGAATACGGTAAAAAAAAATCCATTAGGACAGCACTTTGGTTATAGAGGAAATTGGATCAAATAGATTCCTGGTTAACTACTGATTTTATATTTAATATAAGCTGGTATTAAGCATTATTGCTTATACATTTGAATTTGATCTAGGCTTTGTAATGATGCTGCATGTAAATTGTTTTGAGGTTGGATGGATTCTGATACTTTATTGATGAATTCAAGAACTTATAAAGTAAAAAAAATGAATAGTGTATACTTCCCCATTGCTACTTCAATATGAAATGGCTATATGCTGCTGTTTCCGTTAAAATGTGTTGGTAAAAGTATATGCTACATACAATAAGTGTAACATAACAATAATAAAATAAGAAATGAAGTATTATAGCAAAAGACATGAACTATGAAGTGACACATATTAAAGAGAACACCTTAGAAATGCCAAGATTATCTATTAGAAATGTTACCTAATGGGTTATAGGTCCCAGATTTTTGTAGCAGGCATAGCCACTGATGGTTCTGGGAGTTGTAGTCCAAAAATACAGCTCTAGCTGAAAGCATCACAGTTAAGAGTTTTACTTATGTTATCAGTTTATATTGCCCCTGATCTTTCAACATCAGTATTTAGGGATGTTAGAATTTGAGGTTCTTTGTCATACATATTAGACAGTAGAATAAATTACCTTGCTTTGGAAATGGTTGCTTTGTTTAAAAAATATATAATCCAAAATAAGCAATACTACAAAGATAGGTCTTTATAAGTGAGATGGGTGGTAATGAAATAACAAGCTAAAGTTTATAATCATAAAAGCAAACATTGACAGTTGAATTGTTTAGAACTTGAACAGGGATATCATCTTTCAGTCTTTACCAGTTTATGAACTTATGATGCAATTTATAATCGTCCTGAGTAGTATACTTTTTCTCTTTCTCACCAGAACGTTGTGATCAAGCCTGATGGTGACATATTCCTGAATTGGATCTATACCCAACTACCTATCTCAACAGGTATGTTGCATATTAGAAATGTCTAGCTCTCACCACAGCCTTTTGGCATGTTGCACTCTCAGAGAGAAACTCAGAAGAGTAGCTTGCTATTCCCACAAGCTAGCAAGATTTGGTTTAGTTCTTGGTGCTGGAGCATTTCCCAACTAAACAACCTTATCTGGAAAAAGAAAGTTGTAATTGGAGAAGAGAAGGGTTATTTCTTGTGGGAAAGATACTTTCTTGTTAACTATTCTTTAAGGTCATTCAGCTTCAGTTACTGTAATGCATTGAAGAAAAGTCTGACTTTGAAAAATCTTTGGAGCCTTCAGCTAGAAATTAGAGAACCAAATTGTTAACTTGGACTCACCGTAATTAGCAGAATGAATTGGTATCTTTCTAATCAACTAGGGTTTGCTGTAAAACCATAAACCATCTCAGTATGAGAGTATGAGAAGGACCAAGATCTTCATTATAAAGTTGCTTAGACCTGTGGATTTTGTTTTAAAAAAGAACATCATGTGAGGTGGCCACCAGAAACTGGACTTTTTTTTTCCTTTGGTGCAATCCACTTATGGGCTTCTCACCTGAGGAATCCCTGCCCACATCATCTCTGGGTGAATCACTCTGTGAATAATTCTATTGTAAGTCCTAGAATGGACTCAGTGGCTTACACGTACCACAGAGGTTGGCCTCGAACTGGTTCCAGGATCTGCAGTATTCACAGCTTCAAAGAATGTAGCTGTTTTTGTTCAACTCCCCCTGCCAAAATGTGTAGTGGAGCCCTTTGCATGGCCTCAGAGCTATTCATATTTTGTGGAATCACTTCCAATGGGCAGTGTGGTTTATACTAGATCATTAAAGATCTTGTTTTGAGGTATATCAAAGGTCTTAAAGCACTCTGCAGTGCATGTTCGCAGTATATGTAAGCACCACATTCTCAAGCAGCCTTTAAACTGCATTAAAACGTCAGTATAGATGTGACTTTTGTCATCTTTTAGATGCCAGACAAAGTCTGTTGTTGATTCTCGAGCTTTTGTTGGATACAATGAATTTTTTCAAAGGACATTGCTAGTTGGATACTATTTATATTTTATATGCAAGCAAGCAAACAAACAAATCCAAATCCATGCAATGTGATGCTGAAGAAGTTAGGTTATTGTATCAGCTCACAGCATGACAAGATTATCAAAAAGTTGAAAAGTGTGGATTGGTGGCATGACTCAGGCTGGATCTGCACTGTCATATAACCCAATTTCTAAAACTAGATTATTTGCTTTGAACTGGATTATATGAGTCTACATTGCCATAATCCAATTCAAAGCAGATAACATGGATTCAGAAACTGGATTATATTACAGTGTAAATGGGGACTCGATCTACACTGAAAGGTTATTGTCCAGGATATGCTCCTGGACTTACTATGAAAATGTGGAACTGCAGTTAATAGCAAACTTTGTTAAAATAAACAGCATCTGCTGGAAACATACCGTAGAACCACACTGGAGAACCTAGAAAATGCCTAGAAAGAACACCTCTCTCACATTTCTAGGTCCTCTAGTGTGGTGCTATGGTCAACTTCTAACAGAATTATAGCATAAAATCACACTGGAGGACCTAAAATGGCTAAAAATAACACATTTCTGGGTCCCCAGTACAGTTCTATACTTAAATTCCAGTGGAAACATTCCATAGAATCGTGCTGAAGGATCCAGAAAATGTGTATAGGGGACATTTTTGGAAGTAAGTGAAATAGCAGGTACCAATATGGAAGTCATAATATAAGCATAAAATAATTTCGTATTACATTGAGTCCTATATACATTCTCAATACACATAGATATTTGTATGCACTGGTCTTCACAGAATATGCCCCCTCTCCTGAGAATCTGACAGTAGTTGCAGCTATGAATCTCAAAATATATTCCTTTTTTAATCCACAGCCAATGTGACCATCTTCAGTCCTTCCTCTTTCTACACAATTGTGCAATGCAGCTTTGGCCTTCAGCTTGTCATCCAGCACACACCCATGATGCAAGTGTACATGTATCTGGATCCATCTTTTAAAGAAAGAACGTGTGGTAAGAATTATTTTAAAAAACATTTGTGGGCGTACCTGGGTCCAAAGTGTATTGTTTATGGCTTCCTGAATCATTCAAATGCTTTGGATTTTCTTTTAAAGGTCTGTGTGGAAACTTTGACAGCCGTGAGACAGATGACTTCAAAGTCCTAAGTGGGGTAGTAGAGGGGACAGCCGCTACATTTGCTAACACCTGGAAAACTCAGGCAGCATGTCCCAACATCAAACATACATTTGAGGACCCTTGCACACTTAGCATAGAAAATGGTATGTATATATGAGAATTGTAAGCAAAATACACATATTCGGTTAAACTATCATTTTATTTTTTTCCTAGCTAGCTCATGAAGAAAAATGGATAGACTTTTTTAATTTATAAAAAGGAAACATTGATAATAATAATAATAATAAGGGGAGAAGAATCAGAGAAATAAACAAAGGTGAAACTTAGTTTGATTTTGTTTTTAAGAGTGAAAAATTCTTTTTAAAGTTGTGCTTATTGGTATTACAAATGGGCCATAAGCTGCCACACCCATGGGCACTTATTTGTCTCTGCATAAACATGTATAGGGAAAGGGAATGAATATTTCGATCAGTTTCTTCCTTCAAATTAGGCAAATACTGTAGTAAGTATAAAAGTATAAAATATCCCAATTAAAATTGGAGAGATAAGATATACTACTAATTTCTGCCATTTGGATCTACAACAATTTCAAAAGTGATATGTATTGATTTCTTCTCTTTATAGAAAAATATGCCAGTCACTGGTGTGGATTGCTGACTGATAGTGAAGGACCTTTTGCTGAATGCCATTCCGCAGTGAATGCAGCTCCTTATCATAAGGTATTATGCTAGCCATTACAATCAGCGCTTCACATTTGTGGAAAAGACTTTTGTGGATTTGATTGTTTGGAGATTTAATTGCAGTGTTTTCTCTAGGTCCTCCGATGTAGTTTTATGGTCAACTGCCAAAGAAGCACACTGAAAACCTAAAAGAGAAACTCCCTAGAAATCTCTAGGTCCATTAGCATGACTCTACAATCAACGTCCACTCAAAGTTGACCATAGAGTCATACTAAAGGACCTAGAAGTTCTTAAGGAGGTTTCTCTTAGATTTTTTTTTGAAAAGGGGGATTTTATTTCCACTTTCCCCATTTTCATAGGTTTTCTGCATCCCTAATTCCAATGAATGTGAAGGGATGGGCGAACATCCAATGTATAAAGAACCTGTGAGAAATCTATGTATTTGGGGTGGGTTATTACATAATTAAAGGAGAGGTTCTAAGGCGATGAGTTTTTAAAAGCTATCATTTGCCTTGGGTCAGTGGCACCATCGCCTTTGCTTTGTTCAGGGCACAGACACAATATGCTACTTCTCTTCCTTCTCCTCTTGCTCCTCCTGTTTATTTATACCCCACTTTTTCTCTCCACAAGTAGACTCAAAGTGGCTTATAACCCCAAATTCCTTTCTCCTTAACATTGGATACAACAAGAAACTTTTCTCTAATGAAGTGCAAATATGACACTCAGTAGGAAAACCAGAGAACAATGTCATGAGGAACTGTTGCAATGGGGGATAATGGGAATAAGAAGAATTGTTTTATTAATATAGAGATGTTCTAGCTTGCTGGCCAGAAATGACCATACTAAGGCCAAAGTGTGGGACAGATATGAAAGCATATAGATAGGGCTTCCAAATATTTTGAAATCTGGGAACAATGTAAATCATGATTTTAGAAGGAAAAAAAACAAGATAGTTCTAAGCATTAGTTCACAAAATACATGTTTATAATTTGATGACTACAGTACTTATAATGGCTCATGTATAAACGATCCAACACAGATCAAACACCGTAGTCAGAATGTTCATGTCTTTCCCTGACACCTAAAACAACATTTTTCAGTAACAACTTTTCACACATTCATCTACAAGTTGTCAACTAGTGATAAATTATGTGTGAAGTGGTTCTAAGTCTTCATTGCTAATTGAGAGGCTGATGCAAATGCTTCTGCACTTGAATGCTAATAAACATTTATTATCAATATAGAATGATCTCTAATTCTTTTTTCAGCATAATATTTGTAATCTCAAATTCCTTTTTCTGATCATTAGACACTGGGCCCTTCCACACAGCCATAAAACCCAGAACATCAAGGCAGATAATCCACGATATCTACTTTGACCTGGATTATCTAAGTCCACACTGCCATGTATTCCAGTTCAAAGCAGATAATGTGGGATTTTATTCAGATGTGTGGAAGGGGCCACTATAAGACATTCTTTTCATTTGTCTAATGAAACTCCGATTATGACCCAAACCGATTATGACCCAAACAAGACGAAGCGGATTTTTAGTTAAGTAGTTGTATGTTAGTAAGATGTTGTGTTATGGACCTGATTACTGTAACTGTCGTCTGTATGTTCTATGTTTTGTACACCGCCACGAGTCGCCTTCGGGCTGAGAGTGGCGGTCAATAAGTGCAAATAATAAATAAATAAATAATAAATAAATAAATAAATAAATAAACTCAAAGGCAAGATTTTCAACGAGAATACTCAATACATAAAAACAGATTTGGAGCAATATTTGTGACATCAAAATGGTTTGAAGTCACATGATAAATTCCTGGTGCTATAGCAAAGTATGTCAAACCCAGTACACTAGTTGTATGGGAGAACACTCTCCCACAAGAGACAGATTGAAAAGGGACATAAATCAAAATCTAGTGGAAGACTTCACTCTGATGGTTGGCAAAACTTTGAAAGAAATTATTTAGAATGAATACATTTTAACAAGAACATTTTCTCTTTCTTAGAATTGCATGTTTGACACTTGCAACTGTGAAAGAAGTGAAGATTGCATGTGTGCAGCCCTCTCGTCCTATGTCAGAGCCTGTGCAGCCAAGAAGATTGAACTTCCAGGATGGAGGACCACTGTCTGTAGTAAGTGCTCTTAGGAGCAGCCACCACAGGGTTTTCATAAAAGAAATCATTCTACCAATGATTGAAATCAGTATCTACACCCTGTAGGGCTCGGCATTGCAAAAGAATGGATTACAGGACCCATGTTTCAGTAATAATTCCCAGCTATTCTTATTTCTTTCTGAAAAAGGATAGGTCTGAACATAGACAGCCATGCCTGTGTATGTACCATTTGAGAAGCCCCAAATGACACAAATCCATACTCTTAACTAGGCCACATTATGGAATAACCCACTGATTTATTTTATATTTAATAGTTGATCATTTGCTTCTAGTCTCTTTTCAAAGATTCAAAGCGCCGACCTTCAGGTCAGCAGTTCAGCCAGCACAAGGGTTCAACCCACTGTGCCACTGTTGCTCCAGTGCCAATATACCATTTACCTAAATCACTTGTTCCATTATTAGTTTGTTCTTTTAAGGGGTTGTTCTGATTTTTTGCCTATCACTTGCCTTGGGTGTTGGGTCTTATGGCTAAAACATCAGAGATGTGTGTGTTAAATAAATAAATAATTCCCTTTTGTCTTCCTCCTTCAAGCCAAATACACAACATGCGCTCAGTCCCTGAATTACAGCTATGCCATCAGTTCCTGTCAGCCTACCTGTCGATCACTAAGTGAACCTGATGTCACCTGCAATATCAAATTTGTCCCTGTTGATGGATGTACATGTGAAAGCGGCACTTACTTGGATAGTTCTGGAAAATGTGTGCCTGCTCAAATGTGCCCCTGTTATTACAAAGGAAATCCTGTACTCTCTGGTGAAGTCCTCCATGATCTCGGTGCTGTATGGTAAGAGGAATCACATCACAGTCTCAACTTTATTATTCATATGTACCATAAATTGTGTTAGGATGTGAAATACAGATGGTCCCAATATAAATCATACCTGGACTTGCAAAGTAATTTGAGACTAATCTAACGAAAATGGGGAGAGCCAATTCTGTAGAGAATTATTGGAAACCAGGGGGATGTGTTCCAACAGAGACGAAGCAGCCATAGAGTTAGCAAAAGAGCAGAGTTCACCCTAGATAAATCTTCAGATGCTTTTCAAAGGGACCAGAACAGACCGAAACTGCTGATTTCAAGCAGGTTTGGCTCGCTTAGGCTTGCCATTAGACAATGTTTCCTTTTTAGAGGCTCACACAGACAGAAAGTAACTTGGTAAGCACTGTGTTCTGTTGTCCCTTTTTTCCAAGCCTCCTATATTGAGAAGGCACCTCAGGAGAGAAATAAGCATTTTTGCTACATTACACACTCTTGCTGCATTTAAAAAGAATAAAAACCCTGACTGGTAAACACACATCCTAGAAATGTATAGACGAAAATACTTATAAATCATAGATATATTTGGATTACCATTTTGCTTTCAAATTACAAGAAAAATATTATTATTATCCACACAGTGTTTTTTAAAAGAACAAAACAAAACATAATACCTTTTTCTTTCATGCAGCACTTGTAGTAAAGGAAAGCTGAACTGCATTGGTGGTGGAGGAGACTCAAAGTCAAGTAAGGAATATAAATACATGTGAAATCTATTTAGCTATTTGATTTTATTTTGTGGAAACCAGTTAAATCTATACAAAAAAAAATCATTTCTCTGCAAAGAATAAAGAAAAAAACATCAGGTTAAAAACCAGTACAGTGGGCCCTTGGTATCCGCTGATTTGGTTACAGTATATACCAAAATCAATGAGTGCTCAAGTCCCATTTTATATAATGGCTTAGTAAAATGGTGGCCCTTATATAAAATGGCAAAATCAAGGATTACTTTTTGGAGATATATATATATATATATTCAGCTATCAACAACACACACACACACACACACATATATAGCTGTTGATAGCTGAATCAGTGGTTACTGAATCTATGGATATGTAGGGTTGACTGTACTCATTTATTTAAATTCCAACTTTACTTTGCATAGGACTGAACTGTTGTTTAAGTGTTTTGATTAACAGAGATGAGTACAAAAAGGCAAAAATCCTAGAGTGCAAGCATTGCATTTCTGCTAGAAAATCATATTTATTACAAGTTGCACATAGGTACAAAATATGTTGGCGGTGATTAATGATAGTTCAAGAAACCCAGTACACTTCTGTTCAGAGTTAACTCAATTTCTTTTGCCCACTGTATCCATGCCTGAACTTTCATCTCTTACTTATAGTGTCTTTTCTCTCTCTCTCTCTTTCCCTGCTAGTATGTGTTGCTCCCATGGTATACTTTGACTGCAAAAACGCCACTGCAGGCACCACTGGAGCTGAATGTCAGAAGAGTTGTCAGACACTTGATATGCACTGTGTAAGTATGCAAGACCAGGAGTTGTGTAGTGTCTACAGACCTATGCAGCAGGTCTACAAGCCTTTCATCTGAACTCATCACATAGTCAACAGCCCTGCCTCTTACCACAATTTAGAGGATCCTGTGTGAGGAAACTATGTGCCCCGATTAATGATAATTTTGATTCAAGGACCAGCCATGCAGATCTCTGTATACACACTTCCCATCTCCCTACCCCTTGAACAGGACCCCTCTCAAATTACACAATTATAATGCTCTTCTTCCGTATTAAATGCCTTAGGGTCCTGGAACCTATAGTTTTGTGCTGTATTAAGAATTTTCTGTCAGGGAATTCTACTGCCTGACTAAACTTTGAACTCCAAGATTCCATAGAATGCAACCATGGCAATTAAATTGGAACCATAGTACTATAATTTGAGGTGTGAAATGGATCTTGAATTTCTGAGGTTTAGCCTGGAACTGTTGTATTAAGTGCAGTACAATGTTTTGTGTCCACAGGACAAGCATCAATTATTTCATGTATCCCTTGCTCTATAGTTTTCCTGGACCATCCTACAAAATAATCCTCTTTAGGCATTTTATAAGTCTGCCAGCATTACTCTATAGTAGAGGGTCTGAAACTTTTTCAGTTGTGGAAGAAAAAGTTTCTCATAGAGCGCAATGAAATGTGTATATATTATATTATATCATGCAGGAAAAGCACAATCAAGGCACCCCCAACAGATGGCCACCCCGCCTTAATAATAATAATAATAATAATAATAATAATAATAATAATAACAACAACAACAACAACAGCAACCCCAGAGGCCATCCAGTCCAACCCCCTTTGCCATGCAAGAAAATTGAAGCACCCCAACAGATCGCCACCTAGCTGTTGTAATAATGATAATGATAATAATAATAATAATAATAATAATAATAATAATAATAATAGCAGAAACCCCAGGGGACATCCACTTCAACTACCTTCTTCCATGCAATTAAAGCACAGGCACACCCCCGAGTGGTGGGAGGGAAATAGGATTTTGGAAGCAAGGAAGTAGAGGGGAAAGGCTTTTGGGGGTGAGGGAGGCGGGGAGAGGAAGAAGCAGAAAAGAGGAGGGAAAGTTTGGAGAGGGAGGAGGGGAAGGAAGGAGGATGAGGGAACAGTGGAACCCCTCAGTATGCTTTGTGGAGCCCCAAGAGCCCCACTGAGCACACTTTGAGAACCCTTGCTCTATAGTTTTCCTGGACCAGAAGTCTTTCATTTCAATAGAGTTCACCGTTATCTGCAATTTTGTGTGAAGTATCTCTGCAAATACAGAAGTTATACATTGTCTAACATATCCAGTCCCTCACTCTATTGCATTCACATCACCCTCAATCATCTTAGTAATCTGATTTTAGGTAGACAAACAAGAGCAAATCTTATGGTTTTGGGTATCATTCTCTTTCCTCTGAATCTGTTCTTTGTTCTTGGGTCTTACAGTACAGCACACAATGTGTCTCTGGATGCATGTGCCCCAGTGGATTAGTATCAGATGGTAACGGTGGCTGTATTCCTATGGAGGAGTGTCCATGTGTCCACAATGATGTAACTTATAAACCCGGAGAAAAGATCAAAGTTGACTGTAACACCTGGTAAATATTTACTCACAAATTACTAGCCTTCTGTGAGCATCTCCTAATACTTAGATGTTCTTTATTCCAAAAGAAAATGATCAGGTTAAACAACAGGTTGTAAGAAGAACATGGGGCCATCCCCAACTCATTCTTTCATGTTGATTGGTTCTTTCCCTCCAATATATACTTTAAAACATTTCTGTACTCATTTATAAATAAGTACCTGAAAACTACAGTACATTTATAATTTTTATTGATAGATCTATTTATTAGTAAATCTATTTCAAATAAAAATGTCTAGGGTAATGCACAGAAAGTCACTGTGCATCACCCTGGCACTGTTCTGTGTATTTTGAATTTTTGAATGGTTTTTATGGTTTAAACATTTGGTTTTTAATATGATAGTTCCAATGTTTATTCATATTATAATGTTTGTTTGTGTTAGATTTTAGTTCACATATTGTTATGGCTTTTATTGTTAGCTGCTTTGAGTCTCCTTTAGCAGAGAAAAAGCAGAGTACAAATAATAATTAATAATAATAATAACAACAACAACAACAACAACAACAACCATCATCACCATCCCTATCAAAAATGTTATGAAATAAATAAATAAATCATCATCAATATTATTCTTCAGAGTAGTACAATGTTTAAGAGGTATAATGTTCTTTGAAAGTCTTGGGCCCCATCTACACTATCATATAATGCAGTTTGAAACTGCCTTGATCTGGTACTGAAAAAAGGTGCCCAGCCACCAGGAGGCCTCTCAGAGTATTCCTTTGCGAATTTATTTATTTATTTATTTATTTACTTGTATACCGCAGTTTCTCAGCCCAACAGGCGGCTCAACGCGAAGGCTCATTTCCTAGTTGTCACCCACTGCACTTTAATGGGGCACCTGGAAAAGACCTTGATGTAATGGACTAGTACTTACGCAGCTGACACAACTGTAAAGCATGTTTGGATGGCACAGTTCACTTCTCATTATCCAACAATTAATCCTTCAAATCAATTGATTCTGTATCCATGGATCCAACCATCCACTGCGTGAAAAAAAATTATAACTCCTAAAGTTTTAAAACTCCCAATTTTGCCATTTTATTACATCATATGTATATAATTGAACTTGAGCATCCACCGATTTTGGTATCCACTGAGAAGTGGGGGGTGTTTTGGTCCTGCAACCAAACTCCAGTGGATACCAAGGGATCATTGAACATTGTAATGCATGAAAACTCATGGAAATTGATATTTATCTAGTAATGTCTATAACAATTTTCTTTATAAAGATAAAATCAAATGTACCTCAAGTCTAAAATTATTATAAATGATAATGTTCATATCATTAGAAATCAGTGCCTTATCATTTCAGAACAAAACAAGGAAAAGTTATGAAAAACTTTTGACTTTTCCACAATATAGGATTTTGGACTTCTAATACACGTGAATGGCCACAATTGATATTACCTGTAATAGAAACAACATATTGTAGTTAATTAGTTTGAATATCTGTTTTTTCCAACTCCTACCAAGTTATGCAAAATAATGCTATATATGGGTGATTTTTCTACACTTCTCCCTCCCCACTCACAGCTCCCATATCTGTTGTTGAAGGCTTTCACATCTGGAATCAATGGAGTGTTGTGTGGCTTTCAGGCTGTATGGCCGTGTTCTAACATCATCTTCATATCACTTCTATCTTCTCTTCATACATTATCTATGACTAATTCAAGATATAATCCATTTAACCATGTTTCACAGGGATACAACATCCCATATTAAACAAATATATGACAGTTTATATTTGTGCAAACAGAGCCTTCACTTTTAAATGCAACCTTTTCTTTTTGTTCAGTGTATGTAAGGACAGAATGTGGAAGTGCACAAAGAACAAATGCTTGGCTACCTGTGCTGTTTATGGAGATGGACATTATATCACTTTTGATGACAAGCGTTACATTTTCAATGGGAAGTGTGAATACACCTTAGTCCAGGTATGGTGCAGCTGGCTTGGCATTATTATTCATGAAGCGGCCTTCAGCCATTAGAGAAAGAAATAAACTGTTCCATTTTGTCTTCCCCACACCTGCCCTTCTTAGGATCGCTGTGGACAGAATAGCTCCAACAATGCAACTTTCCGAGTCATCACCGAAAACGTTCCCTGTGGCACAACTGGAACCACTTGCTCAAAAACTATTAAAATATTTTTTGGGGTAAGTAGCTTCCCTGGCTTGCTAATACAAAATGATCAAGGATTAGGTTTTGCAAAGTGACATTATGTCATCTGTACATTACGTTCCAAAGAACACTTTACCAAACAAACAACTCTGAATAGGCAACTTAAGAGTGAAGTGCACTTTGCAAATTTTGCAAAGGGTTCAAAAATCCATGCAACTTGTGTTGTGTATTTATGGTTCTCAAACAAGAGCCCTCCCACTTCTTCTTGTGGAAAGTGAGGAAAATATTGTATTTCACAGGCGTGAGGTGAGCAAGAATCACTTGTCTAATTTCGGTGGTGGCAGTGGGAGCCATGGAGCCTAATGACTCCCACCGCACCCCAGAGAACCACTTCTGTGGTGGCTCTGTGACTGAACTGCTGCCGCTGCTGAAAAATTAGCAGCAGGCTCCACGTCTTTCCATTATGAAAAATGGGTAAAGCCACCAAAACCAGGCTTCCCTCCATGTAAAGAGGCAGGGGGGAAATCGCGACTGAGCGGGGAGCAGGGTGACAGGTCCCAACGCCGACTGTGCAAGCACTGCTGGGAAATGCTGAGACACCACCATTTCCAGCAGCACATGTAGCAAGGTGACAAGCCAACCCCGACTGGGACTGCCTTCCAACTGGAAACCAATGCCCTCTCTGAGGGAGAACATGCAGGTCAAGAATAGGGCTCCACAGTCACCTATGCACTTGCATGTGCATGGGTGATACACTTCCCTCCAGTAACCCAAGAAGGCACATATACAAATGGTTGGAGTAGAAAATGGCCACAACTCATTTATTGGTAACAGGAACAAGGGTTGGCAGTCAGGCATGGGTCCTGGATCAAAGGTCGGGCAGCCCGATGCTGTTCACTAGCCTGGGTGCCGCCGGCCCAATACCGGTCAACGCAAACTTGGCACTCCAGGGCCCACCTGCGTTATCCCCCCTTCAACCAAGGGGCAATAAACCAATCAGATCCAGGGCCCATGCCACACGCCAAACACAGAGTTGTGTCAGGATAGCAAGCTAACAACAAAAAAGGCTAACAAAACACAGAACAATAGCATGCAGGGTGGGAGGGATGGCAACGCTGAAGCAGGCCAGGTGCCCAGTGCCTGCTGGAAGGCCTCAGGCAACCTAAGTAGGATGTCTGGGTGGAAGGGAGGGCCGGCCGCAGCCTGGCCCCGGATGGGGTGGTGCCAGCCCATCCATTGGCCGGCTGGCCCCACTGGCGGGAAACTTTCCTGCCACCCAAGCCCTCCTGGGGGCTTCTGGGAGGAAGAAGCCCCCGAGAAGATGGCGAGGACATCCCCGCGCTGCAACCCTGTTTGGTCCGGTAAGTCGGGCCAAGCCTTTTACCACCAGTACACTGAACGTGGAAGACTATCATCCTAGGGCTACGAGGGATCGCCTAAGAAGTGACAAGGTTTTTAATTCTGCATCATTGCCATCTGTACAGAGGGTCCAACCAAGAAAATTCAACAAGTTTAATCTTATCTATAAAAACTGATTAAGTAGCTTTGCTTACAAATACTAAAGATTTCATAACATCTCATGATGAGTCTCTATAGAATGTGCTCTTCAGACATGAAAGTGAGAGACAAAAAAGCAGACTAAAAATGCAAGGCAAAGTGTAGGAAGTCAAAGTGTGTGGTTAAGTCCAACATGAATACGTATATGCTATGTTCAAATCCTTAGTTTGGAGATTAACAGCTATGGAGTACAGCACATTAAGATTGCTGCTTCTGCCTCCTTTTTTTAACCGCTTTTGAAAATAAAGCAATGGAAAAAGTTCAGTCTGCAAGTCACATGAAGCCCCTAAAACCATTTTTGCATCTCTTCAAACCACCGCCTCCCACCAAAAAAATAAAAAATAAAAATCTTAAGGGGGAATTCCTCTCATTGAATACTGTTTAGAATCATAGAATCATAGAGTTGGAAGAGACCTCATGGGCCATCCAGTCCAACCCCCCTGCCAAGAAGCAGGAAATTGCATTCAAAGCACCCCTGACAGATGGCCATCCAGCCTCTGTTTAAAAGCCTCCAAAGAGGGAGCCTCCACCACACTCCGGGGCAGGGAGTTCCACTGCCGAACAGCTCTCACAGTCAGGGAGTTCTTCCTAATGTTCAGATGGAATCGCCTTTCTTGTAGTTTGAGGCCGTTGTTCCGCGTCCTAGTCTCCAGGGCAGCAGAAAACAAGCTTGCTCCCTACGACTTCCTCTCACATACTTATACATGGCTATCATGTCTCCTCTCAGCCTTCTCTTCTTCAGGCTAAACATGCTCAGCTCTTTAAGCCGCTACTCATAGGGTAGGAAGTCCTTGGATAGGACTTCCACTAATACACCTCCATTCTCTTTTTCTCCACCCCAAAAACAAAGAAAACTTGTACAAAACCTCCAAAACCAGTTTTCAGAAGAAAAAGTGATGATGCAATTCCCCAGAGAACCCGAAAATGGCCCATTCCACATTTGTCCACTCTTTCAAATAAACATGGAAATTCTGGGACACCAGGTGGACACATGAAAGCAACATACTTCCAAGTTCTTCATATTGTCCCTGTGTGTGTGTGTGTGTTCTGGCAATGATGTGAGGATAGAGAAGAAAGCCAAACTCATTTTGGCCAGAAACTGCATCTTCAAGTGGAAGGGATCATGTTATTACAATGTTTGACTGTAGACAAACTTTCTCTGTGTAGAAAAAATCCTGTTGTTTAAATTAACAATTACAGACTGGATTGTGTTCATTGACTAAGTGATCTGTCACGAATTGCTGATATGTAAAGTGTCCCTTAGATAAAAACATTTCAAGGATTTGGTCCAAGCAGATTAATTAATAAAATGAGCAATAGTACAATGTAATCATATTCAGTTTTGAATATTGTGAATGGTTTCCATTTTTTATTTTCTTTGCCAGACCGATGAACTAATACTCAGTGAGGAGCACCATGAACTGATACAAAGGGGTGAAGGAAATCATCCACTGCCCTACAGGATTCGCTACATGGGCATCTACTTGGTTATTGAAACCTACAATGGACTGGTCATCTTATGGGACAAAAAAACAAGCATCTTTATTAAACTAAGTGCTGATTTCAAGGTGAGACACTCTTTCAAACAGGAATTGGAGAAGCCAGGCCTATAGGGATCCACCATACCACGTCAATATTTTTGTTTTATTTTTCTTTCCTTTCTCTCTTTTTTGAGACCTGTTACTTTTTTCTTTGTAATGGCCCCATACCAACTAAAGGCAGCTATTGGTTTATACTTCTGGTTTGATGAAGTCCTCTCCCTGGTTTAGACAAAGTTTCGCCTGCAATTAAAACTGCTAGAGCAGACATAGCACATATATGGTACAGAGGACATTTGAGAATATATATATATGATTCAACTATGTAAAATGGTGAAGTGTGAGTTCAGCCACACATTTTAGGTACTTGCTTATACCTACTTTACAGGTCAGGTATATCTTGCTCAATGTTGTATATTGCTTTGTTTTATCGTACATCCTGATTTTAAAGTAATTGGGTTTTAAGTGCATTTATTTTATTGAAAATTACAGTTGTGTAAATGAGTTTAGGAATCACAGCTGGTCTAAAGGGTCGATGGACCTTTTCTATAATGACTGTATTAATTTTATTTCCTCCTCTGTACAGGGCCAAGTCTGTGGCTTGTGTGGGAATTATGATGGCAGTGGAGTTAATGATTTTACAACTCGAAGTCAATCTGTAGTAGGTAATGTGTTGGAATTTGGAAACAGTTGGAAGGTATCTCCCACGTGCCCTGATGCTAAGTGCACAAAGGATCCCTGTGCCAAGAACCCCTACCGAAAATCATGGTCTCAGAAGCAATGCAGCATCATCAACAGCAAGACCTTTGCTACCTGCCATTCTCACGTATGTCACATTTCCTGGGCAGAATATTTCTAAGCCTGTGTAGTTTCAGACCTGTAAACTTTATATGTAGTGATTTCATTGTTGGGTTGGTGTGAGTTTTTCAGACTTTATGGCCATGTTCTAGAAGCATTCTCTCCTGACGTTTTGCCCACATCTATTGCAGACATCCTCAGAGGTTGTGAGGTTTGTTGGAAACTAGGCAAGTGAGGTTTATAGATCTGTGGAATGTCCAGGGTGGGAGAAAGAACTCTTGTCTGCTTGAGGCAAGTGTGAATGTTGGAATTGGCCAGCTTGATCAGCATTGAATAGCCTTGCAGCTTCAAAGCCTGGTTGCTGCCTGCCTGTTGGAATCCTTTGCTGGGAAGTATTAGCTGGCCCTGATTGTTTCCTGTCTGGAATTTCCCTGTTTCATCTGTGTTGTTTTTTTTTTTTATTTACTGTCCTGATTTCAGAGTTGTTTAATACTGGTAGACAGATTTTTAAAAACTCTAAAATCAGGAACAGTCAATAATTGTTTTTTTAATGCTTCATTAATTTTAACCAGGGCCTTTAAAAATTGGACTATAGTTCTTAGAGTCCTCTAGCATGCGTTCTGAAGGGGGGGGGGGGGAACCATTTCAAGTTCTAATTCCAGCACAAGCATTATAAGGCAAGTAGCTTTCAAAATGATACCAAACCTTGACATTTATCATTTTATAGTAACAGCCTTATATTATGAATTCTACAGTTCAATAGGGATTTCCCTGAACAAACAAGACTACCTTCTTTTTAAAGGCACTTTTCCCAGGACTGTAGCCAGAGAACAATGCTTGCATCTTCTGTGAATCTGATAATTTTCAGTTTCTCCTATACAATCAATTATATTTTCATTTTCTCCACCATGTAACCAAGTGTTTCATTGTACTGTTAATGTGTGAATTATTTTGCCTAGTAGTCCAGATTCTACAAAGGAATTGCAAAACTGGGGGAGGGGAGGGGGAGGGAATAGTATTTTTCTCTTTTGTTTGTTTTGTTTTAACGTTAAATACATTTTATTCTTACACAAGCAGATGGACACACAAACCTTAACCCAGTATTTCGAAATAGGTTGCACTATACTCAAAGATCTGAATCCCATTGCTAGTTCCAGCTAGAATAAGCCATTGAATAATTGAATCTATTTGTTAACTCATCACACAGATGATTTGATGGGCTTATTCTAAATCGAACTAACAGAATTCCAGCCAAATAGATTAATAGAAATCTTTCACCTTGTTATTCTAAAAGTGTGTAAATAAAGACAACTTTCTATAAAACAGCTGCCTTCTCATCTACTTTGTGAGGCTGTTTAAATTCAGTGATTTTACAGCCAACTTCTTATGCCTTATATGTTTATCCTTTATATGTCAATTTAGAAGAATGCCACTAGTGAAATATGCTTCAGAAATACCACAAGACATATAGCAATCCCCTTATTTTTTTAAAATAGGTTGACCCAACTAAATATTATGAAGCTTGTGTGACTGACTCTTGTGCTTGTGATGCCGGAGGAGATTGTGAATGTTTCTGTACCGCAGTAGCTGCCTATGCTCAAGCATGTAGTGAATTTGGAGTGTGTGTCACATGGAGGTCACCATCCATCTGTCGTGAGTATTTCTACTTCAGTGGATAATGAAAATGAAGGGATAGAAAATGAAAGAGGAGCTTCAAGATCATACCCTACTGGATATAAAATATAAATACTTTTTTGATATATTGCCTTACAGTGAATGGCACATTGAAAAAAACTGGAATTTTACACAGCTGTGAATGCTTATCATGAACCATTTAGGATTTCAAATGCAAAGAAAATATTTCCTATCATAGTTATTGGAAATAACTCTCTCCTATTTGAATCAAGCTAATATACAGAGTTGTGTTGAACAAAATGGAGTTATGTAGGTGGTTGTGATCCATATCAGGTGACACCATGAGATCACAACAAAACAACTGTCTACAAAAATGGTAGAAGTATTAAATTGTACACTGCTATAAATTGTTTTAAATTGATTTTTGTGACACTGCACCGGGAGCTTGTAATCTACGATGGAATGCAAATACTTTTTCTGTTGCCTTTTTGGTTTGTTTATTGTTTATTTTAATATAAGCAGTCATATGCATCCACACAGAAAACTTTGGTTCTTCATCATTTCCCCTTCCTGTTTCTTTTAGCACTGTTCTGTGACTACTACAATGCTGAAGGTGAATGTGACTGGCACTACAAGCCTTGTGGAGCCCCATGCATGAAGACGTGTAGAAACCCAAGTGGGAGATGCCTTCATCATTTACCAGGCTTGGAAGGTAAGGTAGCCACTAACATATTGCACTGATAGTGCCACTGACTGCACCATATTCAAGAGGTTTAAGGCATGCACACATACACAGATTAATCAATATAGTTTCTATAGGGTTTTATCACTCTTTTTCAGTAGTTTCTCCAGTTTGCATAATGTTTTCCTCGAACTGCTGTTAACTAAGGGAAACACATTTCCCTCTCCATCTTGATTGTTAGAAGCATCTTTGGGCACTGGAAACAGTCCTCAAAACAGGAAATGGGGATCCATGGACTGTATGTGACTCTCAAACTCTATTTCCATGGTCACTGATGTCCCCTTTATGGTCCCCCCAAAGCCCTTCCCTCCACTCTCAGCTTCTAATTCCTCCTTTTTAGTTTTGTGGATTTGGGAGGGATTTGTAAGTTAAACCTGTTCAAATACCCCCCAATGTGGACTAGGTTGTTCACTCTTTCAGGCTCCAGTCCATAAAAGCAAAATAATGCTAAGCTCAGATGAAAATGGCAAACAGAAGTGATGTGACATTATTTACAATGTATTTCACAGTGGCCCTTGGAGGACTGGCCCTCAACACAGTTTCCTACCGCAGTGTAAAAACAAAAACGCAATCAAGACAATCTGAACTATGTCTAAAATACATTAGAAACAGAAAAAAAAACCAAGAGAAAAGCAGATCCTAAGAAGAGGTTAGCATCCATGCCATTAAGTGTTATATAATAAATACTTTTTACATGGCACCTATAGGGTAGCTGATAGACATACATGGCAAGGGAGATACAGAAATGGCATCTCACCATAAGACAGCCTGTTCCTGATAGCCACCCACCAAAGTTTGAAAAGGTTATCTTTTAAGACAACAGCTACCAGAATCCCCATAGGTTTGCTCTGTATTTTACTTCTCTCTCTCAATTAACTTTTCCTTTCTCTTAGGTTGTTATCCATACTGTCCTCCTGAGAAGCCTTATTTCAGTGAGGACGAGATGAGATGTGTTAGTGTTTGTGGCTGCTATGATGGTCAGGGTGACTATTACCCACCAGGAACAATATTTGACTCAAAGAAGACATGTCAGACATGGTAAAATATAATAATAATAATAATAATAATAATAATAATAATAATAATAATAATAATAATAATACTACACTTTATTTATATTCTGCTCTATCTCCCCGAGGGGACCCAGAATGGATTACAACATATACAGATAGGCAAACATTCAATGCCTTTAATACAGTGAAATAACAATATATATGTAGCCTTGGCAATATTTGGAGCAAATAATTTTGCTAGAGCTTAGCAACCAAACGTTCCCAATCAATGAAATCACTGACAATAAGAATGTCTGTGTTTTGTTGTGTCCTTTCAAGTCATTCTGCTTTATGGCAACCATAAGGCAAACCTATCACAGGAATTTCTTGGCAATATTTGTTCAGAGAGCGTTTTCCACCTCTTAGGCTGAGATAGTGATTCCACAAGGTCACCCAGTGGCTTCCATGGTTGAGGGTGGGTTCACACGTGGTAATACGATGGTCTTTCAGCAGAGCAGGAACACACATTCACAGAGTTGAACCAAAAAAAAAAAATCCTAAATTTAGCATCTACTGAGCTCAGCAATCATTGAAAAAAATATTTTTAAAGACTGATTGAACCATGGTAGCCTCTTAATTTGTTAGATAGGGAATGCATAACAGTGATACTGTATAGGAAATGGATGAGAAAATAGTTCTAATGTGATTTTTATGTACCACCTTCCCTTGTTTCCTATATCTCTATAACTGTCTATAGTAAAGGTAAAGGTTTTCCCCTTGACATTAAGTCTAGTCGTGTCCAACTCTGGGGGATGGTGCTCATCTCTATTTCTAAGCCGAAGAGCCAGCGCTCTTCATAGCTGCCTCCAAAGTTATGTGGCTGGCATGACTGCATGGAGTGCCGTTACTGTCTATAATTATAGCAAATGTTGGAAAATAAAATATTTGAGAAACATTTAAAAATGAATGTTTTAAAATAAATTGCCTTTATACAGTATTAATTGTGCAGGCCCTAAAGTTGGGAACAGGGGTGGCACAAGAGCATCAGTTCTCACCTGTGGAATGTTAGGCATTATATTCTGTAAAAATTATATATCAACTTGACCTTATTTTTACAATACATATTATTTTTAAATCAAAATTTGCATTTGGATATAAATAAGAAAATAAGTGTGTGAAGTTTATGTGAAGTTATAAAATTATTTTTTCTATTGTTTTTCTTACAGTCAATGCACCAATAAAGGCATGGAGTGTAGCTATGATCCTAAAGGTACAGTATACAAATTTATGATGAGCACTTTAAGAACTATTTCCTATGACTTTTCCTAACCACAAGTTTCTCATTCTTCCCAATTTCAGCATGTTACTGCTATTACGAAGGAAAGACCTATACCTACAGGGATGTCATCTACAACACCACAGATGGCTTGGGCTGGTGCATGATTGCAACCTGTGATGTCAATGGAACCATAAATAGAGAAGTGTACAAATGTGCAGGAACAACCCCAACAACACCATTTACATTTACCACTGTTTCAACGACAACATCAAGTGGAACAGGTATACTATCTTGGCCTGAAATTAAGTACATGGAAGTAACTGCCGCTTAATTCAAGCACAGTATTTCTTCAAATAACATTTAAGCAGGGTTGAACACATACATTTCAAAGAAATTATCTGATTTAGTAGCACAACTTTCTTCTAAATAATGTAATAAATTCTCAGATGAATCGAAAACACTCAAATTCCCAAAATATCACACCCTAGACAAAACAAATATGCCAATAATAACTGACTCCTTTAAAAATAATTAATATTGTCATTCACTGTCCTTTTAATTTCTGGATAGGAAGATACCTCCCTTAGGCAGGCCTGGTGTAAGTTCAAAAGATTTTGTAATGTTACAACTGAGACTTTTAGAGGTGCAAAATAACTTTTTATGAGAAAAAAAGGAAAAATGGGATGCAGAATAGAGGCATTATAATTTTAATTACACAAAGAAATATACCAGCAATATTTCTGAGAAAGACATGGGAAAAGTAATTATGAAAATCAAGTAAAATGAAATTAAATGAAACCATCTCTTTGACAGGAGCTACGACACCAATCACAACATCATGTGTGCACATCGAATGTGAATGGACAGAATGGTACGATGTCAGTTACCCAAGTTATGACAAAAACAATGGTGACTATGAAACTCCAGAAAACATAAGAAACCAAGGATATAACTTTTGTAAGATCCCAGATGAAGTGGAATGCAGAGCACAAAGATTTCCCAATGAAAAATTGGAAGCATTAAATCAAAAGATAACTTGTAGCAAAACGAGTGGATTGATCTGTAATAACAAAGACCAGTTTCCACCAATCTGTAACAATTATGAGATCAGATTCTTGTGCTGTGAGTATACACCATGCAGTGTTGTAACCACTGTACCAAGCACATCAACTACTGCTGAAACAACACCTGCATATAAAACAGTATCAACAACATCTATCACAGGCAACACCCCAGTTCCGTCAGTTTCCACCACAATACACAGCACTACAGTTGTGTCCACCACACCAATTATAACAGCCTCTGTCAGCACACCAGGAACAACCCCTGGGAAAGGCTCTACTGTGACAGCTACATCCCTGCAGTCCACCCCCATATCCAAGCCTACAGCAACTATTCCAACCTCAGGAAAGACCCCCGAGATTCCCAGAACCACAACCACAATGCTTCCGCCATCCTCTTCCACTACCATATGCCAGCCCGAATGCCAGTGGACTCCTTGGTTTGATAACCACTATCCAAGCTCAGACCCGAAAGATGGAGACAAGGAAAACCATGAGACCATCCTGGCAGCAGGCGGGCAGCTTTGTGACAATCCCCAGGACATCCAGTGCATAGCAGAGGACTACTCTGATGTCAGCCTGGAGGACCTTGGTCAGAAACTTCAATGCAACCTCAACACAGGCCTTTTGTGTAAGAATTCACAACAGACTGGAAAGGTGAAATGGTGTTACAACTACAAAACCAGATACCTATGTTGCAATGACAGCCATTGCAAACCTGCAACTACGCCTGCAGGTTCTACGACGGCAGCCACCACGCCAGTTGTAAGCACCACCTTGGGAAAGAGCACACTGCCAGCATCTTCTGCAGGCTCCACCCCACTTCCGCCGGTCCCTACTACTACGCAGAGCACCTCAGTTGTGTCCACCACCCCAATTGTAACAGCCTCTGTCAGCACCCCAAGAACAACCCCTGGGAAAAGCACTACTGTGACAGCTACCTCCCTGCAGTCCACTCCAATATCGAAGCCTACAGCAACAATCCCAACCTCAGGAAAGACCCCTGGGATTCCCGGAACCACAACCACCGCCCTTCCACCATCCAGCACACTAGGAACAAGCCCTGGGAAAGGCTCTACTGCAATAGCTACATCCCAGCAGTCCACCCGTATATCCAAGCCTACGGCAACAATCCCAACTTCTGGGAAGACCCCCGGGATTCCCGGAACTACAACTACCGCTCTTCCGCCATCCTCTTCCACTACCACCTGCCAGCCCATATGCGAGTGGACTCCTTGGTTTGATAACCACTATCCAAGCTCAGACCCGAAAGACGGAGACAAGGAAAACCATGAGACCATTCAGGCAGCAGGCGGGCAGCTTTGCGACAAGCCCATGGATATCGAGTGCAGATCAGAGGACCACCCCGGTATCAGCCTAAAGGAACTTGGTCAGAACGTTCAATGCAACCTCGACACAGGGCTTTGGTGCCAGAATTCAGAGCAGACCGGAAAGATGGATCAGTGCTATAACTACCAGACCAGATACTTATGTTGCAACAACAGACACTGCAAACCTGCAACCACGCCAGCGGGTTCCACGACGGCTGCCACTACGCCAGTTGTAAGCACCACCTTGGGAAAGAGCACACTGCCAGCATCTTCCGTGGGCTCCACCCCACTTCCGCCGATCTCCACTACTACGCAAAGCACCACAGTTGTGTCCACCACCGCAATTGTAACTGCCTCTGTCAGCACACCAGGAACAACCCCTGGGAAAGGCTCTACTGTGACAGCTACATCCCTGCAGTCCACCCCCATATCCAAGCCTACGACAACAATCCCAACCTCAGGAAAGACCCCAGGGATTCCCGAAACCACAACCAGCTCGCTTCCCCCATCCAGCACACCAGGAACAACCCCTGGGAAAGGCTCTACTGTGACAGCTACATCCCTGAAGTCCACCCCCATATCCAAGCCTACAGCAACTATTCCAACCTCAGGAAAGACCCCCGGGATTCCCAGAACCACAACCACAATGCTTCCGCCATCCTCTTCCACAACCATATGCCAGCCCCAATGCCAGTGGACTCCTTGGTTTGATAACCACTATCCAAGCTCAGACCCGAAAGATGGAGACAAGGAAAACCGAGCACCACAGTTGTGTCCACCACCCCAATTGTAACAGCCTCTGTCAGCACCCCAAGAACAACCCCTGGGAAAAGCACTACTGTGACAGCTACCTCCCTGCAGTCCACCCCAATATCGAAGCCTACAGCAACAATCCCAACCTCAGGAAAGACCCCTGGGATTCCCGGAACAACAACCACCGCGCTTCCACCATCCAGCACACTAGGAACAACCCCTGGGAAAAGCTCTACTGCGATAGCTACATCCCAGCAGTCCACCCCTATATCCAAGCCTACGGCAACAATCCCAACTTCTGGGAAGACCCCCGGGATTCCCGGAACTACAACTACCGCTCTTCCGCCATCCTCTTCCACTACCACCTGCCAGCCCATATGCGAGTGGACTCCTTGGTTTGATAACCACTATCCAAGCTCAGACCCGAAAGACGGAGACAAGGAAAACCATGAGACCATTCAGGCAGCAGGCGGGCAGCTTTGCGACAAGCCCATGGATATCGAGTGCAGATCAGAGGACCACCCCGGTATCAGCCTGAAGGAACTTGGTCAGAACGTTCAATGCAACCTCGACACAGGGCTTTGGTGCCAGAATTCAGAGCAGACCGGAAAGATGGATCAGTGCTATAACTACCAGACCAGATACTTATGTTGCGACGACAGACATTGCAAACCTGCAACCACGCCAGCGGGTTCCACAACGGCTGCCACCACGCCAGTTGTAAGCACCACCTTGGGAAAGAGCACACTGCCAGCATCTTCCGTGGGCTCTACCCCACTTCCGCCGGTCTCCACAACTACGCAAAGCACCACAGTTGTGTCCACCACCGAAATTGTAACAGCCTCTGTCAGCACACCAGGAACAACCCCTGGGAAAGGCTCTACTATGACAGCCACATCCCTGCAGTCCACCCCCATATCCAAGCCTACGGCAACAATCCCAACCTCAGGAAAGACCCCTGGGATTCCTGGAACCACAACCACCTCGCTTCCCCCATCCAGCACACCGGGAACAACCCCTGGGAAAGGCTCTACTGTGACAGCTACATCCCTGAAGTCCACCCCCATATCCAAGCCTACTGCAACTATCCCAACCTCAGGAAAGACCCCCGAGATTCCCAGAACCACAACTACAATGCTTCCGCCATCCTCTTCCACTACCATATGCCAGCCCCAATGCCAGTGGACTCCTTGGTTTGATAACCACTATCCAAGCTCAGACCCGAAAGATGGAGATAAGGAAAACCATGAGACCATCCTGGCAGCAGGCGGGCAGCTTTGTGACAATCCCCAGGACATCCAGTGCATAGCAGAGGACTACTCTGATGTCAGCCTGGAGGACCTTGGTCAGAAACTTCAATGCAACCTCAACACAGGCCTTTTGTGTATGAATTCACAACAGACTGGAAAGGTGAAATGGTGTTACAACTACAAAACCAGATACCTATGTTGCAATGACAGCCATTGCAAACCTGCAACTACGCCTGCAGGTTCTACGACGGCAGCCACCACGCCTGTTGTAAGCACCACCTTGGGAAAGAGCACACTGCCAGCATCTTCTGCAGGCTCCACCCCCCTTCCGCCGGTCCCTACTACTACACAGAGCACCACAGTTGTGTCCACCACCCCAATTGTAACAGCCTCTGTCAGCACCCCAAGAACAACCCCTGGGAAAAGCACTACTGTGACAGCTACCTCCCTGCAGTCCACCCCAATATCGAAGCCTACAGCAACAATCCCAACCTCAGGAAAGACCCCTGGGATTCCCGGAACAACAACCACCGCGCTTCCACCATCCAGCACACTAGGAACAACCCCTGGGAAAAGCTCTACTGCGATAGCTACATCCCAGCAGTCCACCCCTATATCCAAGCCTACGGCAACAATCCCAACTTCTGGGAAGACCCCCGGGATTCCGGAAACTACAACTACCGCTCTTCCGCCATCCTCTTCCACTACCACCTGCCAGCCCATATGCGAGTGGACTCCTTGGTTTGATAACCACTATCCAAGCTCAGACCCGAAAGATGGAGACAAGGAAAACCATGAGACCATTCAGGCAGCAGGCGGGCAGCTTTGCGACAAGCCCATGGATATCGAGTGCAGATCAGAGGACCACCCCGGTATCAGCCTGAAGGAACTTGGTCAGAACGTTCAATGCAACCTCGACACAGGGCTTTGGTGCCAGAATTCAGAGCAGACCGGAAAGATGGATCAGTGCTATAACTACCAGACCAGATACTTATGTTGCGACGACAGACATTGCAAACCTGCAACCACGCCAGCGGGTTCCACAACGGCTGCCACCACGCCAGTTGTAAGCACCACCTTGGGAAAGAGCACACTGCCAGCATCTTCCGTGGGCTCTACCCCACTTCCGCCGGTCTCCACAACTACGCAAAGCACCACAGTTGTGTCCACCACCGAAATTGTAACAGCCTCTGTCAGCACACCAGGAACAACCCCTGGGAAAGGCTCTACTATGACAGCCACATCCCTGCAGTCCACCCCCATATCCAAGCCTACGGCAACAATCCCAACCTCAGGAAAGACCCCTGGGATTCCTGGAACCACAACCACCTCGCTTCCCCCATCCAGCACACCGGGAACAACCCCTGGGAAAGGCTCTACTGTGACAGCTACATCCCTGAAGTCCACCCCCATATCCAAGCCTACTGCAACTATCCCAACCTCAGGAAAGACCCCCGAGATTCCCAGAACCACAACTACAATGCTTCCGCCATCCTCTTCCACTACCATCTGCCAGCCCCAATGCCAGTGGACTCCTTGGTTTGATAACCACTATCCAAGCTCAGACCCGAAAGATGGAGATAAGGAAAACCATGAGACCATCCTGGCAGCAGGCGGGCAGCTTTGTGACAATCCCCAGGACATCCAGTGCATAGCAGAGGACTACTCTGATGTCAGCCTGGAGGACCTTGGTCAGAAACTTCAATGCAACCTCAACACAGGCCTTTTGTGTAAGAATTCACAACAGACTGGAAAGGTGAAATGGTGTTACAACTACAAAACCAGATACCTATGTTGCAATGACAGCCATTGCAAACCTGCAACTACGCCTGCAGGTTCTACGACGGCAGCCACCACGCCAGTTGTAAGCACCACCTTGGGAAAGAGCACACTGCCAGCATCTTCCGCAGGCTCCACCCCACTTCCGCCGGTCCCTACTACTACACAGAGCACCACAGTTGTGTCCACCACCCCAATTGTAACAGCCTCTGTCAGCACCCCAAGAACAACCCCTGGGGAAAGCACTACTGTGACAGCTACCTCCCTGCAGTCCACCCCAATATCGAAGCCTACAGCAACAATCCCAACCTCAGGAAAGACCCCTGGGATTCCCGGAACCACAACCACCGCCCTTCCACCATCCAGCACACTAGGAACAACCCCTGGGAAAGGCTCTACTGCGATAGCTACATCCCAGCAGTCCACCCCTATATCCAAGCCTACGGCAACAATCCCAACCTCTGGAAAGACCCCCGGGATTCCCGGAACCACAACTACCGCTCTTCCGCCATCCTCTACCACCTGCCAGCCCAAATGCGAGTGGACTCCTTGGTTTGATAACCACTATCCAAGCTCAGACCCGAAAGACGGAGACAAGGAAAACCATGAGACCATTCAGGCAGCAGGCGGGCAGCTTTGCGACAAGCCCATGTATATCGAGTGCAGATCAGAGGACCACCCCGATATCAGCCTGAAGGACATTGGTCAGAACGTTCAATGCAACCTCGACACAGGGCTTTGGTGCCAGAATTCAGAGCAGACTGGAAAGATGGATCAGTGTTATAACTACCAGACCAGATACTTATGTTGCGACGACAGCCACTGCAAACCTGCAACCACGCCAGCGGGTTCCACGACGGCTGCCACCACGCCACTTGTAAGCACTACCTTGGGAAAGAGCACACTGCCAGCATCTTCCGTGGGCTCCACCCCACTTCCGCCGGTCTCCACTACTACGCAGAGCACCACAGTTGTGTCCACCACCGCAATTGTAACAGCCTCTGTCAGCACACCAGGAACAACCCCTGGGAAAGGCTCTACTGTGACAGCCACATCCCTGCAGTCCACCCCCATATCCAAGCCTACGGCAACAATCCCAACCTCAGGAAAGACCCCTGGGATTCCTGGAACCACAACCACCTCGCTTCCCCCATCCAGCACACCGGGAACAACCCCTGGGAAAGGCTCTACTGTGACAGCTACATCCCTGAAGTCCACCCCCATATCCAAGCCTACTGCAACTATCCCAACCTCAGGAAAGACCCCCGAGATTCCCAGAACCACAACTACAATGCTTCCGCCATCCTCTTCCACTACCATATGCCAGCCCCAATGCCAGTGGACTCCTTGGTTTGATAACCACTATCCAAGCTCGGACCCGAAAGATGGAGATAAGGAAAACCATGAGACCATCCTGGCAGCAGGCGGGCAGCTTTGTGACAATCCCCAGGACATCCAGTGCATAGCAGAGGACTACTCTGATGTCAGCCTGGAGGACCTTGGTCAGAAACTTCAATGCAACCTCAACACAGGCCTTTTGTGTAAGAATTCACAACAGACTGGAAAGGTGAAATGGTGTTACAACTACAAAACCAGATACCTATGTTGCAATGACAGCCATTGCAAACCTGCAACTACGCCTGCAGGTTCTACGACGGCAGCCACCACGCCAGTTGTAAGCACCACCTTGGGAAAGAGCACACTGCCAGCATCTTCCGCAGGCTCCACCCCACTTCCGCCGGTCCCTACTACTACACAGAGCACCACAGTTGTGTCCACCACCCCAATTGTAACAGCCTCTGTCAGCACCCCAAGAACAACCCCTGGGAAAAGCACTACTGTGACAGCTACCTCCCTGCAGTCCACTCCAATATCGAAGCCTACAGCAACAATCCCAACCTCAGGAAAGACCCCTGGGATTCCCGGAACCACAACCACCGCCCTTCCACCATCCAGCACACTAGGAACAACCCCTGGGAAAGGCTCTACTGCGATAGCTACATCCCAGCAGTCCACCCCTATATCCAAGCCTACGGCAACAATCCCAACCTCTGGAAAGACCCCCGGGATTCCCAGAACCACAACTACCGCTTTTCCGCCATCCTCTTCCACTACCACCTGCCAGCCCAAATGCGAGTGGACTCCTTGGTTTGATAACCACTATCCAAGCTCAGACCCGAAAGACGGAGACAAGGAAAACCATGAGACCATTCAGGCAGCAGGCGGGCAGCTTTGCGACAAGCCCATGTATATCGAGTGCAGATCAGAGGACCACCCCGATATCAGCCTGAAGGACATTGGTCAGAACGTTCAATGCAACCTCGACACAGGGCTTTGGTGCCAGAATTCAGAGCAGACCGGAAAGATGGATCAGTGTTATAACTACCAGACCAGATACTTATGTTGCGACAACAGCCACTGCAAACCTGCAACCACGCCAGCGGGTTCCACGACGGCTGCCACTAGGCCAGTTGTAAGCACTACCTTGGGAAAGAGCACACTGCCAGCATCTTCCGTGGGCTCCACCCCACTTCCGCCGGTCTCCACTACTACGCAGAGCACCACAGTTGTATCCACCACCGCAATTGTAACAGCCTCTGTCAGCACACCAGGAACAACCCCTGGGAAAGGCTCTACTATGACAGCCACATCCCTGCAGTCCACCCCCATATCCAAGCCTACGGCAACAATCCCAACCTCAGGAAAGACCCCTGGGATTCCTGGAACCACAACCACCTCGCTTCCCCCATCCAGCACACCGGGAACAACCCCTGGGAAAGGCTCTACTGTGACAGCTACATCCCTGAAGTCCACCCCCATATCCAAGCCTACAGCAACTATCCCAATCTCAGGAAAAACCCCCGGGATTCCCGGAACCACAACCATAACGCTTCCTCCATCTTCTTCCAAATCTACACCTAGGACTTCATCCCAAACTACTGTGACAATCTCTATTGCTTCCTCCAGTTCTTCCTTTACTACCGGTAAGAAAATAAAATATGAATGTATTATGTTTTTTCACGTAGTAGGGTCTTTTGATTCACCTTTTTCAATTTTCTATTCCCTTTCCATTCTTTCTTCCACAATTTAAGATTTCCACATTATATTTGTGTTTATTTGTTTGAATGCTAATATTAATATTATATAGATAAGCCTTCTTGTAGACAAAGTATTCTCTCAAGATATGTTGTTGCATCAGCATCAACATAGGATTTATTTTTAAACTTGTTGATTTATTAAGACCTTTTTGGCAGTGAGAGCAGTTCAGCATTATGATCTACTCTGGATGTCTGGAATTGCACTAGCTTGAGATCCTTCCCTGAGCTGGATATTGGTCTCCATAAACCAGTGGTTCTAACCTGTGAGTCCCCAGATATTTTGGCCTTCAACTGTCAGAAATCCTAATGGGTGTTAAACTTGCTGGGCTTTCTGGGAGTTGTAGACCAAAACACCTGGGGACCCACAGGTTGAGAACCACTGCCATAACCCATGATGCAATTTCCTACTCCATTAGTCTATTATGACAGTATTTTGTGATATTCAGTATTCTTTACATGGCCATGACCATGATGTTCATTTGGCCTTTGAACATATTTATAGTATTGCAATATATCATGTTCCATATAAAATATTTTTACATCCCATTAGCCAATGTAATCATAGTACTGTCCAAACAATGATATAGGCTGGGTCTCCCTTATCCAAAAATCCAAAGTATTCAAAACACCTAAAGTTTTTGTCACAGGCCACCCACCTCTGCCTACCCATCATTCACTCTGTATATGGAAATGCTCATTTTCAACCTCCCCCCCCCCAAAAAAAAACACATATACACACCCCAATGTCTGAAAAACCTCTCATCCAAAGTATTTTGAATAAAGAGAATTCATAGAATCATAGAATCAAAGACTTGGAATCGACCTCATGGGCCATCCATTCCAACCCCCTGCCAAGAAGCAGGAATATTGTATTTAAATCACCCCTGACAGATGGCCATCCAGCCTCTGTTTAAAAGTTTCCGAAGAAGGAGCCTCCACCACAATCTATTTCTTTCCTCCAAAACACATATACACACTCCGATGTCTGAAAAAGTATTTTGAATAAGGAGAATTCAATCTATTTCTATCCTAAAATAGCTGACCTATGCCTTTTAGGCCCTTTCTGGTGTATTCGAAAACAGACCTGCATTTGTAGCATGGATGTATATATTTGTTCATTTTGCCTTCGTAAGGAAAACAAACAAACCCTAAAAATACAAAGGTATTGGTGAAACTCAATAGCACTTTTGGATTTGTAGCTCTATTTTAGATAACACTCATATGAAGACAAATCCACACATTTTCTTCACAAAAGTTTCCATGTACAGAATTTATTTTGGTTTTTGCACAGAAAGTCTATGAAGGAAATTGTTGTATTTTCCGGCGTATAAGACGACTGGGTGTATCAGACAACCCCCAACTTTTCCAGTTAAAATATAGAGTTTGGGATGTACTTGCCATATAAAACTACCTCTCTTCCAACGCACACCAAATAATTTTTTTTAAAAAAATCAGATTTTATTTCAATATAGTAATTGTCCTATTACCATACCTTCTTCTTTACCTCTAAGGTCTTGCACATGTGCACCTGTGCTGCTTCACTGCAAGATCTGAGAGGCAGAGAAGGAGGTACGCTAATTGGATAGAAGGGCTGGCTAGACAGGTGAAAGAGGTGTGTTTTTCTGGGCACAGTGCCACTCTATCTTTTTTTCCTATACCCTGGGTGACCCAGACACCTGCAGTTAGCTCCATCCTTCACTTAGATCTTCCCAGTGAGGTGCCCCCTCACCACATCGTTGGGACCGTGTTAAGTCACTTATTTCCATGAATCCTAGATTTTCTTCTACCGTACTTGTATAACACCGCCCTTGCTGCTTTCATACAGTCGCCGTATATGGCGGGAATGTGGCCGCAGCTGTTTTTGAGTTCTCCCCACCATATGCACCAACCACAGATTCTGCAGTCCAGCTCAGAAGTTTCAGCATCCGCCCAATAAGACGACACCTGGTGTATAAGATGATCCCTGACTTTTGAGAAGATTTTCCTGGGTTAAAAAGTAGTCTTATATGCCAGAAAATACACTACAGATGTTTGTGCAGGAATCTATGTGTTTCTGCATTCCTCTCTCTAGATGCTCTCCAGACATATAGGATTATAATTGGTTATTCTTAGTACTACCTTATTGGGTTTTCAGGGGCTTTTAGTTCTGTTGATTTGACTCAGTTGGATGGGAACGGAAAGCATTGTGTTACAGTGATTCTACTCCTATCTCCAATTCATTTCCAAACATCAACATTGGAAGACTTCTGTTGAATTTCCTAGCCCTTAAGCTGCTAGATGTTATAGATTTCCACCGTGTCTCCCTTGTTATTCATTTGAAGCCACTGGATGATTCTTTAGAAGATTGAGAGCTGAATGCTACAAGCGTAATAGTGGCATTCATCTCTGTGTCTCCTTGGGATCTCTTGTGGGCCAATAAATTAAGTCCTGATGAGATGGAGGCTTTGGGGATTGGAGGCTCTTTGGTTCTGGAATCGGAGTAAGAAATTTTCCCTGGATTGGCTTGCACTCACTCCAAAAGAGCAGGTATGTAGCTTGGGAGTATTCTTAGAACCATCTCTGTCAATAGGTGGACTTCATGGCTCAGAATATCTTTGGCCAGGTTTTCCAGGATGGTATCACTTAGCCACAGTACTCTGTGTTCTTGTTTTAATTTATCAAACTGTTCAATGTGCTTTTCATTACATTACATTATTTATATTATTTTCATTGTATTTCTTCATTTGATTGATATATTCTATATGTACACCACCCTTTTCTCATCAAGGGACCTAAGAAGGCTTAAAGATTTTAAACAAAAGTTTGGCTAAAATGTCCTATTACATTCTATTAAAAGTGTGTAGTTTTAAAGAGTTTAAGATACATTTTATAATATATTTAAAATAAAAGCATACGAAGTTTTGAAAAGTGCACTTTCGGTTATTTTAAATTGTGAAACTATTTTACTGTATACTCCTCTCCTGAGATTCATGACTATTAGGTGGGATATAGATATGTTAATAAAAAATGTTTTCTATTTTCCATTATGATCACCGTTATTTACCTTATTTCTTACTTTTTCTTATACCTTCAACAGCATCAACTAGTTCAATTACCCCTACCATGGGAATTACAACAGTCACTTTAAGCAGAACCACTCCTTGTTTCTGCCATGTGTCTGGAGTTAAAGCTTCTTTATATTCTCCTGGTGAGTGCCTCTAAAATATATTCCAGAAGCAGCTTAGCAAAAAAATAACCCATATATTGCTTTGATTGAATATACAGTTCTTCTTTATACTTGTACTCCAGTTGTGGGCTGCTTTACCTTGGAAAGTTTCTGTACTATATGTATGTATGTATGTACTGTATGCATGAATGTGTGCAGGTGGTATAAATCAGCACTGGTCTAGAAGCCCTCAGCTTCTGGTTCCTGGAGTTCCCAAGACAGAAAGAACTGCAGACAATAGGCACAAATACCCTCGTACACTGGTTCTCAACCTCTTATCTTCCAAATGTTTTGGACTTCAACACCCAGAAGTCCCAACCAACTTACCAGGTGTAAAGAATTGTACGAGCAGAAGTCCAAAACATCTGGAGGACCAAAGGTAGAGAACCACTGCCTAGTAGATTGCACAAAGGGAGGGGGAACTGCTGATCTTTCCCCCCCCCCTCATTAGAAGGCTTAAGAAGCAATGCTTTGGATCATTTTACTTATCTCCTTTTATAACTCTTTTGACAGCTATATTCTACTGTTTTCAATGTGGATTTTTAAATTTTTTACATGTATTGTTTGTTCATTTATGATGGAGTGTGTGCATGTGTGCAAGTGCATAACTGCAAGAAATTTTGTAAAAAGTACCAATGACTAAAGAAGTCAACAAAGACTTTATTGTAAGAAAGATATGGGAGTGATGTAGGATGCAAAGCTAGCAATCAAATTAGTTCTTCACATTTGCTGGGATTGGGAGCTCAGGAACCTCATGACAGTGAAAAACCACATATTTTTTAACCGGAGAGAAAAACTTTCTAGGAATCACAGCCACATAACTCATAATATCAAGGCAGCAAATTCCACAATATCTGCTTTGAACTGGGTTATCTGAGTTCACACTGCTATATATTCCAGTTCAAAACAGAAAATGTGGGATTTTATTTAGCTGTGTGGAAGGGTCCTAGGTCCTCCAGCATGACTCTATGAACTTCCGATAGATATTGATCATAGCGTCACGCTGGAAGTCCTAGAGATAACATTTTAATCAAATCTGTGAATAATCAAATCTGCAAAGATCAAACACACAAATGTGGCAGGTGAACTGTGTTTGTTGTAATTTGCTATATGGCCAACACAGTTATCCCTGAATGTGTTTCCTGTATATGTTTCACTGTAATTAATAAACGGCTGGTCATAAAAGAGGTGCAAAGTTCCTTAAGTATATCAGTTTACACTTCAAAGAGATTGCGATAGGTGCATAAGAGATGGAACTTTGAGTCACTACACTCTCTGACTGACCATTGCTCTAAGACATCTCTAACACTTTAAATGCTGAATGTTGTTTCATTTCCAACAATTTGTTTACCAAACATCAATTTAAGTGTTTTATAGAAATGCAGCATAACACCTGGAATATTGATTCATTCTGTCACTGCAGCAAGGTTACTCTCCCTGAGTGGAAAAAAAATCATCCTACACAATGGATCCCTCCCATCTCTCCTCTTTTCTCCCTTTTCACATGGCCTTTGTCATTTACATCTGCTATCATGAAATAATCCTTCATTTATGTCTACTAATCATTTTAAAAATCATTATTTGTAGAATGTGAGCTTATTAATACTAAGGACTTAATGCAGACATCAAGAAAAGCTATTTTAATAATACACAATATATAGATTGAGCCACCATGGTGTAGAGCAGGGTCCTCAAACTTTTTAAACAGAGGGCCAGGTCACAGTCCCTCAAACTGTTGGAGTGCTGGATTATAATTTTTTTTTAAAAAATCCCCATAAATGAATTCCTATGCACACTGCACATAGCTTATTTGTAGTGCAAAAAAAACCCACTTAAAACAATACAATAATTAAAATGATGAACAATTTTAACAAATATAAACTTATTTGTGTTTCAGTGGGAAGTGTGGGCCTGCTTTTGGCTGATGAGATAGGATTGTTGTTGTTGTTGTTGTATGCTTTCAAATTGTTTCAGACTTCGGTTGACCCTGAATGTATCCGACCCCTGGGCCTTAGTTTAAGGACCCCTGGTGTAGAGGTTTGCATATTGGACCAAAACTTCAGGAGACCAAGGTTCCAATTTTTACTCAGCCATAACAAAACACTGGGTCATTTTTGGGCAAGTCATACTCTCTCAGCCTAAGAAGGCAATAATGACAAGTCTTCTCTTGAAAAAAATTGCAAAGGAAAAGGGCTGCCTATGTCAGATGACCTCATCACATTGGGGCAAATTGCCCCTTTGCAGCTCTTTGAGGATGGGGCCTTTGAGTGCCATCACATGACTCTTGGCAGGCCCCACCCCATTGACCCTTCAAGTGCTGCGGAAGCGTTGCTAGATGCATCCTTGACCATGACGAGAAGGAAAGTGTTTTTGGGGTAGTTCCAATGGGCCTACCCGCATCTTCCTCTCCTTTTCCCTATCTGACAACGTGCCTTGTCCCATTTCCCCAATGTGATGGGGGAAGGAGGAAGGGCACACAGGGCGAAACTCAGCAATGAAGTGTGAAGAGGTCGAGAGTCAAGTTAAAGGCGCAGAACAACAACAACAACAAATATAGAGATAGGTAATATACATAAACATATCAGTATGTATCTAACTACATGACTGTCACAATTTAAATAACTTTACAATAGTGACAACAAAGAAAAACACTTTTCAGGATCACAATTTTAATTTTACCTTCGTTTCATAAAAGCAATACGACTCTGTTTTGCTGTTCTTCACTGTCCTCCAGTCTTGTTAACTTTATGGCCAAGAAACAGAAGAGCCTTTTGGTATTCAGCATCAGCAGAATTGAGACTTTCTATTACTCCCCCTACTGGTGCGGCCTTGCCCCAACATAGATCCTGAAAGCCTAGGTCAAATGTATTTATTCCCTTCTGGATGTTAAGATAGGCAGGTAGGGAAACAGCTGTACGAAGAAGGAAAGGCATTGCCAGTTTTGATAGAAGCAGCAGATCTGCTACAAATATGTTATTAGGCTCTGTCCAATGAGTTTGTTAATTTTGTATGTTTAAAAACTAGATGTAACTATCAAATCAGTTTTTTATTGTGTCAGAAGCAACTTGAGAATATACTGCAAGTCGCTTCTGGTGTATGAGAATTGGCCATCTACAAAGACGTTGCCCAGGAGAAGCCTTGATGTATTACTATCCTGCTGGGAGGCTTCTCACATGTCCCCTCAAGCTAGAGCTGACAGACGAGAGCTCACCCCTCTCGCAGATTCAAACCACAACCTTCAGGTCAGCAACCCAACATTCAGGTCAGCAGTCCAGCTGGCACAAGGGTGTAATCCATTGCGCCACTGCGGTTCCATCAAATCAGTAAGAGACTGGATATATTTCTCCACTTATAAGCTACCAATATTTTTAGATAAATCCCAAACTGCAAAATTTACTACAACTCTGCAATCTGCAAACATAATTAGCTTTCTGGGATCATTGTTCTCATCCACGTAAATTTTGTTGTTGCCACGCTAAGGCAGGCATCTTCAAACTGTGGCCCTCCAGTTGTTTGAGCCTTTGACTTCCAGAATTCCTGACCATTGAACAAGATGGCTTGGGCTTCTGTGACCTGGAGGCCCAGATAGCTGGAGGGCCACAGTTTGAAGATGCCTGATCTAAAGCAAACTTATGACAGGGATTTTTCTGAGAGTGTGTGACTTGACCAGGGTCAACCAGTAGGTTTTCATGGCCAGGCAGAGATTGTAATCCAGAGTTGTAGTCCAACACCCAAACAACTACACTCAACCTATATGTAGCTACTAGTGTGCGAGTATATACCCGGTGTTGCCCAAGTATCAGAGGGGCCACATGTTCATCCCTTCATTCTCTTTCCTTCCCCTCATATTATTTCCTCCTTCCTTCCTTCCTTCCTTCCTTCCTTCCTTCCTTCCTTCCTTCCTTCCTTCCTTCCCTCCTTCCTTCCTCCCCCCCCTTTCTTCTTTCTTTCTTTCTTTCTTTCTTTCTTTCTTTCTTTCTTTCTTTCTTTCTTTCTTTCTCCTTTCTCCAGCTCTGAGAGGGCTTAGCTTGCACAGTCTGCATGGCAATGTGGGTATTTTCTCCCTTCCTTTCATAAACCTCACATTTTTTCCTCAATGACATCACAGAGGGCCACTTCACCCATCAACAGCCTTTGTAGTGCAGACACACTTTGACTTTTATAGAGAGAGATAATTCTATGCATACTTACCTTGGAACACGCACCACTGATCTCAATGACACTTCCTTTTGTGTAGACATTGTAAGATTCTGAAGAAGTTTAATCCTCTGCATTTACTTAATGGCAGTAAGTAAAATACAATACAATGCAAGTCATACATGCATTGTATTATATTTTGAAGTATAATGTTTGCAAATGTTGTTTTCCATTTCATTTATTTTTGTTTCTTTTCTAAACAGGGGACATAATCTATAATAGAACTGATAGTGCTGGATGCAGTTTTTATGCCATTTGCAACAAGAACTGTGAAATTGAAAGGCACCAGGGACCATGTCCTTCAACGCCTCCTCCCCAACCATCAACTTTAATTCCATCAGTTACACCTCCAGGAACAGCCGCTGTTGTGAAAACCACAACACACACTTCTTCACCTGTACCGACCACATCAGAAGTCCCTGGTTGCCTTGATATTGATCCACCTAGACAGGTAACCCACTTTTATTAGTAGTTCTGGTGGTGGCGGCACTATTAAGATCACTTACTTATACCCTGATTTTTTCCCCATAATTAGCACTCAAAGTGGCTTACCATTTAAAAGAACAAAAAAAAAACCCTCATATAAACAGTGAACATTAAAATAGAGTTACTGGTAAATTAGTCACTATTTTAAATCAATTCAAGCCATAAATTAAAAGAGTTTCCTTAAACTCTGTGGATAGCTGGCATATAGATGTAATAAATAACTACCTCGGACTATGACTTCGGATTTGTGTGATTTTAAATGGATGCTTATAACCAATGTTTTTAACTAATTGTTTTAACTGTAATTGTTTTATAATTGTTTAGTTTGGCATCTAATGATTGCTGGTTGTGAGCCACCCTGGGTCCCATCCCCCCCGGGGTGAGAAGGACAAGATATAAATGTTTGAAATAAATAAATAAATAAATAAATAATACAGCATATTTGATTTGCATAATGTAATTGATCATACTCTGATGTTCAGCCAGCAGTGGTCTGCTTCCTGTAGATATAGTAAATACTAACAGAATGTTGTGCGGTCAATACAATAGGATTTCATTTTCCGGATGCTGGAAATCTAATTGTTGTTTTAAATCCTGAAGAGAAAGTAAGAAAAGCACAGTTGCTTGTATGGCATAACTCATCCTGTTATTCCCTCTGGAATGCAATTGTTACTTCCAGCGAGAATAGATCCATTGAAATATTGGGACCTTGGTCAATCAACATTTACATACATTCCATTGATTCAATGATCTACTCTAGTTGGGATGAAAAGCTGAGTTTAGTTACAGGTTATTTGAAGGACTGTATATCTCTCGACAAACCTGTTAGAAATTTACAATAATCTGGAGAGGGCCTTTTCTTTGGCCCATCACCTGCTCAAGTGCTAGTAAGGGAGAAGGCCTTCTCAGTGGCTGCTGAAACTTTGGAACTCCCTCCCAAAAGAGACCAAGGTGGCCTCATCCTTGCTTGCCTTCCACAAGCACATTAAGGCATATCTCTTCTGCCAGACATTTGGGGGATTCTGCTACTGAATAGGTTGTCGGTGGGTTTAATGGCGAGATGGTGAGTTTAGATGTAATTGTAATTGTAATTGTATTTATTGTATTCTGTTGTATTTTAACTTTATACCCACTCACATTTTTTAAACGTATCTATGTTATTTTAAATTTTTTATTAGGTGTTTTATATGATAGTTAGCAGCCTTGAGTCCTTATGAGGAGAAAGGTGGGATAGAACTAAAGATTATGATGAGTTTCAGGTTTTGAAGGTTTCTGTTGTGTTTCTTAAAACAGGCAATCTCTTTAGCAGATAGAAAAGTGTCTAAAATAACAGCAACATTCACTAAAGGCAGTGTGTAATGCAACTCTTTTGCCAATGCAACTCTATAGTTAACTTCCACTGGAGGACCTAGAGCATGGGTCCTCAAACTAAGGCCCGAGGACCAGATACGGCCCTCCAAGGTCATTTACCCGGCCCTCACTTAGGCTCAACCTAAGTCTGAAACAACTTGAAAGCACACAATAACAACAAGAACCGTTTCTCATCAGCCAAAAGCAGGCCCACGCTTCCCATTGAAATACTAATAAGTTTATATTTGTTAAAATTGTTAGTTTTAATTGTATTGTTTTCAAGTGTTTTTTGCACTAAAAATAAGATGTGCAGTGTGCATAGGAATTCATTCATGTTTTTTGCAAATTATAATCCAGCCCTCCAACAGTTTGAGAGACTGTGACCTGGCCCTTTGTTTAAAAAGTTTGTGGACCCCTGACCTAGAGTATCTGACAGAAATTGACCTTAGAGTCACCATGGAGGACATAGAGATTCTTAGAGATAACATATTAATCTAAATCCATCAATAATCAAATCATTGAAGTTTCTGTAGGAGTCCTCAGTGGTGCAATTGGTTAAACCCTTGTGCTGGCAGGACTGCTGACCGAAAGGTCAAAGGTTTGAATCCAGGGAGCTGGGTGAGCTCCTGTCTGTCGGCTCCAGCTTCTCATGCAGGGACATGAGAGAAGCCTCCCACAGGATGGTAAAACATCTGGGTGTCCCCTGGGCAACGTCCTTGCAGACGGCCAGTACTCTCACACTAGAAGCGACATGCAGTTTCTCAAGTCACTCCTGACATGAAAAAAAATCAAATCAGCAAAAGTCAAGCCCATAAATACAGAGGGTCGACTGTATATCATTTCACCGAAGGATGTGAGGGGATGACTTCTTTCACATATGCACAGTCATTTTAGAATAAATTCCTTTGGTTCACTTTAAGATCAATGAAACATGGATGTTAAGCAACTGCACCATGGCGACTTGTGAAGGAAACAACAGAATTGTTTTGATACCTCAACCACCACCAGAAAAGATAGAATGTGCAAGTGGACTTGAACCAGTCAAAATAGAAGATCAAGACGGTTGTCCTCACTATGAGTGTGAATGTAAGTATAATAATTTATAGTATGATCATATTGAATGGGTCATATTGGGTCAAATTGGACCAACTCCCAGATAACCAAGTAGAGGATTCAAGCCTTAGTGGTCAAGGAGAAAAACTGAAGTTTATAGCATTAGATGTTAAGACATTTTGGGTGCATTATGTTATTGTCCTGTTTAACAACAATGCACAGTTTCTAATGGATGTACAAGCTTGCAACTGGTCTTTTCAATCTGATTAGTGGAGCATCATTAATACTAAAGATTTTGGACTCTTGATTTCCGTTGATTTGTTATCATCTGGCCGTCTGACTGTGTTGACCGAGTTGTGTTATTACCATCTAGCCGACTGACTGCATTTCCCAGCTTCCTGTGCCGGCAGGTTATTATTGGAGGATTACTTACAGCATATCTTGTACAGACTGATTATTGAGACTCTTATATCCTTGTGTCAAGTACTAAGACTCTCCATTTGACCTAGGCCGAGCATTGTCATTCCTGTGAGGGGGGGAGGGGTGGGCTGTCCGCTATCGCGCATGAGCCGCCCGCCATCGCGGCCATCAAATTCGAGCCCGGAGGATTAACATCAACCACCCGTTGACGCACATCCAACGTCCATTGTTCCTTATCGTCTCATATAGTACGTGTTAACAATGCCATTAATTAACAATTGTGTTATTTTTGCACTACTTGCTGCACTTTAACAGTCTATAAGTTTGCTTAGAGTAGCACTTTGTCAACCTCCCTATCCCTATTGCTGCTAATCCATAGTCCTGTATGCTGCTATTGATCCTCTTAGCACTTTACCTCCATGCTGCACTTTAACAAGTACTAGTTGGATACCAACAGCACATTGCACATCGCACTTTAAGATCTTATAAAGAGTACTTGCTGCACATTAAGACCGTGTAGCGTTAATAAGTGTGCTGACAATTGTTACTCATGTGTTCTACCATCCCCTGGTATTTATTATCTGTACTGCTGATTATCTGTGGAGGGGACAGGGGTCGTAGCGGGCTGGAGACCGTGGGAATCAATGGGGCGGGGGGGGGGAAATAAACAGAGTGGAAATGCAAACCAACTTAAAATCCTAACAAATCAAACAACTAACAATGAAACACAAACGGAGATTACAGGGGTGGAATGTGGCATGGAGGGAGGAGGGTGTTCCATCAGCCGAGGGGCCCCCATAGAAGTGGTGGTGGGGAAGGGGAGATGCGGGAAAAGGAGACCACAAATTCGGCCTAATTCGGATCGCATATCTACATTAATAATTCCAAACCGGTCTCCTATGGTAAATTGGTGTAACCAGGTTGGCGGTCCCTCTGGATTGAAGGTGGTGTTGTTGAACGCCAGATCTGTCAACGGAAAAACCACCTTCATCCAAGACCTAATCTTGGATGAGCGGGCAGATCTGGCGAGCATCACGGAGACCTGGTTGGACGAGGCTGGGGGGGTGAATCTCACTCAGCTCTGCCCGCCAGGCTTCTCTGTGCAGCACCAACCAAGATCCGGAGGGCGGGGAGGCGGGGTTGCAGTGGTCTATAGAGATTCCATCCCTCTGACCAGGGGCCCCATCCCGCAGTCAACAAATTTTGAATGCGTCCACCTGAGGGTGGGTGACCGGGACAGAATAGGGATTCTGTTAGTGTACCGTCCACCTCGCTGCACTACAGTCTCCCTACCTGAGCTAGCGGGGGTGGTCTCGAGCCTGGCGTTGGAGTCTCAACGGCTCCTTGTGCTGGGGGACTTCAATGTCCACGCCGAGACGGCCCTTTCAGGAGCAGCTCAGGACTTCATGTCTGCCATGGCAACCATGGGGCTGTCCCAACAAGTAACTGGCCCCACTCACAGTGCAGGACATACATTGGACTTAGTTTTCTGCCAGGGATGGGAGGAAGGTGGCGGTGTTGAGGAGTTGACCATCTCTCCGTTGCCATGGACCGACCACTACCTGGTCAGATTTAGGCTCACTGCACCCCCTAACCTCTGCAGAGGTGGAGGACCTATTAGGATGGTCCGCCCCAGGAGGCTTATGGATCCGGATGGATTCCTGACGGCTCTTGGGGAATTTCCCGCCGCCTCGGTAGGTGACCCTGTCGACGCCCTGGTTGCTCTCTGGAATGGGGAGATGACTAGGCAATTGACACGATCGCTCCGGAACGTCCCCTCTCAAGTAGCCGAGCTAAACCAGTTCCTTGGTTCACTGAGGAGCTGGCAGTGATGAAGCGAAGGAAGAGGGAACTAGAGAGTGTGTGGCGTTCGGACCCGTGCGAGCCAAATCGAACACGGTTTGTGTCCTTTCTGAGGACATACGCCGCGGCAATAAAAGCCGCAAAGAAGGCGTTCTTTGCGGCCACTATTGCGTCTGCAAAGAACCGTCCGGCTGAGTTGTTTCGAGTTGTCAGAGGCCTTTTGAATCCCACCACCCAAGGTGGGATCCCTGACAACTCGACCTCTCGCTGTGAAGCTTTTGCTCGGTTCTTCGCAGACAAAGTCGCTTTGATCCGTTCTGGTCTGGATACCATGTTAAATGCAGTCTCTGTGGATGTAACAAGAGCACCTGCTTGTCCTATTTTGATGGATTCATTTCAATTGGTAAAGCCCGAGGATGTGGACAAGATACTTGGAGGAATGAGGCCGACCACGTCCATCCTAGACCCCTGCCCATCCTGGCTTCTAAAAGAGGCCAGAGGGGGATTGGCTGAGTGGGTGGAGGTGGTGGTTAATGCCTCCCTTCGGGAAGGCAAAATTCCAGCGAGCTTAAAACAAGCTATAATAAAACCGCTGTTGAAGAAACCATCACTAGATCCCACTAAATTTGACAACTTTCGGCCGGTTTCCAATCTCCCCTTTTTGGGCAAAGTCCTGGAAAGCGTGGTGGCCTCACAACTCCAGGTATTCTTGAGAGACACGGATTATCTGGATCCGGCACAGTCTGGTTTCAGACCGGGACATGGAACTGAGACAGTCTTGGTCGCCTTAGTGGATGATCTGCGCCGGGAGCTCGACAGGGGGAGTGTGTCCCTGTTGGTGCTTCTGGACCTCTCAGCGGCCTTCGATACCGTCGACCACGGTATCCTTCTGGGGCGCCTTGAGGAAATGGGTCTCGGAGGCACTGTTTTGCAGTGGCTCCGGTCATTTCTGGAGGGTCGTTCCCAGAAGGTGTTATTGGGGGACACCTGTTCTTCCCCACAACCATTGTCTTGTGGGGTTCCTCAGGGTTCTATTCTGTCCCCCATGCTGTTTAACATCTACATGAAGCCGCTGGGTGAGATCATCCAGAGTTTCGGGGTACGGTGTCATCTGTACGCAGATGATGTCCAACTCTGTCACTCCTTTCCACCTGCTACTAAGGAGGCTGTCGAGGTCCTGAACCGGTGCCTGGCTGCTGTGACGGTCTGGATGAGGGCGAACAAATTGAAGTTGAATCCAGACAAGACAGAGGTACTCCTGGTCAGTCGCAAGGCCGAACAGGGTATAGGGTTACAGCCTGTGTTGGATGGGGTCGCACTCCCTCTGAAGACACAGGTTCGCAGCTTGGGTGTGACCCTGGATTCGTCGCTGAGCCTGGAGCCCCAGGTCTCGGCGGTGACCAGGGGAGCATTTGCACAGCTCAGGCTCGTGCGCCAGCTGCGCCCGTATCTTGGGAAGTCTGACTTGGCCACGGTGGTACATGCTCTTGTCACATCCCGCCTAGACTACTGCAACGCTCTCTACGTGGGGCTGCCCCTGAAGACGGCCCGGAAGCTGCAACTAGTCCAACGCGCGGCAGCCATGATTCTAACAGGAGCGGAGCGCAGGGAGCACACAACCCCCCTGTTGCACCAGCTCCACTGGCTGCCGATTTGCTACCGGGCCCAATTCAAGGTGTTGGTACTGGCCTATAAAGCCCTAAACGGTTCCGGCCCAAGATACCTATCTGACCGCATCTCGGCCTATGAACCCACTCGGACTTTGAGATCTTCCGGGGAGGCCCTGCTCTCGATCCCGCCAGCCTCTCAAGCACGGTTGGCGGGGACGAGAGATAGGGCCTTCTCGGTGGTGGCTCCTCGGCTGTGGAACGCCCTTCCTGCAGATGTTAGGTTGGCACCATCTCTCATGACATTCTGTAGAAAGTTGAAGACCTGGATGTTTGTGCAGGCATTTGAGTAATTTAGTGCAATTCTGGTAATTTGAACATAGGAACGGAACAATGGACGATGAATTTGGATCACGTTTTGGATGACGAGGCGATCGGGGGTGGGTTTTTGTGATAACTGTGTATTGTTGTTGTTATTGCTAGTAATGGAATTGTGTAGTTTAACTGCTATGGTATATTGATTGCTGCTGTTTTTATTGTCTTTTGTTGTTTACTGTCTGGAAACCGCTGTGAGTCGCCCTCGGGCTTGAGATACAGCGGTATACAAGAATAGCAAATAAATAAATAAATAAATAAATACATCTATTCGTTCCAGTACTAAATACTTTGTTTTGGTTTTTCCATTCTAGGTATCTGTACTGGTTGGGATAATCATCACTATATGACTTTTGATGGTACTTACTACTCTTTCCATGACAATTGCACTTATATCCTGGTGAAAGAAATTGTGAATAAATATGGAAACTTCAGTGTTTTGGTTGACAATTACTTCTGTGATCCAACTAATGATCAGTCCTGTTCCAGAGCCATTATTATAAATTACAACTCTGCGAAGATAACGCTAAGCAGTCACGTGCACAATGGAGAGAGAACTAATATGGTAATATGTTCTTGCTTTTTATAAATGTATATAATAATGCTACTTGAAAAGAACAAAACAAAATAAAAGGCCATAATTACACCAAGATGAATCAGCCAATCAATAATTGGATAATTCAAGTTAACATCATGAGTCCATACAGTATTAAGGAATGCTTGTATTCAGTCTCTCATGGCCTAATGCTATGAAATCCTGGGATTTGTAGTTTGGTTAGGCACCAGTACTCTTCAGCAAAGAAAGGTAAAGATCTTGTAAAAACTACAACCCGCATGATTCCAAAGGATTGAGCAATTCCAATTAAAGTGGTGTTAATCTGCATTAAAATTACAGTGTAGATCCATCCTTAGAGAATGCAAACCTTTTTCTCTTTTTTCTCTTGTTCCATATTCTCCTTCACCCTTTCCATTGCTTCCCCTCTTCTCCTCCTCCCCACCCCATTCCACAGAAAATTAAATTGCAAAAAACAAATTGCATAAAATAAAAATATTGTATTGTAAAATATGAAGTTAGCTTGTGATGAATGGAGGTTGATGGTTAGCATGAAAAGCAAATAAATGTGTTACTTTATATTTGTTAATCTATTGCAAGTACTTTTATTCCAAATTTTAATTTAAAAAAATACTTAAACTGTGTATGTTTACCCACGGGTGTCCACAACACCAGTACTAAGAAGGATCTCCCTGTTAACCAATCCAGTATCAAAACTAGTCTGGAGGATAGGAGAGCAGCACCAATAGGGCAAATTGATCTAAACTGCTCAAAGCAGGCTCTAGAACACTCTCCCTAGCGAGATTAGGCTGGCATTCATCATGCCTACCCTGTCCACCTTCTGTAAAGATCTAAAAATGTGGATGTTCCACTGTGCTTTAGATTACATAGTTCTCCAGATAATTTTGGCCCCAGTTATGATCCAAAATCTAGTCCTTGCACTTTACTACTGTTCCCTACCCAGGACACAGTGCTCTGTTTCATATTACCCTCTATTTCTAAATTTATCATCTGGCTTTGTACTTTATCCATCAGCCCTGTCCTCACAACTGATTTGCACCAGCTTGCCTGCCCGAGCCCATAAACTGTTTATTACTCAGAACATTGGTTGTTTGTGTGATGGTTTTTTTTAATACTGTGCTATGTTGTTGTTTGTTTTATAGTGTTTTATGATGTTGTTTTATGTACTCTAGTGTGTTATATTTTAACTATGTTGATTAGGCTTATCCCTTTGTGGGCCGCCCCGAGTATCTTCGGGGAGATGGAGGCGGGATACAAAAATAATATTATTATTATTATAAAGATATATTCTTCTGATTGACATTTGACTCCCATCTTTGTTCTTTCTTTTGCTGTTTTTAGATTCTTTCTGACGATAAGCCAGTCTATTGTGTCTACTGTGAAATAGATGGCATAATGATTACTAATACCAATACTATGGTTGCTCAAATCCCTGCCATCAGTGCATTTGTTACCTTCAATGGGCTCTCATTCTCAGTCGAACTACCCTATGGCATGTTTGAACACAACACAGAGGGACAGTGTGGTAAGTAAAAGAATTACACTGGGGAATTCTAAATCTTTTCTCACAAGGCTATTCCTTCAAAATAGTGTAATGAGCATGCAAAAAAGTACACTACTATAAGAAAATTTGATGATAACATTGGGGCAGCATGGCCACAAGTCCTCATATATCCACTACAGAAGGATCTCAAGGCCAAGAAAGAGCTACTGCCAACTGGAATATGTAGAAAGAGGTAGTCTAAGAGTATCAAAAGTCTGTCTTAGTATAAGGCAGATTTTCTGTTGTTATGTGCCTTCAAGTCAACACCAACTTACTATGACCCTATTGTAGGGTTTTCTTGGCAGGATTTAGCCAGGGGGTTACCATTACCTTCCTCTTGAGTTCAGTGTGTCTGATGTGCCCACAAAGTCATCAAGTGAGTTTCCATGGCTGAGCCAGGTTTTGCACTCTTGTCTTCTAGAGTCCTGGTCCAACACTCAAGTCATGGCACTATACTAGCTCTAATTTGCCCATATCCAAGAATGGGAAGCATAGACTTCAGATTATTGCACTCTTTGATAAACCAAAAGCAATGAGGAACATTTGAAGATGAAAAACAAGCTCCATTATGCTAGTAACATGCAAAGTGAACATGCTCAAACTCATGCACGCTGTGTATTTAACTCTTTCTGTCTCCCAGGGACTTGTTCAAATGACCAGTCAGATGATTGCCGCTTGCCCAGTGGCCATGACGCTAGCTCCTGCTTAGAAATGGCCATTGAATGGCAGGTTTATGATGAAAATAAGCCCTATTGTGAAAGAGTGGTGCCAACACCACCACCAACGCCTGTGTCACCCACACCAACCATCTGCACAACTCCTTCTCCTCTGTGTGAACTGATTGTGAGCGAGTAAGTTAAATTCAGTTTTTACATGCATTTCAGAGAAAATATTTAATAAAACTTTCCGAGAAAATATTAATGCACGTAGCGTATGAAATAATAGCCATATCATTGCCATTGTATGGGCTATCAAAACATGTTCTTTTACTTCCAAAAGGAGTACAGTATCTCTTTTCATTTGTTGTCCTTACAATATATCACAGCTGTGTAATGCCAAGGACACTGTTGTTTTAGTACCTTCTAAATATCCAGACTATTTTCCATTTCTGTATTTATTGTTTTTGTTTATTGCTTTTTGTGTTATTGATGTGTTGTTGGGCTTGGCCTCATGTAAGTTGCTCCAAGTCCCTTGGGGAGATGGTGGCGGGGTATAAATAAAGATTATTATTATTATTATTATTATTATTATTATTATTATTATTATTATTAACAAGATAGGTTCTGTAAATCTGTTCTTAATCTGAATTTTTATGTTAAAAAAATGCTCACCTTGGGCATTGGATGCCCCAGAGGCCCCTCTATCAGAGAAACTGAGCAAGGAAAACTTTCATTTGTCCTTCGTCTACGGAATCATCTATGATTAGCAACTTCAAGAACAACCAGTTGCCTTCAAACTTTAAGTATGGACTTTGTTGTGGGGAAATCAAGATAGTGCCTGGGTGGAGATAGGCTCAAGACCAATTAGTAAATCTTTATCATTTCTTGAAGGCAATAGCGTGGACATTGATTCTGTGGGGTTCCTTGCTCAAACAGGAAGGCAATCCAGCATCACCCAAGCTAATAGAAAGCCATGACGCCTTGATGCTAAAGACATTTAAAACAGCTTGGGTGCGACGGCACAGTGTCCCTGATTAGAAGATTTCACCTCAATTATTTTTTAAAAATTGGCTTGTTGTGGAAACAAGGATTGGAAATAAAGCTTCAGTGGATACATCTTTCCCCCATGATAACTCTTCCATAAGTGATTTTCTCTTCTTAGGGGTAAATTTCTCTCACTTCCTGTTATCTCACCCCCATTCTTAACTATGATTAGTTTGTAAGTCAGATGTTTTAACTTGGGGACTGCCTCTATATGAAAAGGAAGAGTGCCATTGCAATAATGTAGAATCATTACTTTAGTGGTAGTAGAATCCCGGTATTTATTTATCGTGTCAGAAGCAAATTGAGGGTACATTTAAATGCATTTAAAAATACAGACAAAGGGGTTCACTACTTTAAGCTGGGAAGTGTTTGAAAGAGGAGAGGAGAGTTGTATCTGACTCCTTTTAGTTAAAAAAAAAAAGGGGGGGGGGTTCCCTACCTTTTACCATATTGGTTTACTTGTGTAGTCTTTATTGCTGCTGACTCCAGACAGCAGACATTAGGTCCCGCCCACCATCCCTCTGAGTGGTTTTTTTTTTTCTTACAGAAACCTTAGTTTCTTCCTTTGGGATGCTGACGAAGAGAGAGGAGGGAGGGAGGTAGAAAGAGAGATTCGGTATTTCAGTGTCATTTCTGGCATGGGGGAAGGGGGACAAACTCTGCAACTTAGCTGTATGTATTCTGGGAACAAATGCTTATACACTGTATAATATTTTCATAATCATATACAAACAAATTACTAGGGGATTCTTGCATCATTGCATGTTGGCAGCCAGGCTTTGAAGCTGCAAGGCTATTCAGTGCTAATCAAGGGCAACAATTACATTACTCCCACTTGCCTCTGATAAGTGGGGAGCCCATCTACAGTGTAGGGCCCCATCTACACTGCCATATACTCCAGCTTCTGAATCCCAAAGATCTGGATACTTGCATCATTGCATAATGGCAGTCAGGCTTTGAAGCTGCAAGGCTATTCAATGCTAACCAAGGTGGCCAGTTACATTATTCCCACTTGCCACTGATAATACTGAGATAATGCTTTGGGACATGGCCAGAGAAGCCCTAAAAGGTTGGGGCTTATTTCCAAGGGTGTTTTTTTTAAAGACCTAGGAAATGCCAGCGACTGAACTCTTCCTAACCGGAGTGGGTGTTTTAGCTCCTCCCACAACTTTCCCTCCCGCATTTTAAACTGGGAGCAAGAAATGCTACTTCATTAGAAATCTGGCAAACCAAAAAAACAAAACCAAATAGAGAATTGAGAAAAATCCATTTCCTCACCTCTTTCTGATATGTTGAAAAGGACTGCTGCCCCCTACGTTTAAAAGACTGAAAAATCACACATTAACCCAAACGAATGTAGTGAGCCCAGTGAATTACCAGATTTTAAGTGTAGAACTAAGTGGAATTTAATTAATGTAGTGAAGTCCAAAGTTTTTTTTTTTTTAAAAAATGGTATTATGCTAAATGGCATGCCAGTGGGAAGATTCCTTTCAGCAGTAAGACACAAATATATCTTTCATGAAACTGAAATCCTTGCCGACCAAATTACTATCTTTTCTGCTGTACTTCCATTTTGGAACTATTTGGACCCAGACAATGGGTACAAGTCATGGCTCAAACACATCTTTTCCCCCTCTGTTTGAAGTATTTTTGCAGATTGTCATAAGGTTCTGCCACCCAGAGTATTCTATGAAGACTGCCTCCTTGAAGCCTGTCACTCAGCCAATGATTCCCTGAGCTGTTACTACTTAGAGATGTATGCTTCCCTGTGCACAGCTAAAGGCGCTTGTACTGACTGGAGGGGCAAGACCGAAGGAAAATGCCGTAAGTAGAAAACATATTTTACTTTTTTACTGAACTAATCAAATAAAGTGATGCTGACGGATGCATACTAACCAGTGCAAATGCAGCAAAATGTAGGTGTTGGCTTTATTTTTAGGTCATGTTCTGATTTTTCTGCCACACTTCACATGTTTGTCAAAATTGAAAAGGCAGAAGGCAAAGCAGCAGGAGGTCTGAAAGGTATTGAGCGCAAAAATGTCAAGTACTAGGAACCAGAGGCGGAAGAAAAATGTTGCTCACATCCTGTCCTTCCACCAATGGAAGGATGTTGGCACAGAAATCCAGTGGAACCTTCCATTAGAGCAGTGGTTCCCAAACTCTTTTTGACCAGGGACCACTCTCCAACATTAGTACCAAAAGGGTTACGATTCAGTTTTTGATCAACTTTAGATTTGGTTTGGTTATTTGGGGTGCTGATTCAGAAAATTGCATTCGATAGACCACATCAGTTCCAGTTTCTGATATAGAACATATGCCATCCATTAGTTGCCATCTGCTCAGCCACAGGGTAGATTCAAGAAATTACAGTCCCCAAAAAGAATGAAATGGGTGGATGCAGAGGAAACCGCTACAAGCAAAAACTCCTCAAAACCAAAGACATGTGTTAAAAGAATTAGGGTGAAACTGCACTGTGATGTATATCTCCACTTTTTGGGGAGAGGAGAACCACTGGTTGGATTGAAGTACAATTTGTAACGGTCAAAGAAATGCTCCCTTTCCAACCAGTTTCTGTCTGAAGCCCTCATGATTGACTTACTCATCACTCATGAGAGCAATTGGAGGAGAATAGTTCTGTCCCCAGAATTTGTTTTTGCTTCTTAATGATATTTTTTTTTCTGGGACTCAGAAACTCTGCAGGGCAGGGGCCCCATTAAAATGGTATCCAAATGGATTCCTTGTGGCTCTTGGGAATTTACTGCTACCCAGGTAGCTGATCCCCTGGAAAAACCCTGGTCGATCTCTGGAATAGGGAAATGATCAGGGCAGTAGGCAAGAGTCATCGGCATCTTGAAGCCAGGCAAAGACCGTAATGACCCAAAAAGCTACAGACCAATCTCCCTGTTGTGCCACCTCTACAAAGTTCTGGAGAGACTTATTTTGCATAGAATTATGGAAAATATAGACCCCTGTCTGATCCCACAGCAAGCTGGCTTCAGGAAAGGCAAAAGCTGCACATTGCAAGTGCTGAACCTGACTCAGCACATAGAAGATGGCTTTGAAAGGCAGCAGATCACAGGAGCTGTCTTCATAGACCTGTCAGCGGCTTATGATACTGTAAACCACCGCCTCCTCCTGAGAAAAATGTATAATATCACAAAGGACTACCACCTCACCCGCCTCATAGGAAACCTGCTACAAAACAGGAGCTTTTTTGTTGAGTTCAGGGCCAGAGAAGCAGATGGCGGAAACAGAAGAACGGCCTGCCTCAGGGGAGCGTGCTTGCTCCATCCATGTTCAACATCTACACAAATGACCAGCCACTGCCAGAAGGGACAGAGTTTCATCTATGCTGATGATCGTGCCATTACTGCTCAAGCAGGGAGCTTTGAGATGGTTGAACAGAAGCTCTCCGAAGCTCTAGGTGCTCTTACTGCCTATTTCAGGGAAAACCAGCTGATCCCTAATCCATCTAAAACACAGACATGTGCCTTTCACCTTAAGAACAGACAAGCATCCCGAGCTCTGAGGATAACCTGGGAAGGAATCCCACTGGAGCATTGCAACACACCCAAATACCTGGGGGGAGTCACTTTGGACCGTGCTCTTACCTACAAGAAGCACTGCCTGAACATCAAGCAAAAAGTGGGCGCTAGAAACAACATCATACGAAAGCTGACTGGCACAACCTGGGGATCACAACCAGACACAGTGAAGACATCTGCCCTTGCGCTATGCTACTCTGCTGCTGAGTATGCATGCCCAGTGTGGAACACATCTCACCACACTAAAACAGTGGATGTGGCTCTTAATGAGACATGCCGCATTATCACAGGGGTGTCTGCGCCCCACACCACTGGAGAAATTACTGCTTAGCCGGTATTGCACCACCTGACATCCGCCGGGAAATAGCAGCCAATAGTGAAAGGACCAAGGCAGAGACATCTCCAGCTCATCCCCTGTTTGGGTATCAGCCAGCACGTCAACGACTTAAATCAAGACATAGTTTTCTTAGATCTACAGAGACACTCGCTGGAACACCCCAGCAAGCGAGAGTCCAAAAGTGGCAGGCCCAAACCCAGCACCTCAATTCATGGGTGATACCAGATGAGAGACTCCCCCCTGGGCACTCAGAAGACTGGGCGACTTGGAAGGCGCTGAACAGACTGCGCTCTGGCACCACGAGATGCAGAGCCAATCTTAAGAAATGGGGCTACAGGGTGGAATCCTCGGCATGCGAGTGTGGAGAAGAACAAACCACTGACCACCTGCTGCAATGCACCCTGAGCCCTGCCACATGCACAATGGAGGACCTTCTTGCGGCAACCCCAGAGGCACTCCAAGTGGCCAGATACTGGTCAAAGGACATTTAACCAAATACCAAATTTGCAAAATCTGTGTGTTTTTTTTTCCTTTTTCTTTTTAATCTGTGTGTTTGTTTTGCTCTGTTAGAATTGTAATACAATGGTTGCTGATGACACGATAAATAAATAAATAAGGGCAGTAGGCATGATTGCTTCAAAGCATCCCTTCTCACAAAGTGGAGCTAAGCCAGCCCTCTGGTTCACTAAGGAGCTGGCAGCAATGAAACACGTGAGACCGGGACTAGAGCGACAGTGGCAGAGAACTCAGAGTGATTCTGATCGAAAATAAGCAAAGTTGTATCTGAGGATTTATGGTGGGGCAATAAAAGCAGAAAAAAAACCCCAAACATTTATACAAACACTATGCTGCAGTACAAAATCGTCCAGCAGAGCTGTTTCGGGTAGTTAGAGACCTAATCTAACCTGGTCCAAAATAGAACGTTGACCATACAATAGCACACTGTGAAAGCTTGCCCACCATTTTTGCAGATATGATTGCTTGGGTTTGCTCTAACTTAAGATACACAGTTGATACTGCTCCATTGGATGTAACCTTGGCACCTGCTTGTCCCATGTTGATCAATATCTTTCAATTTGTGTGGCCTGAGAGTGTGAACAGGATTCTTGGCAAAGTGAGCTCTAGACACATGTGCTGTAGACTTTTTCCCTTCCTGGCTCATAAAGCAGGCCACGGGGGGATGGGTAGAGTGGGTCAGGGAAGTGATTAACACCTCTCTACATCAGGGCAGGGTCCCCATAGGTCTCAAGGAGGATGTGGTAAGACTACTTTTTTAAAAACCTTCCTTAGACCCTTTGGTACTGGACAACTACAGACCAGTCTCCAACCTCCCATTTTTAGGCAAAGTTCTACAGTGTATGGTGGCTTTGCAACTCCAAGAGTTCTGGATGAAGCAGATTATCTAGATCCATTTCAGTCTTGTTTCAGGCCTGGTTGTGGGACAGAAACAGCTTTGATGGCCTTGGTGGATGACCTCCACAGAGAGCTAGATGGGGGGGGGGGGGATTTGTCCCTGTTGGTTGTCCTGGACTTTTCACAGACTTTCAATACCATCAGCCATGATATTCTTCTGGGTTGCCTTTCTGGGATTAGGCTTGGAGGTACTGTTCTTCAGTAGCTCTGTTCTTTCCTGGATGGACATTCTCAGAAAGTGGTGCTGAGGGACTTCTCTTCGACTTCTTGGGCATTGGCCTGTGGGGTCCCTCAGGGCTCTGTGTTGTCCCCAGTGCTGTTCAACATATACATGAAACTGCTGGGAGAGGTCATCCTCCCCAATCCAAGTTTTGAGTGCAGTGATCTCAATACTCAGATGACACCTAACTCAGTCATTCCTTTTCACCTAATTCCAAAAAAGCGGTTCCTGTGCTAAACCAGTGCCTGACAGCTGTAATGGACTGGATGAGGGCAAACAAATTGAAGCTTAATCCAGACAAGACAGAAGTGCTCCTTGTCAGTCGTAAGACAGATCTGACAATAGGGAGTCAGCCTGTGTTCGTAGTTTGGGAGTACTCCTGGATTCGGCTCTGGACCTGGAGGCCCAGGTATCAGCAGTGACCAGGAGTGCTTTTGCACAGTTAAAGCTAGTGCACCAACTGCACCCATTCCTGGAGAAGTCAGATCTGACCAAGGTGGAACATGCTTTGATTGCATCCCAGTTGATAGGAACACGAGAGAGGGCTGCTCCCAGGCAAGAGAAACCAAAGTAGCTCCATCTCTGCTGGCCTTCTGCAAGTATGTCAGGACCATCCTCTGTCGAACAAGCTTTTGGGGAAGGATATGGGCAGGGTGAATTGGATTGCGGAGGATATGAGTTTTAAAAGCTATTTTAATGTATTTACTGTATTTTACTTCTCTTTGTACCACACTGTTGTTATTATTTTTAAAAACTGTTTGTATTGCTCTTTCTAAACGGTTTAGTGTAGATAGATGTTAACCACCTTGAGTCCCCACAGGGAGAAAAGTGGGATATAAATAAAGATGATGATGATGATGATGATGATGATTATGATTATGATTATGATTCTTTTCTCTACAGCATACAATTGCCCCAAAGACAAGGTCTACGATGCCTGTGGTACTGTTCCTGCTGCCACCTGCAGTGATGGGTATGAATAAGCTTTATTGATTTGTTTGACTCACACTATTCTTAGGTGGTGTTTTTATTTCCTGAGTAAAGCAGCAGTGGTTGAGTTAATTAATGGAAGTATATTCTGTGGTTTAAAATGAGCAAATTGATGAAATCTTCCTACATATTACTATTCCGTTTCTCATTTAAAAGGCATAATTAATCTCAACTTTAAGTAGCAACGTCTTTCAGGTTTTGGATAAGGGAACAATTATTGCTACCTCCATCAGACCTCCTTGTTTTTAAGAAGCAGTTCTTACTTCAATGCATTCTCTCTTATTCTGGAACACCAGGTATAATAATCGTCATGTTTTCCATTTCAGAATATAAAATATAATGGCTGGCATCCTCTTAGTGCATTAGACTGTTAAAAATAGTTGTATATGGAGTTATGCTCTCTCTGTGGTTGCATGGCATAGTCCCTTGTGCATCCAGCTATCTGCACAAACACACACACACGGCCTGCTTCCTCACTTTGAACTTGGTGGATGGGGATGGCATCGACTATTGCTCTACGGATGAGCTCAAGTCTATGTCATCTATTGCAAAACCGTGATCTTCAGCATAAGTAAATTAACATATGCTTCTGCTGCAATAAAGGTTTGTAGAATCTTGATCTCATTTCCAACACCACTGTTACAAAGTATTTATTACTACAGTGAGCCCTCCACATTTACAGCTTTAGCTTTTGCAGATTTGATTATTAATGGCTTTGATTAATATGTTCTCTCTAGGAATCACAAAGTCCTCCAGCACAATTCTATGGACAGCTTCCACCAAAAGCTGACTGTAGAGTCATGCTGGAGGACCTAGAGATTTCTAGGAAGATGTTCTTTCAGGTAAAAATATATATAGTGGGAACTTTTTTGTTAACCCCCCCCCCCACACACACACACACACTTTCATGGGTGGATGTGGAGGGCCTACTGTATTTGGAAGCTACTGATCATGGAAACAATATCTCCTGTGCTAGAATGGAGAGACAAAATGATCCTATGCCGTTAAATTAATGAAAGTAGACATATGTAGTAGACATAGTATTACGCTGAAAGAACTCCTCCAACCCCACAAATGTGCATCATAAACACAAACTGGTTCAATGTACGGGTCTTCTTTGTTGTGTAACAGGGACTAAAATATTTGCCATGCTCATGAAAACTATTTATAAACTGAATACTTTTACATCTTTGCTTACCTTTTTATGTACGTGTCCATTTTTCTTTTTATTCTGAACTGTGGAATAAAAAAACCAAAAACTGTGGAAATGTTTGGTTAGAAAGTTTAAAATACTCATAGTAATTTCTCTTTGCCTTGCAGACCAGCTGAGGACACTAGTGTCCACGTTTCTGAAGGATGTTTTTGCTTAGATGACAAAATCCTTTTCAATTCATATACTGACATCTGTGTCTCAGAGTGTGGTAGGTTTCTCATTTCGCCATGACAAGTTAGCCACAGACGCTTACAGCAGTAAAAGGGAAATGTAGAATCTGTTTTCATATCTGGCAGCTGAGCAGAGCAAACTAACATGCAGGAGCAGTTTTTTGTTTTTTGCCTTATTCTCCGATTCAGCATTGCTGGTGTGACACTTTGATTCCACTGCCCTGGCATGAGGGTGTGGGTATGTTTTAAAGAATAAAAAAAGATTTCTCCTGGAGGTGGCTTTGCCTGTAATAATGGCTCACTGACCTTGGGAAGAAAAAAAGTACAAACCAGCATACATATTTGAACAGTGTCTCCTTTCTCTAGCACAGGGATGGGATGTAGGCTTCTGTGTGTTCCCTAACAATTATTTTTAAGGATTACAGTTCAGTGCAGCCCCTGTCTGGACAGATCAATTTCAGAGGGCAGCACTGAATTGTAGAGGGTGCCTCCTCCTTCCAAATTCTGTACTAAAAAGCATCTGGGAAGCCTCTAGGAAGTGTAATTCTTCCTTATACAAAGTATGCCCTCTCCAATTGACTCTTTTTTTTTTACTTTTTAAAAAGTGTACTGTTCAGAAACCACAAATGGGATTCTTCCACTTCTAGCTGCTGTTAAATTTCAGGGACAGCATTTAAAACAATGTCAGTGGGTTGGGGTGGGGAGAAAAGGTTTTTAATTGAATCAACAATATCAACAGCTGCTAGCACAGATATCATAGATACATATCCACACACACACTAAATCAGTCTTTTTGGGGTATGAACAGAAATGGTTATAGCTATGGCGGACTAAATTGGACATCAAGCTTTTAAAACTGGAATATATTGTTTATGTTTGAGCCAGCTTAAATTTATATGAATTATTTGGAAACTTGTATGAATTATTATTCTTCCTTCATTTCTTTCAGGCTGTGTGGGACCAGATGGATTGCCCAAATTGGTAAGTATTTCAGCAATTACATCTAGGCTGTTGCAAAGTATGTTAGTGACACTAACCATAATCTGGGTTCTCAATATGAGCAGAAAGCGATATCAACTCACCCAATATCAATTCACCCTTCAATCATGGCATGCTTATTTTTACTAAGGCCACGTGCAATCTTTAGGCCTTGGAGGATTGACCATAGATACATTGCTGCCTGAGTACAGCAATGACACACATTCCCCATATCAAAGTATGTAGTATCCAAAACTGATTATTCCATGTTCTGATTAAGGAAGTCCTCAAAATGCTGACCTAGTTTTGCTGTAAAAACTCAAGGCAAAAAATCAGCTGCCAAACTACTGCTGCACTTTCCCTCAGAAGGATTCCTTTAAAGACAGCTGAAGACTGAAGTGATAAATAAGCAGGCGATTATTATGATAATTGTCATAACATAAAACATTACAAGATTTGTACATTCCTTTATTTCAATAGCCAGGTAGCACATGGAAGAGCAACTGTCAAGAATGTATCTGTGACCCATTATCTGTGACGGTACAGTGTAAGCCACAGACCTGCGAGACCACAGAAACACCTGTTTGTGAGAAAGAAGGCTTCATTGCTGTCCCTGTCGTGACCCCAGAAGACCCATGCTGTCCGGAAATGCAATGCAGTACGTACTGTTCCTTTCTAGCCAAGACCAGTTGGTTGCTTTGGTCCAAGTTTGCCCACCAGCTTTGCCCACCAGGGTTCTCTGTGCAGCACCAACCGAGATCCGGAGGGCGGGGAGGCGGGGTTGCAGTGGTCTATAGAGATTCCATCCCTCTGACCAGAGGCCCACAGTCAACAAAATTTGAATGCGTCTACCTGAGGGTGGGAGACCGGGACAGATTAGGGATTCTGCTAGTGTACCGGCCACCTCGCTGCACTACAGACTCCCTGACTGAGCTAGCGGGGGTGGTCTCGGACCTGGTGTTGGAGTCCCAACGGCTGCTTGTGCTGGGGGACTTCAACATCCACGCCGAGTCCGCCTCATCGGGAGCGGCTCAGGACTTCATGTCTACCATGGCAACCATGGGGCTGTCCCAACAAGTATCTGGCCCCACCCACAGTGCTGGACATACATTGGACTTGGTTTTCTGTCAGGGATGGGAGGAAGGTGGCGGTGTTGAGGAGTTATCCATCTCTCCGTTGCCATGGACCGACCACCACCTGGTCAGTTTTAGACTTGCTGCACCCCCTAACCTCCGCAGAGGTGGAGGACCCATTAAATTGGTCCGCCCTAGGAGGCTTATGGATCCGGATGGTTTCCTGATGGCTCTTGGGGATTTTCCCGCCACCGCAGTTGGTGATCCTGTTGATGCTCTGGTCGCTCTCTGGAATGGGGAGATGACTAGGGCAATAGACACGATCGCTCCAGAACGTCCCCTCTCAAGTAGCCGAGCCAAACCAGCTCCTTGGTTCACCGAGGAGCTGGCAGCGTTGAAGCGAAAGAAGAGGGAACTAGAGAGCGTGTGGCGTTCGGATCCGAGCGAGCCAAACCGAACACGGTTTGTGTCCTTTTTAAGGGCATATGCCGCGGCAATAAAGGCCGCAAAGAAAATCTTCTTTGCGGCTACTATTGCGTCTGCAAAGAACCGTCCGGCTGAACTGTTCCGAGTTGTCAGAGGCCTTTTAAAACCCACCATGCAGGATGGGTGCCCTGATGACTCGGCAGCTCGCTGTGAAGCCTTTGCTCAGTTCTTTGCAGACAAAGTCGCTTTGATCCGCTCTGGACTGGATACCATATTAACGGCAGTCTCTGAGGATGTAACACGAGCATCTGCTTGTCCGGTTTTGATGGATTCATTTCAATTGGTTCAATCCGAGGATGTGGACAAGGTGCTTGGAGGAATGAGAGCTACCACATGCATCCTAGACCCCTGCCCATCCTGGCTTCTGAAGGAGGCCAGAGGGGGATTGGCTGAGTGGGTGAAGGTGGTGGTTAATGCCTCCCTTCGGGAAGGCAATATTCCAGCCAGCTTAAAACAAGCTGTAATAAAACCGCTGTTGAAGAAGCCATCACTGGACCCCACTCAATTCGTCAACTATCGGCCTGTTTCCAATCTCCCCTTTTTGGGCAAAGTCATGGAACGTGTGGTGGCCTCACAACTCCAGGCATTCTTGGTAGACACGGATTATCTAGATCCGGCACAGTCTGGCTTTAGGCCGGGACATGGTACCGAGACAGCCTTGGTCGCCTTAGTGGATGATCTGCGTCGGGAGCTCGACAGGGGGAGTGTGTCCCTGTTGGTGCTGCTCGACCTCTCAGCGGCCTTCGATACCGTCGATCACGGTATCCTTCTGGGACGCCTCGGGGATGGGTCTTGGAGGTACTGTTTTGCAGTGGCTCTGCTCATTCCTCGAGGGTCGGTCCCAGATGGTGTTATGGGGAGACTCCTGTTCAACCCCACAACCTTTGTCTTGTGGGGTTCCTCAGGGTTCAATACTGTCTCCTATGTTGTTTAACATATACATGAAGCCATTGGGAGAGATCATCCAGAGTTTTGGGGTGTGATGTCATCTGTACGCAGATGATGTCCAACTCCATCACTCATTTCCACCTACCACTAAGGAAGCTGTTCAGGTCATGAACCGGTGCTTGGCCGCTGTCCGGTCTGGATGAGGGCGAACAAATTGAAATTGAATCCAGACAAGACAGAGGTACTCCTGGTCAGTCGCAAGGCCGAACAGGGCATAGGGTTACAGCCTGTGTTGGATGAGGTCGCACTCCCCCTGAAGACGCAGGTTCGCAGCTTGGGTGTGATCCTGGATTCATCGCTGAGCCTGGAACCCCAGGTTTCGGCGGTGACCAGGGGAGCATTCGCACAGTTAAAACTTGTGCGCCAACTGCGACCGTACCTTGGGAAGTCTGACTTAGCCACGGTAGTCCACGCTCTGGTTACATCCCGCCTTGACTACTGCAACGCTCTCTACGTGGGGTTGCCTTTGAAGACAGCCCGGAAGCTCCAATTAGTCCAACGGGCGGCAGCCATGTTTCTAACAGGAGCTGATCGCAGGGAGCATACAACTCCCTTGCTGAACCAGCTCCACTGGCTGCCGATATACTACCGGGCTCAATTCAAGGTGCTGGCGTTGGCCTTTAAAGCCCTAAACGGTTCTGGCCCAACTTATCTATCCGAACGTATCTCAGCCTATCAGCCCACCAGGACCCTAAGATCTTCCGGAGAGTCCCTTCTCTCTATCCCTCCAGCTTCAGAAGTGCGGCTGGCGGGAACGAGAGATAGGGCCTTCTCTGTGGTGGCCCCTCGGCTTTGGAACGCCCTCCCTATAGAGGTACGATCAGCCTCGTCGCTGATGGTGTTTAGGAAGAGACTCAAAACATGGTTATTCAAACAAGCATTCGGCTAATCTGTGGCAATTAAATCGAATCTTGGTGACTATGGACAGGAAATATGGACAACGAACTCTGGATTGTGATTTTAACTTGAGATATATGGGATTATTATTGGTGGCCCAATAATTTGTTATTGTATTTGTATATGTTTTTAAACTGAGATTGTTTTTAAAATGCTGTAAACCGCAATTGAGTCGCCGTTCTAGGCTGAGAAATTAGCGGTATACAAGTGTACCAAATAAATAAATAAATAAATAAATAAATAAGTTCTATTGTCTATTATACAGGGATTAATATATATATAATCAGTTTAAATAAAAAATGACAGAGTTAGCAAAGAAAGATGAATCATCGTTTGGAATAAAAAAATATACCTGAAGTTTGAATTCACTCTGTGGCAAACACTATTGAGGAAGCAATTTGCATTCTTACGGTAACTGTGCTTCTCACTTTCACATATGGCAGCCCTTGTCTTTGAAAGCACTTCTTAAAACAAAAACTCTTTCTTTACAGAAAACACAGCCATCACATAATTCATAGATAGCCATCACATAATTCAGCAGAAGCAGTCTGTTCCAAATTCATTGTATTGGTAAATAACCATACCAAGCTATTCTTAAAACAGGTGGAGGGGGAGGAAACCCTTAGTTGTCACCAGTGTGGGAACTACAGACAGGATCAAGAGAAAGAATTGTTACTGAATTTTAACATTAGTAATACATCTGTATATATCATGTCTCTGTAGTTGACTAGGCAAGCTTTTTCTTCATGAGCTAGAGGTAATGATTTTCTCATCAGAGAGAATGTCTGACAAGTGATACAAAAGGAACCTTACCCAAGGCAGATGAACAGCCAAGGCACAATTGTGATGTATAGAAATTGCAACACACAACCTGCTGCTTATCACATGCTGGGGAAGCTGTAAGCATATTTGGATTCCAATCTTACCCACAAAGACTCAAGAGTGATTCCCAGAGCATAGAAGTAGCATCAGTAACATTTTTATGGGGGCCAACATGGTGTAGTGGCCTGAGTGCTAGAATAGCCCCCAAGGAGACCTGAGTTCAAATCCCTGCTCAGCCATATAATTTCAATTCATGAATCTCGGCAAATCAAACACTCTCGGCCTCAGAGAACAGTTGCAACCTCCCTCCCCCCGAACAAATCTGACCAAGAAAACCCTGTGATAAGACCATAAGTTAGAAGTGGCTTGAAGGAACAGAACACAACACAATATGTTTTACCCATAGCTTGTTATGCTGTTGGTAAAAAGAGTGGTAAAATTATATTTTACAAGCAATTTAACAAATACAAGTGAAGTGTCTTTATTGGTACAATTAGCTTCTAGTTATTTCCAAGAGCTTTTTAAAACAGAATTTAAGAGGCATTTTGACAAGAATCTTTCAAGTTTTATGGTATTCTCTTATCATGCTCAGTCCCACTTCCAAGTAACACATGGAAATAAAATGTGTAGCAGGCTATGTTAACCTATTTATTTACTGTATTTATATTCTGCCCTTCTCACCCTGCAAGGTAATCAGGATGGATTACAATGCACATATACATGGCAAACATTCAATGCCGTTAGACATACAACATATATAGACCGACACAGAGGCAATGTAACATTCCAGCTTTCCAGCTCCATGAGTGTATGCTTGATTCCGGCCAAAGGGGGAGCTGCCACTTCACCAAGTCCTTGATGGAGTATTTCCTCATCCTTATATAAACTGCTGGAAGGTTTTATGGTGTCGTAAATTAGTTAAATCAGTTAAAGCCATCATTGTGATTAACAGGAACTGCTTTTTTAATCACTGCAATAAGCAGCAGAACAAATTACAGTACTTTTAGAAAGTTAACTTCCAAGCTCCAGTAATTTTAACTCAGTGGAATTAGTTTCCTTATAAACATGATTACCATTGTTTAGGGGGTTTCAAGGCAGAGCTTAGGAAAAAATATTTGTGGGAGGCACAAAGTAAGAGTTGTACTTAAAAAACTTTTCCAATATCTATCTTAATCTCCTTTACTATGCTTACAATCCGACTCTAAGGTTAACTACATCCCATCTGATGTCACCAACTACTTGTGACATTATCCCAGCAATATAGGTATTCTTTCTTAGCATCATAGGAAAATATGCTAGTCTTAAACATTTATAATATTGGGGTACTAGCTAAAGTGGTTTGTTCATTTTTTTTTCTTCCTTCTGATTCTTTCACAGAATGCGATACTAGTTCTTGCTCCAGCCAGAAGAAAACTTGTGAGCCTGGATACGAATTGGCTTCAGTCCTTTTCGAAGGAGACTGCTGTGTTACTTTCACATGTGGTAAGCACTAGCCTTCTGGCATGTATTTATGGGTATTCTGGGAACCTCTTTCAAAAAGGAGACAGAGTTAAAAATAAATTAGCAGTATAAAATGATTAATTTTTGACAATCCAAATTTGACAAACTAAGAATCAAGAAAATGAAATATCTGTGTAACCACAGCATTCAGTAATGCTGCTCTTCTATACTCGCTTAGCTGGAACTGAACCCCACTAACTCTAAAAGTGCTTACTCCTGGGCCAATGTGCATAAGATTGCATTGTGAGTGATTTGGGGCTAATCCTTGTCTCCCTACCTTACAGGGTAAACATAAACAAATAATGTGTTAAGAGTAGTTTGGAGAACCATGCATGCTCCTTTGGCTTATTTATTTCCTATATGATATATTACATTTCCATTCTGAATGGCACTCCCATTGAGGATATTTTATAAGCAATAAAATAAAAGTAAATATCCAGTATAGACATATTACATAAAAAGATGTAGCATTTTTGTTGTAAACTCTTGGACATTTTTACAATAGCTATCTCTTCCCCAACATATTTCTAACGTTGCAGTGTTTCTCTTTTTAGAGCAAATCCCAAATATTTGTCTGGTCAATGAAACAGTTTACAAGGTAAGGATACTACTGTTGTATATGTATTGTCTATATGTGCAGATGTAGACCAAACACATCCCTTTCCCCTGCTTTTCAACTATGGACTGATTTTAGTAGAAGCACCCAGATTCAGGATTCATTGTTTGGGAAATCTGAGTGAACATGTTTGTGAATTCATTAAGATGACTAATTTGGCCAGCTTCTGGTCAAAGGAAATCTAGTATAATGCCAAGTTTTTAACTTTGTTTGTGTTTTTAAATACATTATAACTAGATCCTCAATTTGCTTCTGACATGACAAAAAACCAATAAAATGAGTGCTGTTACAGACATTTATTTGAATACATTTGTATCCTACGCTTCAACCTTAAAGTTTCCATAAATAGCTAACAGTGACCCTAATCAAATAATCAATAAAAACATTAAAGTAACAACACAAACAAACTAAAACAATGGATAGCATCACATTAAAGACAACAAAGTCGTGGGGTTGAATGCAGATCCTCTTGACTGGAGTCCTGAATTTAAGAAGAGGAAAAACTGGGGGAGACCATTGTATTACCTCTGCATCGCTTTCTATGCCCCAGGGATCCTTCCTATCTAGACAGGGCAAAGAGCAATGCAGATGTAAAATAACTGCCTCCCTAGTTTTTCCTCAGGGAGAATGGATTTAATCAGTCAAAGGGTGCATCTATACTGTGAAATTAATGTAGTCTGACACCACTTTAACTGCCATGGCTCAAAATTATGGAATCATGGCATTTGTAGCTAGCGGGGTATTGGCACTCTTTGGCAAAAAAACCCCAACACAAAACAAAACCCTACAACTTCAATTAATCTATGACAGTTAAAGTGGTGCCCAAGCAGCAATGATTTTGCAGTATGATTGCACCCACACTGTGATTTAATGGGAAATACCTATAATGTAACAGTGCACCTCCGCATCCTTACAAATTCACAATTTTATAAAACTCGAGTATGTGAATTTTATATTAGAGATATGCAAAGCTGAATAACTTCAAAGTTTGCAGTTTTAGTCTTGAGGACATATTCAAATCCTACCACCCTACAAGTAACATTAAGAGTGCAAATAATACTAACCTACTTGAACCACCTACACATAAGTCTCCAAGTGGGAAAAAAATGATAATAACCATTTTAAAGGGATGACTGCTTCATTAACTCTGGAAAATGATTGATTATAGACCAGCTCTTGTGCCACACAGAAAACAGTTCATTACAGCAGCTCAAGCTAGTATTATTCCCTGCTTTCCAAAATGTGTTTTTTTTTTACATTTTCATAATGATGACTTGTTCATTGCCCATTTTGATTATATCTTTTTCTGTGCATTGCACTTTCTATAGATTTTTCGACAATTGACAGAGTACAATTCATTAGTATCTTGAAGCCCAATCTTCATCATGACTTACTTAGAAACAAGTTTCATTAAATTGGGAGAGCAGAATGCATAAAACCCTTTCTAAAAACGAGCCAGCTATTTCCTGCCAATTTGCTATTTCAGGGCAAATGAATATGGTCCTCGAGATATTATCCCCATCATCTCCAGCCAGCATGGTCAATCGTGAGATATTTTGGGAGTTGCAGTCCAGAAGCAACTCCCTGAGCTATTTAATAGGAGAAGGGAAATATGTTTGTTGCTAATGAATGTTGGAAGCTGAGATCCAACAAAATTGCGGCACCATCTCTTTATAAGAATCTAATTTATTACTGGAGGAAATTGATCTAAACATTAGGCGACACTCTTGTCTATCCATCATTACAATCTGAGGATCAAAGTAACTTAAAAATGTGGGGAACATAGCCCAAGATATCCAGGGAGTATCAACACAAAGTTTAGTTTAGGACTGCCAACAGTCGAAATAGTCTGACCTGCTCTTGAGCTTTCACAGCAGTGTGGTGTGAAGAAATCAGCAGGTGAAAGTTTTTTTGCAGTATGGAGATAAGCATTATCACCTCTGCAGATCTCATTGCTATTTGGCATTTTGGTTGAGTTCCTAACATGTTACATATGTACTGAGATATTAATAATACTGATGACAACAATCAAAATCGGCACAATTATCCATTCCCCTTTCAGAACACCACTGGAGTTTTTGTAAAGTTAAATGAGACTAAGAATTGAGAACACTTTGAGTGCTAGAAGTGTTTAAGAAGCTTTTGATGTATGATTTTCAATCCACTTGGTGCCCACAGTTTAATTTATAATGATATTGTTCTTTGACTTTCCCCAGCCTGGAACAACTGTTCCTGGTAAGGCTTGTGAAACATGCATCTGCGGTGATGACACAGACCCGGCCACCAAGAGAAATGTTGTGGAATGTACTGCAGTTCCATGTGATACAACTTGCACAGAGGTAAGCAAGAATCTTTCTTTCCGTGTTCCTGCGTGAGCTTGGCTTTGTTTTTTAAACCTGCATTATTACTGACACTAGCCTCTCACAGATCCCATGCACTGTTAACTACCATCGTTTTCTATCAAACAGGGTCATGAATACCAAGTAAATGCTGGTGAATGTTGTGGAAAATGTGTCCAGGTGGCCTGCGTCATCACTCTTAATGACACTGTTGAGTTGCTCAAGGTAAATGTGCCCTTTCATTACTGATGTACTTTCTTCAGCAGAAGACTACAGAGATTGTAGGCAAAACACTTGCTGATCAAGTTGCTTTCCTCTATTTCTTCTACCTGACAAATATTTAGAGGCGTTGTTTCTACACTGCCTATTCAAATGAACAGTGAGGTGAAATATCTGCCCCCTTGAAATGTGAATAGGCAAACCAATCGTTTCCCAGTCTGGTGCCCTCCAGATTAATTCGATGGATTCTGGAACAGATCTGGAGCAATAAAAAAACTGAGCAAATCAATCTGGATATTTATGTTGTTTCATTCATTAAAGGGAACCATAGAAATACCCAATGCTGGATTTATCTATTCACATTGCAGTATCCCCAACCAGTTTGGCCAATGGCACCAGGTGGGGGAAGGTTAGGCTAAACTGAATCACCATTCTGTGGTGGTAAGGCTGCAGAAATCCCAGCCAGTTTACAGGCATTTGGGAATTGTGGGAGTTGAAGTCCACAACACCTGGAGGGCTGAACTTTGCCCTTGCCTGTGTTAGCATCTATTTTTCTCATATCTGAAGACCTACAGTAGTAAGAAATCAGCCAAGAGCCTACAGAAATCACATGTAGAAGTCTTGTGGAGTAAGAACTTCCCATTTTGAAATTTCAAGAATGGCGTTGGGCCATAGACACTTGAATCTCTACATATACATATGGGGGGGGGGGTGAGAGAGGTCTATCAATACATTATTTAGAATGCATTTGCTATGCTGTAGCTTGCAAATAAATATATTATGCTATCTTTTCTCTTTATTTCTAATAGCCTGGTGATATTTGGCATCCAGAAACGAATAACTGCACTTTCTATGAATGCGAGGAAATTAGCGACACATTGGTTTTGGTTAACACTGTACGAAAATGCCCCACCTTTGACCCGAAGGAGTGTGGACCTGTAAGTTTTATTTCTTTCTTGATTTCTTTCTTGATGATGACATAGTGGTACACAAAATATAAGTCTTAAAATCTGACATAACATATGGTTAAACAGTTATAACAATATTACCAATTGCTAGATGACTGCATCAGTTAAAGGTAGAAAATGCTTCAGCTACATAACTCACATTGATCAAGTTAATGACTTAGTTTAAAAGGCTTTGGGAAACAGCCAGGTCTCAAGCAAGTGCTGGAACAATATTGGTCAGGTTCCTGCAACAGTTGGGCACCGTGTAATACTCCCTACACACAGTTCTTTATCTCCTTCCAACCTCATCATCTATCAGGGATCAGAAGATGCTTAAAAGTCTAGAGAAGAATAATGAACTGTACATTTAGATAAAATTATACACATAAAAAGCAAAATGTGGTCATCTTACCAATGGGATTCTGGGTACATTATGTTTCCACTGGTAGTGTACATTGCAAAGCTGCAACTAAAATGCCTCTTTGTAGTAACAATATTTTTCCCCACCCTTTGTTTCTTCTCCAAAGGTTGGAGTAAAGCTGACATCTGATGGCTGCTGTCAAGAATGCAAACCTCAACGTAAGTCATGTTGCTTATCTTCAAATAAAGGAGTTGGAACTGGGTGACTAGGACTTTGAAAAAAGGCTATATAATTCTCTGCCTAACTCCACAAACACCATGCTTGGCTGGGATGCACCTCCTTTCAGCCATCTCTTATATAATAAGATAGATGAAAAATGTTGCTGGAGGTTCCCAACCATCTTTAGTTCAGTTCCCCATTACTGGAATGTTCAGATTGTATTGACTCTTCCCAAGCAAGATTATGGACACTTTAACCCATATGTCCCTGAAACATCCCCTCAATTAACAAACAGGTAGGATGTGATCTGTTACTGAAGAGTGAATAGTAATCAGTTAGCATTGAATACACTCATATTGCTCTTTTTATTTGTAACTCATCTGTAGTGTATCCACAACAGTGAATATGAGGACAACATTTGAGATTTGTTTCTTGTCATCCAATCTAGCACCAAGCTGCAAGCTTCACAAGAACCAAACGTTTGTCCGGTCAGATGACTGCATATCTACCGAAGTTGTAGAAATGACATACTGTGAAGGGGTTTGTCCAAGTTCTGCAGTGTAAGTGACAAGAAATCTTTCTGTTTACCATTTCCTAATTAGTTATTGTAGTGGTACCAAGAACATAATTATTTAGGTCTCACAGGAAGTTGCTATGTGCATTTGAAGTCTATTTATAACAATACTTTATTTGTAACCTGCCCTGTCTCTCCAAGGGAGTTTGACTGTTATCACAGTATGCAGTGTTTAATAATGTTTAATGTTTTATCATGGGAGGGTCAATGTTGATGTTTTATACTGTTTTTTAATCAATGGCACTGAATTGTTGCCAACACTGTGAACTGCCCTGAGTTCCCTTTGGGGTTGAGAAGGGCGGTATACAAATACTACAAATAAAGAAATAATAAAGAAATAATAATACATAAATAGGACAAAGTCTTGCTGATACACAAGTATCCTACTCCAATGTACTGCTTGATAAAGAATGTATCAATGTCAGAGCTCATGTTTTTTTAAAAGAAAGAAATATTGCTACAGCTGCAAAGCTAAATAATTGTACATGCATTTAATTCCCCTATATGTTCAGTGCAAAGGGCAATGCGATTTTAGGGCTCTCACCTATCATAGCTATACCCTTTGTTATTCTGGGACATAGGGGTTTAACTTGTGGCTCTGGGGTTTCCCTTTTTCTGGGCAAAGAAAGGTGTACATTCTTGTGGGGTTGTCTGGATCCATTTTGGAGGATGACATGATACCAGAATTAGCTGCAGTTGCTTTTCCTTTATCTGGGAAAAACAACTTTCTTCTTTGATTCAGAAACATGTTGAAGTCTGGCTTATTCATTAAACTCTGTTAAGAACAAATGATTAGGAAACATATACTAAGATCAGAAATTAATTTTGAAACCAGGGCATTGTCTGGTCTTGTTTCCTCTAGGGTTTCAAACAAAGATATTATATATATGCTGAGACTGGAATCTAGCAAATCTAAGATGGAAATAGCAATATTTAGCAGTGAGCTTGTATAGTGCAATTTGCATGTAATGGAGTAAAATCACAGAATAAGTCTCAATCTCTTTCCTTTGGACAGGTATTCCAATGAAGCAAGGGAAATGCAGCACAAGTGTACTTGTTGCCAGGAGCTGAAAAGTCATAGGAGAGAATTGACCTTGACATGCCGGGATGGCAGAAGTATCAATTATGACTATATCTATGTGGATGAGTGTCAGTGCACAACTGCATGCATCCCACAAACCACCGTTAGTTAGAGGATGAGAAGAAGGAGAAGGTGCATTCCTCTCAGGATAAAGAAACAAATATGTTCCAATGCAGCTAAAGTTAGCATTAGTCGCCATCTAGTGCTACTTCCTCTCTCTGTATCTCCAAACAACATTTTACTTTTCCTTGGTCAGATGCCATACTAAATTAATGCCTTCTTTTTCATGTGACTTTATAGCCATTTGCAGAATGGATACATTTGGAAAACTCTCCAACCATCCCTAAAAAGAGAGAGTAAAATGGTGATAGAAATTTAAAGTAGAAAACTGAACTCTTGTACTTAACAGATTTCTTGTGTACTTTGCTGTTTATTTTTGGCTACAGTTCTTAACAGGCATCTGACTGTGATGTAGATAAATATGCTTCACCATTTATTTCTGTATCTCAAGATTAATTAAAAAAGCATTTAAACCTCGACAGATTCTGTTCTCATTAATTCGCTACTGCTACCCCTTAAATATAATTATTGCAATGCACTACAGCAGACCCTCAAATGACAAATTATAACTTGTATTTCTATGAGATACTTTATGCCAAACATGAATGCTTCTTCTGTCTAGTAGAAACATGGGCCAAGATACTAGATGGAAGCACACTGTACCTAGCCCAGCCTATGAAACTTAACTGTTAGAGGAGCATATGAAACTTAATATACATGGGTTGGATCCAGATATAGTAATGGTCAGAATAAATCCATTGAAATTCATGGAAATTAAGTTAGTCTCTTCTACAAAGAATGACTAGGTTTGGGTCCAAGAATACAGGTCCTTTCTATACCGCCCTTCAATAATACTTTCACAGCAATTTACAGGAATTAAAATAATTGAACATATTAAATCACTGAACACAACTGAATTGTCAGCAAGATTATATTTCCATTTCAAGAGCGGGGTGCTTAAAAAGTAGAGTAGCCTTGTGGAGGGTTTTATGTGTTACTGAACTGTTTTTTGACCAAATATGTATTAATATGTGGGTTTAGAGTAGCACATGATATTCACTGAAGACGAATATTTAGCACATAGAGGCAGCTACTAAAAGGACTTCCATTAAGGAATCTGTAAAGGACATTATCCCACCCCCTTTCATACACTCCCCTATTTTGAAAGAGATTTACAGCAAGAGTGGGGAATTTTAAAAACTCTGGATTTTGTCTCCATCTTTTTATTTATTAATTATCTCAAATAAAACAGCATAGATAAAAATTATGCACAATTTGGGCATAAAGATATAAAAGAAATCATGCAACACTTATACCTTTAGCCACAGCAATAAAACCAGCTTCGAATTCATACTGGAGGTTCAGAGAAATTTACACAAACTGCTTTTATGAACAACAGGCCAGACTACATTTATGTGGAACTCAGAAAAGGGATATTGATTTTGCTTCTTCTGTCATAAGAGTACATAAGTCAAATCAACTCAGGACCAGTTCAGTTTGAAATCGGGTTCAGTTTGGAGCTTCAAGCCAATGAAGGTTTTTGATGGGTTGCATACAGTGATCTAAACAGGAAAATGCAAGGAACAATGACATTTGAGTGTTGATTTGCAAGTTCATGGTACCAAGCCAGGAGAATCAGCATACAAAAGATAACATATCAAGAAATTAAATAACACAGTAATATGGGGTTTCATAGCAGTGTAGCTCTCCACAACAAAATGGGTATAACAACACTGGGCGCTCATGTTTTGCAAGGATGGCATGCACCACGGTCTTGGCCACTACCCTACCTCTTCAATAAGAATATTCTAATAGATGATTTCATACCCAAATTAAAATCGTACTAGTGCAAATTTAGATCATGCTGGGCATCATTGCTTTTCTAACATCTCCAAATCTTGTAAAACCATGCATAAATACCTCCATTAGGTCAGAACAAGTCACATTTATCTCAGCTGCTTGCTGGCCCAGAAAAGTTCTCAGCAATGCAGTGAATCCAGGTTTGACAGCCAGACTTTCGTTATGCATGTGCTCAGATTGCACTGCAAGTCTCCTATTCACTAGAGAGAAATGCTTCTATATAAGAAGGGATGAAGGAAGCACACTAACCTCCTTATATCCATGGAAAAACTAATTCAGGATTAGATACAATACAACATATCTTCTGTTTTTTAGACCTGTCTAAAAGAAGAAGGCAATTGTGCTTTAAAGATATTAACTACAATATTAGACATGTTACTCCACTATGCTGCTTCTAGGGCAGTAGTTCCCAACCTCTGGTCCATGGACCACCAGTTGTATGCAAGAACTAAAATATGGTCTGCAGCCTCACCATTGCTACACCGTTAAAACAAAAGCAACTTGTCTCACAAAAGCCTCTTATAGTGCTAAGGCTTATTAAATATGGTTTTCTGTGGGTGAATAGATGTTGACTTCTGGATGACATATGTTCTTGGGTGTCTTCTTTTTTAGGCCTATTCCTGGGGTTATTGGGGGTGCTGATTCAGAAAATTGCATCTGTGGGTGAGCAGATAGTGACTACTGGATAGCATATGCTTTGTATCAGAAACTAGAGCTGATATGGTATATCCAAAGCAATTTTCTGAATCAGCACCCCAAAGAACCAAACCAAATCTAAAACTGACCAAAAAACTGATTCATAACCCTTTTGGTACTAATGTTGTAGCATGGCTCCTGGTCAAATTGGTTGATCAACTGGTCCCTGGTAAAAAAAAAAAAGGCTGGAAATCACTGATCTAGGGCCAATGTGTGTACATCATGAGCCATAATGAAATTAGATTCTGCAGGACCCTTTATCCTGTTTCATGGCTCTTAGTTATTTTAAAGGAATGAGAAATGGGTCATAACAATGCAATGGGAATCAAAAACCCAAAGAATCTTGATATTTCTGTCAGTAATTTCCAATATCCCATGCATTATTTGGCAACAATGGAAAGACACATAGTGTATCCCCTAAAAAATAAGCTAAAAAAATTCAAATTAGCTACTATTCCATGTCATCCTCTGCCACAATAGCTTCATTCTTCCTTTCCACAACCCTCTTTTGATGGAGGGTACAAAATGGGTATTCTTTAAAATACTAATGCTACAAAAGACACTGTATTTCAACATCCAGCGTTGTTGCAAGTTGGAGAATATCTTTATAGATATACCACAAAAGACCCCTAGCGGAGTATGTTACTTGGTGAGGATAGAAGTAAGCCTTCAATCTTCAATCACAATCTTGGTGTCCAGTGTTGAAGAAAGGGGAAATCTTGGGAGTTGAAGCAGGACAGCTATTATTTAAGCTATTATTATTTTCTGGTACAGCAATCCATTTTAGTTTGATCAAATTTAACAATGGCCAAGGGAATTGGTTGTAACAAGGAGATAAGAAATATAGCACCACTTTAGGATTGTAGCTGGTGACTGAAGAAATCCTTTGTCTTTAGGAAAGTAACGAGGATAGCATCAACATACTTTAGACCCAGAAAAATGATTTACACCAACACTCACTGTAAAGAGGTACTATATGGTGCTCAAAATATTGTTGGCCACCTATTATCAAAAGAAGGGATGGGCAGGCCAATTGTAATAATTAAAATTACTAAATTGAGTTGTTTCATTACATTGGAATAAACAGCTGACACATTAAAATTGTGTCACTGGTGGCTTTGTATTTGGGAATTATGTATTGATTTAGCATGGCTTACTTAACATATAGTAACAATATTTTCTAGGAGTCACTGAGATATTAAATGTGGTAAACTCCCTGACAATGGGATGAAAATTTGGAAGTAAATAGACAACCTAATTGATGTTTTTCAAATAGTTTACATTATTGATGGTTTCTCAAACATAGGGGTGATAACATGGCTGCTTTTCTTCTCCCATAGCATAAGTCAAATGATTTGCAGATGAGATCTCTGTAATTTGATTCTGATAAATTTGGCACAATGTTTCTCAGCAACAGTCCTAAAGCAGACTCTGAATCCATTTGTTAAAATGTCAGTTGATAACAAGATTTATACTGCAGGTGGTGCTGTGAATAGATCCAACATGAACTAGTCAGAGAGAGCATTCCAGTTCACCAAACTCCTCCTCATGCAGATCCAGTCAACCTGAATTTTAAGGCCAGCAAAACACGTGAGCAGCAACACTATTAGTCAACCCTCTATCTCATTATGAGATTAAACCTCTCAGGTGATAGAAAATATATACTGATTTACAATTGAGGTAAATACTGCCTATACTTCAGTCTCCACTTCTGTAGAGGTATATGTATATCCTTATTTATTTTCTTAGCATTTTTGGTTGTTGAATTTTTTTTGGAAGTATCACTATATAATTCATGGCCTCCAAAAATAATCTTGCTTCCTCTTACTACTATATCCTTGTTTGTTAAAAAAAAGTTTTACTTCAAAATATGTAATTACTTACAACAGATGGCAAACCCTTCTCGCCAAGACTAGACAACAAAATAGTTTATGCACCATTTGCATTCTGTGCTATTAATCAGTCCTGACAGTATTATCTACTGCAACCACTTTTGACTTGGTTAGAGCAAAATCAACTGCTTTCCTCTCAAAACACAGGCTGGAGAAGAACTTTCTTCCTCTGTACTAAGCTTCTAAATTACCAAAGATCTCTAGGGTTCTTAGTACAGGATATCTCCCACAATTACAGAATTTACATACTGTACATGGTTTCACTTATCTGCATTAAAAATGTTATTTTTAGGAATTTCTAGGTCCTCCAGTGTGATTCTGTGGTAAGCTTGTGCCAGGTCTTCATACCAGTATGATTTGCCTTTTTTTTCCCCGTGTCAGGAGTGACTTGAGAAACAGCAAATTGCTTCTGGTGTAAGATAATTGGCCGCCTGCAAGGACGTTGCTCGGGGGACACCTGGATGTTTGATGTTTTTACCATCTCTGTGGGAGGCTTCTCTCATGTCCCTGCATGGGGAGCTGGAGCTGACAGAGGGAACTCAACCTGCTCTCCCTGGATTCAAACTGCTGACCTGTCAGTCAGCAGTCCTGCTGGCATAAGGATTTAACCCATCACAGCACCAGGGAATCTGATATGACTTGCTAATATCCATGGTTTCAAGTATCCATGCAAAGTCCAGGAACATATCCCCCATAGATACATAGGTCACACTGTATTATAATGCAGCACTGGTGATTTCACAGATCCATCACATTAAATTTTTGCAAAAACTTCAATTCAACTGGTAATTGACACATATTTTTGAATTACCAAATGCAATAACTGTCATTAATTTATCCCACTATCAATAAATCCACATGAGGCATATGGACTGTTTATACAAGCAGAATGTGAATGATGCAACATTTGAAGAGTTGCTTATCTTTCAAATACATAAAACAAAGCTCAAATTGTCAAAACAGAAATGGTTGAGTCACCCTTTTCTGGAGATTTTGCTATTCAGTTCTAACCACACAAAAATCTGCAACTCATTTCAACATATTTTACTTCCTAATGATGTGAGCCTGGGACGGAAGTCTCACCCATAGGCCCATTTCATTCTTCCACGTTAGACAAGGTGTTGCAATATCTATTGATGGCCTGAGATGATCAGGGAAAACTTTGTATAGCAAACAATGAGATAAATTTTGCAACTCTTCTTAAATGAACAGAAGACACTAGTATTGGGCACTCCAGCTCGTTAGGAACAAGACAAGATATGAGAGACACAACACAAGTACTGGATCGATGTCTTTCCGGGCTCATAAAAGCAGCAGCAGGAAGACCAGATGTATGTGTAAGGAGGGAGATGGTAGATGTCGCACAGCAGCAAGGCAGAGTTCCATCATGTCTAAAAGAGATTGTGGAGAGGAACCGAACCACATTAGTTAACTACCAGCCAGTCTCCAATATCCTTTTCTTTTGGTAAAGGTTCTGGGGCATGTGGTAGACTCTCAGCTCCAGGGATTCCTTTGTGAAACAGATTTCACTGATACATTCCAATCTGGCTTTAAGTCTGATTACGGGACAGAAAGAGCTTTGGTCACCTCAGTGGATGACCTATGCCAGGATCTGGAGAGGGGAAGTATGTTGTTGTTAGTTCTGCTGGACCACTCAGCAGCTTTCAATTCAATCCAAAAGACATCCTGTTAGGCCACCACTCTGGGATGGGAATTGGGGAACTCTTTTAGTGCTTCCAGACCTTCTTGGAGGGAAGGTTTCCTGTTTGCCACTCTAGCAATTAGTTTGTGGGTTCTGTTGTGGGCCTCAGGACTGTTTTGTCTCTCATTTACATGAAGCTGCTTAGGTAGTTTATCTGGATTTGTGAGGGTTGATGTCACACTATGCTGATAATGTCCAATTCTATCTCTTCTTTCAATCAAATTCCAAGGAAGCTGCTTCAGTGCTTAAACCACATCAGCTGTTAGTAACTGACTGACTGATGGTCAAGACATTTAAGCGTAATCCAGATAAGACAAAGGTGCTCCTGGTCTGTCAAAAGGCAGAACAGAGAACAGAGATTCAGCCTGTGTTCAATAGGAGTTGCACTTCCGCAAAAATCTAATTTTAATAACACCTTGCACAACCGTATGCAATTGTGATCAAAAATGTATTTGAATCCAGACTATCCTATTTCAAGTACAAAAGTCCAACCAGTGCCTCTCACATGACATACCTTACCCTTTTAACTAACAAACATTTCATTAAGAGTAAAACAGATTGAAAAGAACCCTTTGCAGTTTAGGATAGTCTGTATTGAAGTACAACATAGTAATGATTTGTCTACATTTAAATTGTCTACATTTTACTAACCGTAAATTTATGTTATTCATTTTTAATCTCTGGAACTACCATGTTGAAGATATGTCTCCCATAAAAGGCCATGCTTCACTCATGATTTATTAAATGAGACAGATTGAAAAAGACCTTACAATGTAAAAAAAGCACATTAAGATTTCAATACAGAAAAAAAATTCTCAATGTCTTCAAAATTATTACAGCAAAACATGATCTATACAGTATTACAGGTCAGCCAAGAAAAGCAGAATACTGAGAACCATTAGCAAACACACAAATTGCAGTAAGGAAGAAGCAAGCAAGCATCTAGCTAAACAAAAATATTCCTGGATTTCACAATTTGCAGGCTTTTGACAGGTTTGAAACTAATACTAATGCCAGCACAAACCTCAGCAGCTTCTGGACTGTGGAGAGAGGAAATGAGAGATATACAAATCTGAACATGGCATTCTGTTAAATGGAGTGTATAGCAAACAATACTAAGAATTGTGCACTGCACCACATTTATCTTAACAGGTTAAACTAATGTATTTCAATTCTGTACATCAGAAATATATGCTCTAGTTTTATTCCCACGTAATTGGATTTAGGTGTCTTTGAATTTGTGGGGAAAACTTCCACTTTTTTTTTACAGGATCAAGGTTCACCCAGGCAATTATCAAGAAAAGATATACATACAACTATAGTCATGCTTGCAATTACCTCTTTTTATTTTTAATGACACATATACAATAATCAGAAAAGGCTGAATATTAATTTTACATCAATGGTGTATTGCCATTATGACAAGAAAAACCCCCACTAATAGTGGAATAATAGTAACAGCAAAGTATTTTATATCCTAGTAGCTCCCAATAATCTATGATGATTCTTTTAGTTTTAACATACACAAACAAAGAACCACTATTAAAGCTTCCAGGGCTTTCTACAAGCTCTGAATTGCTGGGACCTTTGGGAAATTTTAGTTTTACCTTTCCCATTTCTATTTTACATGAAAGTGCATCCTCGACTGTTTTCAGTGGGTTGGATCCAACTTAACCTCCTGTGAACATAAGGGCTCCTTCCTTTATTAGAAGATTTTTTATCTGTCCAAGCTTCCTAAAAAATATGCTTGAGGAAGTTGATGGTCCAGCCAGAACAGAGGCAAGTGATGCTAGGAGCTATTTCAGTTAAAAAAGAAAATCACATGCTGTGCTTTCCACCAGCTGAACATTCTGAGCCAAACACTGCTTTGGGATGCTGTTGCCAGGGGAATACACTTGTTATCAGTAAACATGTTCATAAGTCAGCTCCTAAAGAATCATGTACATAATTCAATACTATTTTTAAACTATGAGAAAGCTGCCAAAATCATGTCTGCTGGTTACTTCAGAATAAACTCAAATGTTTAGAACTGTGTGTGTAATGGAGCTCATTTTAATCCACCATGTCCTATCATTTTCCAAAGGCCGAATTGCTATCCTAGTTTTTTTTCCACTTCAGAGCCACATTACACATCAAGATCTCATTCACATATATCACAGGAATTGACTGTTCTATGATGTTAACGACAAATGTCTGATATTAATTAACATATCTATTTTGTAGTGCTGTAAGGTATGAAAAAGAAACCAAGCTAATATTCTGGTGAACATGGATTGGTTCTGGAACAGCTGGCTTTGGACTACAATTCTAGATGGTTTTGGCTTTCCAGATGGTTTTGGACTAAAACTCTGGGTGGTTTTGGCCCCCCAGGTGGCTTTGGACTACAATTTTGGCCAGCCCTAGCCAGCTCACCAATGGTAATTATATTCCAACAATAACTGGAATGCCATATGCTGTGTTCTAGAGTATGTTTTTTAAAATACATTGACATGTACTGTTATCTATGAACTTAAAAAGAAACAGAAGGAGAGGGGAGCAGAAAGAAGAACTAACACTTGCAAGTCTGCTAACCAAAACAGCAGTGACATTTTAAGTAACAAATGGTAGAAGGAAAACACACACTTTTTGGTACAATATTTAAAAATTATTTTCTTACCTATACTTTAATTATTAAAAAAATAAATATTTTAACCATAGCTGGCTGTGCCAGGAGTATTTGTGTGGAGATGATAAAAGTAAGTAATTTTAGTGGACTAAAATTTTTAATAGACTATTTTAAAAACTCTTCAGAGAAAGGAGCAAAAAAATAAGTAAAGATGAAAAAAAACATGAGCACTTCCTTTCAAAGTAATAAATTCACAGCCAATGAAAAAGTTTGTACTGTGTTCAAACACTCGAGGAAGGACAAAGTACAGTTATTAATTATACAAGGTATGCAAAATGTTTGAAACCATCAAAATGCCAAACTGCACATTATAGGAAAATGTGCATATTAAAGTGCATTACTTTGCTTTCCCCTGCCCAAAAATGAATTAAAAAACGCATTAAAGAGATACAAAATGTATTATGTCCTAAGGTTCTAAAGGTGTTAGCAATATACAGTGAGTATGTACAATACACATCTTTTGATTGGGATTGTATTTTGTTTGGTTTGTCTCATTTGGAACAATAAATTGTTTCCTAAGCTTGAACTCTGATGTTGTCAAGTCAATTGTGATGTGAGGAATTACAGTATATATTCTACTAAAAAGCTGTATCTTGAAAATAAATTTTGCCTCAAGAAGAAAAAAATGAAGCCAGCTTCTTCTCAAATCATTTTATGATGTTAATTAGGAGGCATGAATATTAAATCAGGTTGTCAAGTTTTCCAATGTGTAATATCTGTTTTCATCTTTCTAAACAGATGACAGACATAGAAGCAAGACCAATAGAGGTACATAAAAGAGCACATTTAAGCCACAATTCTGACCTTCGAACATATGCTGTTATATCCTGAGAAAAAAGCCACTATAGATTTCAGAGGCAGAGCAACATCCCACATGATAGCAACTAGCTCTTTCCCCAAAGAACCAAACAAATATATTGCAATCGTGCCCAATAAACAGGACGAGAAAAGCGAACTTTCACAAGAATGACTGCAAAAGTTAGTAGAAAGCCGGATTGTCTGTCTTTCAAAGTATTATGAATTGCTGCCCTGTCCAAGATTTATTAAATAATCTCAAGTGTACTGTGTAATACCCTTGTGTTTCACAGAAAGAGGTGTACATTGAGGCAGAAATTACTTCTCTGAATAACATGCTATAGAATAGCAGTCACCCATCAACCTACTACTGACACCTTCTGCTTTCATCCACAAAATGCGTAGTGCTGAACACTGGAAGTATATGCTAGTGTGTGTTTCCCAGAAACATAAAAAGGGAGCAGCAGCAAAGAAACCCTAACTCTGCCTCTCACAGAAATCCAGCCAAACATAGAACTAATATTTCATTAAAAGGGCTGAGGTTTTCATAGATCATATGTAGAAACATATGTGCAAGTGTCCCAACCACCATCACCACATTTAAAAAAAACCCCAAAACTCTCCAGATACTTTCTCAGGAAGTTCTTCCGCTACCTAAATCCCTGGCTTGGCAAAATCAAAAGTAAAAGGTAACAGTGAATATGGGGAATGGGCAGAAGGTTCTATGATTCTTCTGCAATTTGAAGCAAGGAATTGATAGCAGCATCCTTGTTCCCTCTCTGGGCTTCTAGTACTGAACGGATTACTTCTCTGCCCATGTTGGGGAACATGTCTTGAATAGCTTTCAGATCCTCTTCATTACAGACATGCTGAGGGTTGACTGCAGGAGGTGGAACTGCCATAGGCACCATACCTGGGTTACAAACAGCAGGCATTCCTGGAAAAAGAGACAGAAAGTTGAAGAAAACTGACAATCATTGAATCTAACACATGAAAACTAATTATTAATTCAAAGTATTGAGGTCAGATGCTTCCAGTTAAGAGTGTTTTTATGTTGTAGGTGTAAAGGAACAGATGTACAAAAAGGTGTAATCAAAAGGTGTTTCAGAATAGAAAAGTAGTGGCCAATTTTATCGACATGCAAAATAAACACCACTGGAAGGTAAAATTCCTCCCTCTGCAGTAATCCTGCTCTAGAGTCTCCAAATCTGTCCCAGAGGGCTACCTCGGACACAAAGAAAATCTCACTGAGAGAATAAAAAGTCCACAAATTTAATAATGAAAGGAACTCATAATGTATTTACAGGTCTGCAAAACTCCATACATCCCAGAAAAAGAGGTTACTGGGGTCAACAATTTGCGAAATCTTTTTGTTTTGTATGTTGCTGTTGTTTGAATCTACAATGTGCCCCCTAAATATGTAACCTTGCTCATATAGTTTTCAATCAAGGTAGAGAACCTAGATTAAAAGCTGAATCGTAATATCAATGATCAACTGATGTAGGAGAAATAAGACATGCAGTGTGTATAATTAGCTCATGAGACTGGGCTTGTCCGCTTAGGCACAGTACTTGACCTTTCCACCTTGAAGTACACTGATCCTTTAAGATAGCACAAAGGAAGTTTGTTTAAAAGTAACATAAATATACATGTAAACATTATGGAAGTAGCGTGCTAATTCCCCGAGCACTCATGTCCTATGGGAATGTGCTGCTTCTTTAGAGCCAAGAATAAATAATGGTGAGCAAGAGAAGAAACTGGACGTGGAGAGAAAAGGGGACTTAAGTTTCCTTTAGCTTAGTTTCCTTTAGCATTAGCCAAAACTAATGGAAAGTACCAATTTGTAAATACAGTAGAGCCTCGCTTATCCAACATAAATGGGCCGACAGAATGTTAGATAAGCAAAAAAGTTGGATAATGAGGGATTAAGGAAAAGCCTATTAAACGTCAAATTACATTATGATTTTACAAATTAAGCACCAAAACAAGCATGTGAATGTAGGGGAAAACAATGTCTAATCCAATAATATACACTGCATTAAAAATGTCTATGTATTTGTGTGTGAAAGTTTTTTTTCCCTGAGGAAGGAGTCTATAGTTTTTATTAGATTCTCAAAGAGGTACCTGACCCTGCAAGAAAGAACAAGTGATAAATACCTTAACTTTCAAAAGCAAAATTGCACGGTCCATCATAATGTTTAAGAGGGGGGGGGGGGAGGGATTAAAGCTTTAAGAATATTAGTTGTAGAAGATGCCCAACTACAATGTTTTACCTGACAATACAGGCGTCAATCCAGTCAGCTATAGACCCAGAGTTAGTTCTGCTGAACATTCTGCAAAGTTTGAAAAGGTACTCTCCAGATGCTTTGGACTGCAAGTTCCACTAGCCCTAGCACCAGCACAACCAATTACAGTGGACAATGGGAGTTACAGTCCAAAAAATTTCAAGGCTGCCAGGCTGGGAAGAACTGTGTAGCTCTATACACAGGCATCAGAATTGAGATTCCAGAATTTTACAAGCAACTTATGACAAAACTACAAGAGGCACCTTGATGGCAACATCCAATGTTATAAGAGTAACGATTAAAAGTGATATGTCATATGTATTGTCGAAGGCTTTCATGGCTGGAATCACTGGGTTGTTGTAGGTTTTTCAGACTATATGACCATGTTCTAGAAGCATTCTCTCCTGACGTTTCGCCTGCATCTATGGATGCAGGCAAAAGTCAGGAGAGAATGCTTCTAGAACATGGCCATATAGCCCGAAAAATCTACAACAACCCAGAATATCTAATAGTTTCAACTAATTCAACATAGTTTGTGGCGGCCACAAAATGAAGTTCCTGGAGTATAACAACTACTTTCAAAGTAACTGCCACACAATTAAACAGGAAATAACACTTTCAAACAAGGAACAGATTTTTTTTTCAATTTTTGTTATATAGTGTAATGAATGTAATCGTGTGTTCAACTATAATAAATACTGAAACATTACGAAGAGTGAAGAAATGCAGCACAAGTAATTTCCTCCCATCCCCTCTCATTTTTATTGCAACATGATACATAGAACTTGCAAATTATCCTCTTGCAAAATCAGAGGACTATGAACTCATGGTAACTAGTGAGTAACTTGGTGAGTCCCATGTTACCACAGCTATCCTAAGAAATGTGGCTGTTTTTTAGAAATGAGCACATTAGGCACACAACTGATATAATCTACTATTTTAATAAATCCTGAATTCACTAGCTGGGTGAAATTTGGATTCCAGTTCAAGCACTGAATGCCTACCAGCAGTTTTGCATTTGTAAATAAACGGAGAAATAATAATAAGATGAAGTGAACAGATTGTTTCTGGATCTGGGAATTAGGCAATCAGGTGTTCCAAGTAAGGTAACACCCTCTTTGACAAAGCAGATTCACAGTCTGAGAGTACTGCTCAATTCAAACTTTTCACTGAATGTCCAGGTGACTTCAGCCATGACAAGCTGACTATGGCTGTCCAGGCTGCCTTGGAGTGTGGTGAAGTCTCCTTCTTTGGTGGTTTTGAAATTTCTGTCGGGAGTGCTTTGATTGTATATATCTGCTTGGCAGAGAGTTCGAGTAAATGGTACTTGTGACCTCTTCCAACTCTGATTTTTCTACCAGCTATGGCCATTTGACACATGCACCAGGGTCATCTTGAAGGCAGCATCCAATCTCTAGAACTATGTGGAGATTTGGTTACCACCTTGTCATTTAGGCACCAGGTAGAAACACATTTATTTGGGCAAGCTTCCAGGGAACAGGCAGGTATCACATTTGTTACATCATATATTATTTTTTCTTTATGATCTTATGATTTTAGCCATGTTTGTGTTACACTGTATTTTATAGAAGCTTTTAGCCATCCTGGACTCTTTGTGAGGGACCCAAACAAATTATTTTCTAAGTCACCGGGGGGGGGGGGGGGGGGGGGGGGATATACAGTATCATCTCCAAACACAACCTGATTAAAAACTAGGATGCCAGTAGATTACATAAAATTAAATTAGACAAGCAAATCAAGAGAATGATCTGTGTACGTGTTTCCAGAAACCCAAATGACCTCTTACTAAAAACACAAATTTTCTATAATCCCTCTCAAACATCTATTTACCACAAGTATTCAACAACTAATTATTGTATGGGTTTGTACTTCAAACACCTTAGAAAAAATTAAACAAAATAGACTGGTGGAAAGTAGAAACGACATAAACTCATGCATCACAGCTCTCATTCATTATTTCAATTACGAGTAATGTTACCAGCCCATGACTGCTTGTGCTGCTCGACAAAAAGTTCAACTAGCAATACCATGCTTATATTTGAAAAGGCTTTACTGTACCTAATACACAAGTCACCCTCAGAAGCAATACAAAGAATCAGCCCATAAAATGTGCACAGAATACCCAGTGGAAAAACGGGGTAATTTGACAGTATGTTTCTTTGGGGATGAAGAAACTAGACATTTAAATACTGCCAGCTATGTTCTACAGTTACTGCAGGATCTGTTCACAGCTATACTAAAATGAATATTTGTATACTAGTTCTCCTTTCAAAGCATGATATTGCAGTATCTAAAACCACTTATTTCAAAGATTATCTAAAACCACTTATTTCAAAGATTATAGGCACTCTGTACCCTTTCCTATTTTTTTCAGCAAACAGAAGAATTGATCAGCAACTGAACATACTAGAGAGGGTTGGGGAGCAATCACCATAATTTATAGGAGTTGTAGGTACTGGGATGTATAGTTCACCTGTAATCTAAGAGCACTCTGAACTCCGCCAATGATGGACCTGGAACTAACTTCGCTCACAAAATATCCATGACCAACAAAAATACTGGAGGTCTTTGAGGGGATTTATAGGAGTTGTAGTTCACCTACGTTCAGAGCACACTATGAACCCAAACAATGATGAATCTGGACCAAACTTGGCATGCATATCCAATATGCCCAAATTTGAACACTGGTGGGTTTTGAGGGGAATTGGCCTGGACATTTTGGAGTAGGTACTAGGTTTTATAGTTCACCTGCAATCAATGTGTGCAGAGGAGGGCGACTAAAATGATCAAGGGTCTGGAGAACAAGCCCTATGAGGAGCAGCTTAAAGAGCTGGGCATGTTTAGCCTGAAGAAGAGAAGGCTGAGAGGAGATATGATAGCCATGTATAAATATGTGAGAGGAAGCCACAGGGAGGAGGGAGCAAGCTTGTTTTCTGCTTCCTTGGAGACTAGGACACGGAACAATGGCTTCAAACTACAAGAGAGGAGATTCCACCTGAACATGAGGAAGAACTTCCTGACTGTGAGAGCTGTTCAGCAGTGGAACTCTCTGCCCCGGAGTGTGGTGGAGGCTCCTTCTTTGGAAGCTTTTAAACAGTGGCTGGATGGCCATCTGTCAGGGGTGATTTGAATGCAATATTCCTGTTTCTTGGCAGGGGGTTGGACTGGATGGCCCATGAGGTCTCTTCCAACTCTTTGATTCTATGATTCTATAAATGAGCATTCTGAACTCCACCAAAGATGGAATTGGACCAAACTTGGCACACAGCCTCCCCATAACCAGCAAAAAACACTGGAGGTCTTTGGGGAAAATTCACCTTGATTTGGAGGACTTGTAGCTCACCTACATCCAAAGAGCATTGTGAACCCAAACACCGATGGATCTAGACCAAACTTGGCGCACATACCTGATATGCCGAAATCTGATTACTGGAGGGGTTTAGGGGAAACTGACCTTCCTTTCTGGGAGTTGTAGTTCACCCACAACCAGAGAAACTGTGACCTCCACTGATGATGGACCAAACTTGGCACACAGAACCTTCATGACTAACTCAATCTACTGGAGGGGTTTGAGGGGACTGACTACCATAGTGGGAGTTGTTGTTTACCCTACAGCTAGAGAGCACACTGAACCCCACCGATGATGCATCTAGAGCAAACTTGCCCAACATAACAAACTTTAAGTATTGATTGAGCTTTTTGGGGTTACCCTGGCATGATATGAGTTGTAGTTCACCCACAACCTTATGCATTTTTGTACATTTTAAAAAATGACTTTTTCAAATAACCTGGGCAATGCCAGGTACCCAAGCTAGTAGCATAACAGTCATCAAAATAACAATGATGATGATGATGTCTATTAAACAAGTATATATGCGATCTCTACCCTTAGTGATAGTTTTGCGATTCCTCAGCAGAATTCCATTTACAGTTTCAGTCTGAAAGGGGCTTCTAAGTGTGTTCCAAATCATACAAAAGGTTTTAAATGTGATAAGCTTTCAACATTCTGGGTACTGAACACAAAGATTTGTATTTTCTTTGCTTTGCTGCTTAGTTTTTCTAGCCATCTTCTTGCATTATCTACCTATCCAACTGTATTTGAATGCTTTGTTGATATTATTTGACTAAAATGAGAAGAAGAGTTTGTAGCAACTTCAAGACATTTAGCATCTCAATCTCAGCTAAAATAAATACCTAAATTAGTAATTTTAAATAGGTTCTTTTTCACCACTCATATTCAAAAAGAGAAGGAGTTACATACCCGTTATAGGCACATATCCAATTCCTTGCTGATATACTGTGGGCATCAAGACCACTGGCTGGGGCTGCATCATCATGGCGGCTGGAAAGGACTGCACATTAAAAGGTTAAAAGAAATGCTTGTTTCAGAAACTATTCTAGGAACAAAAAAAAAAGGTTAAATAAAATGAATTTCCAAAAAAACAAACAAACCAAAAAACCTCTTCAGGGCGTGTTAGTCAATGCATTACTCAGCAACACTTTGACACCAAGCAATAATTACCACCATTTTAAAGGAAATTTAACAGTAAATATCTCTGGATTAACATTTTAAAGGAACTATTATAACCTCTAAATAGATAGCTCCATTTCTTCAAATCAAGCTAAGCTTTTGTGATTTTGCTACTTATGCTTTCAATATCTTATTTCTGTAACTATTTATGTTTGCTACCTAATTTATTTTAGTTATGTATCAAATGACTTTTGAATAGCAGCACCAACAGATCCTCCCTCCCCTTATTTCTTCATCAGACATATCAATTATAGTAACATAAATACTTAGCTTACCGCATATGACATAACCAAATTAATCATTCCTTCTTTGTCATCTCCCTGCTTTCCACTCAGGCTATACCATTTATCATCTACTTTCCCTTGTTTCAATGTTTCAGGAATAGTAATATGAGTCCAAGCAATGCGATCATCCATAGAAAAGGCTCGCTGCAAAACAATATTTAGATAGTTAGAAATATATTTTAAAAGGCCAGAAAATATCTTAAAATGACAGAATTATTAATTTTGGCACTTTAAAATTACACTGTCATGTAACAGTGATATAAAAATCAAACTGCTTTTATACTATCATGGTATGTGCTATTGAGAAGCTGGCATTTTTTTCTATCAAGGATGAAGTTTAAAAAGTGCATAAAGAAAAATATGCTCATGGACAATACCATGGTGAACAAGAAAGTAACTTATAAAAATCTCTTCAAAGTTGCATAAGATTAAAACACTAGAAAATAATATTTTATTGCTATTACAAATTACATCAATTGAATTAATTTAACCAGACTTCAAAAAAAGAAGCCTCAAAATACATTTTTATATGAAGCCTGCTGCCTTTAAAACAAAGTGATTTAGGGATCATCCATCTTCCTATAGAGACATGAAAACAAGTATTCAAAATGTTTGATTCAAAAAATAAGAAATGTTAAAAGGTGCATATACACAAGTCATTCTGCAAAGGGCAACTCTAAACTCATCATGAAGCATGTGTTGGATGAGGCACCTTATTTTTAAAGGTGCTTATTCAGTATCTTCAGTGCTAAAGAGTATATTTTAATGTTTTGTCAACACTGCTTTTAACTGAAATTTTATTACTTTTGCGGGAACAGGGGATCTTTAGCCCAGCAGTCAGATTTATCCTATGAGGCCTCATCTCAGGTAGGAGCCAAAATATTCTCTGTTATTACCTCTCAGAAGAAATGAGGGGCTATTTGAGAAAATGACACTCTGTTTTCCATAGCCAAATAACAGTCAACCTGATCAACTGGGAGAAGGAAAGAGTAAAGGTAGCAGTGCAATATGCTGATCAAATGTACTGACAGGCAGAGAAACTAGTTGAATCTCACAGAAAGAAGATCCTTCCCACTGTATTATAGTTCCTCTGCATTTTCAAAAGGCCCATTAATGTAGAACATAGAGTCAAAAATCTCCTTTAATCACAATTTTAAGACTTTTTATCCAGAAAAATAGCATCTTTTATGTATTCAAAATGATAGAAGACCAGATTAATGTAGATTTTACAGGTCACAAGATAGACCAAGAAATAAAATTAAGCTTAGCATCATTAAATTCACCGCACAATCATTCATTCTTTCATCAATCATTCTTTCCCCTATGTGTGCAAGCCCACTCATTTAAGTGTCTGCAGAATGTTACTTAATAACTCAATCAGCATGTGTGAAGATCCTTTTTGCTGGTATCTAAAGGAAATTAAATCATTCTATTCAAATGTTCACATAAGAAATCCTCATCTTGGAATTTAACTTCAATACAGGCAGACCCCAAGTTATGTAAAAGATAGGTTCTGTCGATTTGTTCTTAAGTTGAATTTGTTTGTAAGTTGGAACCGTTACATTTTTTTAAGTGTAACTCCAGCCAAAATATATATTGTTTAGCTTTGGATAGCAACATCCTTGTGTTTGTTTGTTTGGCTGTCTGTGCCCTTGTTCAGAAGATTTCACCTCACTTTTTGTCTTAACTATGAGTCATTTGAAAGTTAGATGTTTGTAACTCGAGGCAGAAGGACAAAGTGGTAAATGGTGTGTGATCTTTTTAACAGTTTTTCTACACTTATCAACCTCCAATATATGCTAGAAATAAAAAAAAAACTGCAGCTATTATTGGTGAAACAACTCACTCTTCAATTTTATTTCTGTATTCTCTTCCAAAGTTGTCCAAACAATTTTTTTACTTGTGAATACATTTCTCAATAGTGCCATCCAAAAATTTGTATGAGAAACTTCCTAACCCAATGTAGTAAATACTGGAGACATACAGATTTTGAAGATGTAGCATACTCCCCATATCATGAAAGAAAGGAGTTTTGTTATGAGAACTTATCCACATATAACTCTATGAAATAAATCTAATTATTAGTTTCAACTAGAGGAAACACAGTGAATCAAATGCTGAGTTATAAATCAATGCATATGTAAACCTATTCATTCAATAGGTTTGCTCTAGCTGGGACACAAAATTGGATTTAAGGCTTGATAATTTGCAGCAATCTTTTAAAAGCATTGCACTGGATTCAGACCAAGGTTGTTGAACTTAAGTTCCATTGAAATTAGTGAGATTTAATTAAATTATGTCTCATTTTTTCAGTCAGCATAAACAAGCATAAGTTTCAAAATATATGTGACTGAAATGGTATCTCAAATTATATCTGCTGTTTACAAATCACTTAATTTTATGGCAACTGAATTCATCTTTTTCACAAAGATGAAAGGCAAAGCGTAATACACACATGCTAGAGAAAAATCCTTTTGAATTAAGAAGTGACACAAAATTCCAGGACTTTGTTTAACAAAGACTATAAGCCTAAAGAAAGCTTGGCATTTTAATTCATCTTAAGTCAGCAGCATTTAATACATCCTTATTTGAACCACTCACCTAGTTGCCACAGGCAACAAAGCAGTGAGTGAACAGGCTAATGGAGGGGATGGAACATTTCACTCACACTGTGGCAGTCTGCCATGTCTTTATGCTAGGTATGGAAGAAGGCATTTATTCATAAAGATAGCAGGCTGCCAAGGGAGGGACAGAGCACTCTGTAATTCCACACTTATCATGGAGAAGGTTCAGGTACATCCCATGCCTAAGGAATCCATCCCAAGTTAACTGGAGGAGTCAGGAATGCAGGGATGTCACAGAGACACATTCCTCCGCCATCACCTCACTGCATTTCCATGCATGTCTTAAAAAATTGTCACTAATCTATTTACTCTCATTTACAGAGAAAGCTACTAGTTTATTGATAACTGACTTATAGCTGTGATTACGAATGTTAACACAAAACAAATGCTAAATAATAACACAAACAAAATATGAAGTAGCATTAAGCTTGAAACAACAAAAAGTGTGTCATCAAGATCTCAAATGCTTCTGCAAAGAGTGATCCAGAAAAGGTTCTTTTCTCTAGCAAACTAAACAGTATGTTAATAATAATAATAATAATAATAATACCACCCCCCAGCCCTAATTAGTTGGCAAATCAGTTAATAGACAAGAATTGCTCAAACCTCATCAAATATTTCAAGATAGAAAGAATCCACTCCAGGGGGAACAGTGCATTGAATAAATTTGTTCCATCGAGGATTTCTGGCTCCATTATGAGCTGTAGGAGTTTCATAGACAGCATAGCCAAGTCGTATTCTGCAGTATGGATCCATGCGTGTCATACCATAGTTCTTTGCTAATTTTGCCTGAGAAAACACAAACATCTGTGTAAATTAACCAGTTTTATATCACTAGACTGAGATATCTAAATCCGTCACAACAAATATATTAATGGTCATATCAACCAATAAGAAGTACAATATTAAAAATACAGTTAATAAAAATAAATGTAATAAGTGTATCTTGCCAATTGATTTACAATTACATCCACCTGCTCACAGCATTCTTGGACACATTCAAAGTCTATATATTTTTAAGTATTTTATTGAAAAAGAAAAAAAATAGCACAACAATAAAAATTAGGATACATCCACACACTAAAACAAAACTAACAAACAAAAAGATGAATCTAACAGCAGGAGCTCACCCCGCTCCCAGATTCGAACTGCCAACCTTTCGGTCAGCAAGTTCAGCAATTTGTTGTTGTTATCTTGCCCAATTCTCCAAAGTTTTCACGAAATAATGCATTTATATCTACACAGCTACATACAACTGTGTTAATTCTAAGATAATGATAGTTTAGATTTGAATCTGGGGTGTAATGGCATCAGTGACAAAACTGAGATCAGAAGAGGTTAGCATGAAAAGAGTTAGCAGAAAATGCAAGACAGAGCAATCAGGACACAGAGAGCTGAAAGCCATACCTTCAAACCTAATTTTTTTTTTTTTTTTTACAAATGAAGCTGTCCTACCAGAAAAGCCAAAATGTAGGCATTGGAGATGTATAATAGAGTACCAAGCTCCTTATCATGATAAGAAAATATTAAACAAGCAATCACTATGCAAATCTTTGTTGTACAGCAGGCATGGGCAAACCTCGGCCCTCCAGGTGTCTTGAACGTCAACTCCTACCATTCCTAACAGCGATTGGAATGTTATCAGCTGTTAGGAATTGTGCGAGTTGAAGTCCAAAACACCTAGTGGGACAAAGTTTGCCCATGTCTGTTGTATAGGGATTAATCTGTTTCCTCACCAATACACAAGGCTGATATCAGAGAAATTTTCAGTGGTTTTGTAGTTAAAGATATCCTTCTTGGCCTAGTTGTATTTCTAGAATAGATGCTCACAAGGAATATTCCAAGATGCTTTTGCCTGTTTCTTTTGAAGTATATCTGCACTGAAAACTGTGGAAGCCTATTTTGTTTTTTGTTTCCCAAAGTATATGTATGCCAAAACAAAAATAAACCTAGACAATATGTCCACAAATTATCTGAATTCCTTTCATTTATTTTTTTCAATTACAGCAACATATTTAAAACAGTACTTCAAAACAATCCAGTCACTACAATTTTTAACTTCACAAGAGGCTTTTATTATACTGATTTCCTGTTTAAGTGATCATGGCATCATCACCTTCAACACAAAAATCTAGACATCTAAAAATGTGGAAAATTTAAATCTGTTCTTCACCAAAAAAAAAAATAATACCTGCACTACTGTGACATTCAGTCTCCCAACCGTACTCATTGCTCCACCATACTGTAATTGTTGAGCTGTCTGAGCATCCATTTGGATTTGTTGCTGCTGCTGTGTTGGGGTAATTCGAAGAAAATCCTGAGGAAGTTCACCAATATATACCTATAGAGGAAGCAAAACAATGTGAGAATTACTCTGACTCATCTTACATTCTCCAAACTTCTTTTTAAACACAGACACACATACGCTTGAATTTTACTCTTCACTTCAACTATCTTCATATGCCATGCGGATTCCCCTTGTCAACATGTAATCTACAATTTCATAATATCCCCTGTTCTATTTTCCAGCAACCCCTGTAGCCCAACTGCTAGTTTAGATGCTTCACTGGAATTCACGACAACAACAAACAAAACTCAACAACCCTACTTTTGCAAATTCAAGATTTTAGCTTCCTTTTCTGAACCCATCTATAATAAAAGTAGCTGCTACTATGAGATGGCAAATCTATTAAGATCTCCCTCATTTGCAATTTGACCCTTGAATTGAAAGCAAATTTGGCATGCATAATGAAGAACTGAATGGCCAAATGGAAATGTGAGGTGGTGAGTTGCAATCAGATGTGCCCACTTTGGTTATTTGTGCAGCACCAGAACAAGATTGATGTTGTGCCATGAGTGAAAACAGATCTGCAAATACAACTAATTTTCGACTGCTAGGCATCATGTGACAATGTATTCACATGATGCATTCCATATTGGGATAAATTCGGGTTATAGACAGGTAAGCATCTCTGATCCAGAATTCTGAAATCTGCAGTACTCCAAAATTGTTCACATGGATAGATGAGACAATTCCTTTTTGTGTATATCCTTGGGTCCCATCTATGTAAATAAAAATGTAATGCTCATTTGTGGAATTAACGTAACTCAAAAACCAATGGACGAATTGACACCAAATTTAGACACAATACCTCTGGCGTGGGCTGGTCCATGAGGTCACGAAGAGTCGCAGACGACTGAACGAATGAACAACAACAAAACCCCTATCAGGCCAACGAGTGACCATCACTCATAAAAAAACACTGAAAAACACAGCAGAAGAGACTTAAAAAGCAAAAAAAAACAAAAATTACATTACAATGCATGCTCAAAACCACATATATATATGCAAACACACATATATACACAATTATATACACACACATATATACACTCAAAAACACATATACACAGACAGGGCCACAGCAACGTGTGGCAGGGAACGGCTAGTCTCCAATAAATCCTATTATATGTATATATGCAAATAAAGGTATTTCAAAACCAGTAGAATAAGGATTAAAAACCTGTAACATATCTGACCCCAAGCATTATTTCTTGACCTCTTTGTAGTACAGCTTCCACACCTACCTGGAACACTCTTTTCAGAAGCAATGGTGCTTAGAGAGTACTGTTAAACTCTGGGGAGGGAAGGTAAGTTGGGGTTTCCACAGGGATCAATTCTATCCACAATGTTGTTTAAAATGTAAGTGAAACCAATGGATGGGATCATCAAGATGCGTGTGCATGAGCAATATGTGTGTGCATGAGTGTGTGCGTGGTTACTAGCCAACAACAGACTATTCCAATTTTCTTTTTCATTTCAAGCAGGAATAGTGATAGATGTGATGATCAGGTATCTGGCCTCAGTGATGGACAGGAGCCAATAACGAAGACTTGCATGCTCTGTCTGGCTGTGGGAAATGAAACTAGATCTAGACATGGTCACACTTCCTATGAAGGAAGAGGTCTAGGGCTTAGAAATATTCCTAAATTCCACTGGAGCAGTATTTCTCAACCTGGGGTCCCCAGATATTTTTGGCCTTCAACTCCCAGAAATCCTAACAGCTGGTAAACTGGCTGGGATTTCTGGGAGTTGTAGGACAAAAACATCTGGGGACCCCAGGTTGAGAACCACTGCACTGGAGGCTCAGGTAGCCTCTTCAGCAGAGCACTTTCTACCGATTTTGACTGGTAGCCCAGCTGTGATGCTACCTGACAAAGCTCTGATAATCTCTATTACAAATTACTGCAATGTATTTTTTCACTCACCTGCCATCAAAGATGATTTGAAAACTATATCTACTACTTAACTAAGCAGCCAGGCTGTTATCTGAAAACAGATTAACCTGGTCCTGATTCACCTGTACTATGTGACAAGATGTTTATGGACAAAATTCAAACCTCTGGTTTAAACATTAAAAACATATACAGTTTTTTATCGATTATGTTGGGAATGGTTTATGTTGATTTTGTTTCTTCTTGATATACATTTGTTGTTGTTGTTGTTGTTGATACTCCACCTTTCTCCCCATGGGGACTCAAGGCGGCTAACACTAGGCTAGTTTAAAAAGTTCAATAAAAAAGTTAAAAAGCAATTTAAAAGCAATTAAATAGTAGCACTGTTGTAAAAACAAAATTAAAATGCAGTAGATAAACTAAAATGGCATTTAAAATGCATATTCACCCAATTCCACCCACAACACCCCTTGAATTAAAAACCACAGCACCGCCTGAAGTGATATTAAAGACCTTCTTCTTTAAAAGCCTGTATGAATAAAAAGGTTTTAGCCTGCCGCCAGAAGGACAGCAGGGAGGGGACAATTCTTGCTTCCCTGGGCAGGGAGTTCCAAAGTCAAGGGGCAGCCACCGAAAAGGCATGCTCTCTCGCTCCCACCAACCGGGCATGTGGTAGGGGTGGGACTGACAGAAGGGCCTTTCCTGAAAATCTCAGGCACAGGCAAGTTCGTACAAGGGGATGCAGTCAGCCAAATAGCCTGGGCCTGAGCTTTCTAGGGTTTTAAAGGTCATAACAAGCACTTTGAATTGTACCCAGAAACCAACTGTCAGCCAGTGGAGCTGCTGCAACAGGGGAGTGGTTCACTCCCTGCAGCCAGCCTAGTTAGCAACCTGGCTGCAGCTCTTTGGACCAGCCGAAGTTTGTGAGCACTCTTCAGAGCCAAAACCACGTAGAGAGCATTACAGCAATCCAGACAGGATGTAACTAAGGCATGTACCATCATGGCCAGATCAGGCTTCTTAAGGAATGGCGAAGTTTTAATTTTGCAAGGGCCCTCCCAGCTACTGCTGACACCTGGACCTCCAGGTTCAGTGCCGAGTCCAGGAGGACCCCCAAACTGTGGACATGTGTCTTCAGAGGGGAGTGTGACCCTATCCAATACAGGCTGGATCCCTATTCCTTAATCTGCCTTCCAACTGAGCAGAAGTACCTCTGTCTTGTGTGGATTAAGTTTCAATTTGTTTGCCCTCATCCAGTCCATTACTGATGACAGGTACTGCTTTAGTATCAGGACAGCTTCCTTGGCTTTAGGTGGAAAGGAGTAGTAGAGTTGGGTGTCATCCGCATATAGGTGGCAATGTACTCCAAACCTTTGGATGACCTCTCCCAGCGGTTTCATGTATATGTTAAAGAACATGGGGGACAAAATAGAACCCAGAGGAACCCCTTAGGTCAATGGCCAGCGGTTTGAACAGGAATCCCGCAGCAGCACCTTCTACATACAACCCTCCAGGAAGGACCAGAGCCACTGTAAGTCAGTGCCTTCCAGTCCCATCCCAGCGAAATAGCCCAGAAGGATACCATGGTCAAAGGTATCAAAAACCACTGAGAGGTCCAGGAGAACCAACAAGGACACACTCCCCCTTTCTAGCCCTCTGCGAAGGTCATCCACCAAGGTGACCAAAGCTATCTCTGTTCCACAGCCAGGCCTGAAACCAGATTGAAATGGATCTAGATAATCTGTTTCATCCAGAAATCCCTGTAATTGGGAGGCCACCACATGCTCCAAAACCTTGCTCAGAAAACCTTCAAGTTGTTTCTTTTATAGTACAAAGTAGTTGTAGTTTATATGAAAAGCTCTCTTTACCATCCTATCAACCTTCCTCTGTATGAAATATGATATGTTATACATTCTAACATGACTGGAGTTAAGATAGGAGTTAAACCTCAGAGTGTTCAACCTTGCCAATCTTGCTATTACTTGTTTTCATAAATAGCATCATTCCAGGCCTTGGGCAACGATTTTTGAAGATGGCATACAACTACTCATGTTCTGCTAGATATTATCTTACACATGTAGGAGTTAACATGAAATTTAATTAGCAGCAGCTCCTGAGTAGGAGCCTTGGGATTCAACAAGATTAAAGGTAGCCAGTTGGGGCTGAAATACACTGAGAAAGATTCAAGAGAAGGAATACTGTCAATCTAAATGCTGCTAGATCAAAGACCAGCTTTTCAAAAAGAGCTCAGATAAATATGGAAAACCTAAAATTCAAAAATAATGTGGTACAGTACCACAACCATATTCATGCGACTGTTATTTATGGTTTAATCTTGAAGGACCTAGAAATGCTAAAAACGTGTTTTCTCTAGGTATTATCCACTTGATTTATGTAATTTTTTGTCACTCTCATTTGCCACAACTAGCCTTTATTTCACATGAAGAAACAACATAAATTCGTTCAATTCCTAAATTATGGTACTTCATAACAATTTTAGGGGTTCTATTGTAGTTTTGTAGAAGAGTTAAGGCAGCAGGTTTTTATCAGCTATTCATGCTATAGTGAAAGGAAAGAGATATTTTATAGTTAGTCTTGTATGAAAGAGCTACATAGAGTGACCTTACGCCAGCTATACAGCATACAAAAATCATCAGCTTAATTATAGAAATATGTATTTCCAAACAACTACAACCATTATTGGCCCCACAAGAAAAAATCCACCTTCCATGCAAGCACCCTTGTACCCTTGACAGGCCTTGCTGGGGATGTCATGTGTCCTGCTGGCAAAAAGGAGACAAAGCCCCAATGGGAAAACAAGGAAGAAAGCAAAGTGTCAAATCACTTCAGTGCTGTTGGCATGGAAGAGTGAGATAGTCATCCTATCACTCTCACATAGCAGTGATTTCATCAGGACATTGCCGCTAACAATGCCAAGAGAAGAATGGAGGTGTCATCTTGAGCAAAAACTTAAGGGCTTTCTGTCTTTCTTCCTCCATCAATCCCCATGATAAAGAAAGGAGGGGAAAGGAAGGCAAAAGTGGCAGCAACAAATTTTGGGTTTGGGGATTTGGAATTTCCAGATTAGGATGATGCAACTATAAT